AACTTTAGTGTTAGATTACTTTGTATGTAATCTTTTATAATCTTTATATGATCTCTATTTATTTTCCCTTCTGTGTCTTCTTTTGGATGATTTAGTATTTTCTATGATTCCTTTATCACCTTTGTTGGTTTATTAGTCATAATTGTTTGTTATTAATGGGATTGCTTTAGGATTTATAGTATGCAGCATTAACTTATCAGAGCTAACTTCAAGTGATATTATACCATTTCTTGCAAATATAAGAACTTTACAATAGTATGCTTTCTCCCTTCTTGGTTTTGTGAATGTGTATGTGTGAAAAATATACATAACTTAAAATTGGCCATTTTTTACTATTTTAAGTGTACAAATAAGTGGCATTAAGTTCATTCACAACGTTGCATTGCATCACCACTTTTTCCATGACTTGAAACAGAAACTGTAAATATTAAGCAATAACTCTTCATTCTCCCTAGACCCTGTTAACCACTGATTATTTTATGGCTTTTAAGTCTGCCTATTGTAGATATTTTATATAAGTAGAATCATACATATTTGCCTTTCTGTTTCTGACTTCTTTCTTTCTTTTTTTTTTTTTTTTTTTAATACAACCACTGGGTACAGTCAGAAGGGCGGGAGGGTGAGAGAATTCACCAGAGCCAGAGCGGGGAGCAGAGCAGGCAGAAGGACCGAAGTACACTGCTGAGGGGAGCAGCAGGAGGCAGGAGAGGTCTGCGTGCCTTGTGGGACCCTCGCCCAGAGGCTGGGGATCGAACTGGCGCTGCAGAGGCTGCGGGAAGCTTCGCAACCCAGCGCTCAACCACTGCGCCACCGGGGAGGCCCTGACTTCTTTCATTAGCATAAAACTTTCAGAGTTTATCCATGTTGTAGGTGAACAGTATCAGAAATTTATATCTTTTTAGTGGCTGAATAATATTCCATTGTACAGTTTATATTTTATTTTGTTTATCCATTCACTTGTTGATGGACACTTGGGTTGTTTCCACCTTTTGACTATTGTGAATGAAGCTATTACTAACATTGACATACAGGTATTTGCTTGAGTCAGTTTTCAGTTCCTTACAGGTATGTACCTAGGGATCAGAATTGCTATATAGTAATTCCGTAACACTTTTGAGAAACCACCAAGCTTTTTTCCACAGTGGTTGCACCTACCAACAAAAATCAGAGTTTAAAAATCAAAGTTAATTCTTACTTAATTTTTTAGTTAAAATACCTTTTAAAACTAAAAATGATCCATCAGAAAACACTAAGTGCCTCCTGTGTGCTAGGTGTTGAGAAGATAAAGCATATATTCAATAAAAACTTACTGAGCCTCTAAACCATGGGGATTTACAGCTGATCATTGAATCATCTGTGCCCAGCACTTCCATTTTTAATTGCTTACTAGACACTGTCATTTGAACAAGTCAGACTTTTAGTCACTTCCTCCAAAGTCCCATACCCCACATTTCCTTTTATGTGGGCCACCTCAGAATTCATCTTAAATTTGTTCCTATCCTTTAAGCATCACTGAAAAGTCCAACCTTCTCCATCCCTTCCCTGTATCTGAGTTCATGCCTTTGTCAACTATAGCTTACAGGGCTCATCCAGGCTTCTCAGGATTATATAAGGAACCAAGCCTTCACTCCAGTCTTGTCTCCTTTAACTTCATCCCAGGAATCTGGCATTCTCGTTGACTTTTCCCTACATCTCGAATTATCCTAGGACCTTTCACTTGCCTGAATATCCCTTTTTTTCTACTTTTCTTTACATTATCTTCACATTGGCTTGTAGCCTGTTCTCTACTCACTAAACCCTCCAAACTTCAGCAATGCATTAGGAATGTGAGAGTTTATCTATTATAACTCTGTCTTAACCCACTGTGGTAGGTAGAACTGGGTTTCTTAGTCATTTTGGCAAGAATATACTGATATTCTACTATGTGCTGAGCATTGTTCTGGTACTGGGGATATAGTCTGAATGAGAAAGACTGTAGATAATATTTGTAACGTGTATATATATATATATATATATATATATATATATATAAATATAATTTCAAAAGTCACAAGTCCTTTGAAGAAAATAAAGCCATTTAAGGGTTTAGAGAAGGATGAGGTAGAGGTATTAAGTTCTCTGGGATGGTCAGGTAAGGCCTGTTTGAGGAGGTGATACATATGCTGAGACCTGAAGGATGAAAAGAAACCTGGATCTGGAGGATGGTTCTGGGCAAAGAGAACCTGGGCATGTGCAAAGACCCTAGAAAGTAAGCCAACTTGGCATGTTCCAGAAATAACAAGAATGCCAGTAGGGAATGAGAGTGAAGAGATAGGCAGAATTCAGATAGTGTAGGCTATGGAATAATTCTGATAGATGGTTGAAAACATTCTACTTCTAGGTTTTGTGAGTGAATACCTAATTTTGACAGCAAGAGATGGAAAAAGACCGTGGCCTTGTGTATAGAGAATGGAGAATTGGGTATGAGATTGTGGGTATGAGTGCCAGGTTATTTTGTGTAGTCAGTAGGTAAACTGGAATGTGCAAGGTAGCTGAACTCTAAAGTGTTTAGAATTACCTGCTGTTAGAGAAAGCTAATTAGATAAGTGATTGGAATAGTATCATGCTCAAAAAGAGCTGTTCTTAGAACCCTAAAGTCTAGGTTGTATTACCTTGGCTTAGTCACAAGTGAAAAAAATCACTAAATTGGGCAAGTCCTTTCTTTTTATTATGTTTACATTTACCTATTATGTATATTCATCTATATATTTTAAAGTACATTTCTTTTTTTTTTTTTTAAAGATTTATTTATGCATACAAGAACTGGGGTACAGGCCAGAGATGTGGGGCAGGGGTGAGAGGATTCACCAGAGACAGTGAGGAACAGAATAGGAAGATCGACTGAAACACACTGCTGAGGGGAGCAGCAGGAGAGTCAGGAGAGGTCTGCTGCACCATGTGGGTAACTCCCTGCCTGGGGTTTGAACCCATGCTGCAGAGGCTGTGGACAGCTTCACAGGCTGCGTCTTAACCCTCTGCGCCACCAGGGAGGCCCTAAAGTACATTTCTTAAAGACAGAATTTTGTCTTTTTGTTTTTAATCTAATCAGACAGTTTAGACCATTCATGTTTAACATGATTATGTATTTGGACTGAACTCTACCATCTTGCTACCATTTTCGATTTGTTCCATCTACTTTGGTTTCTTTTTTATGTTTTCTTTTGGGGTTAATTGAGGGTATTTTATCATTCCATTTCATTCCTACAATTGACTTATTACTTATACCTTAAAGAATTAGTGGTTACCCTTGGGCTAACAATATACATCTTGGGACTCCCTGGTGGCACAAGGGGTTAAGATGCAGCACTATGAAGCTATCCGCAGCCATAACAGCACGAGTTCAATCCCCGGCCAGGGAGGTGACCCACATGGTGCAGCAGACCTCTCCTGTCTTGGCCCACTACGTGCCCGCTGCCCCCCTCAGCAGTGTATTCCAGTAAATCAGCCTGTTCTGTTCCCTACTCTGTCTCTGGTGAATCCTCTCACCCCCCATACCTCTGGCCTGTACCCCAGTTTTGTATGCATAAATAAATCTTCAAAAAAAGAACAATATACATCTTTAATTAGAGCTACCTTCAAATATTATTACATCAGTTTGCATCTAGATTAACCTTACAGTCCCAGTTCTCCCTCCCATTCTGTGTTATTATTTTCATACATTTTATTTTGCACATGCTATGAACAAAATACTGTCCTATTTTTGCTTTATACAGTTATATTTTAAGGCAGTTAAAGATTTTTACATTAAAAACTGCATTTATCTTCATTTGTTCCATTTCCTGACTGTTTTTTTTCACTGTGTATTGTGGTATAGATCTTGAGGTTTTGTCTGGCATACACATATACAGCAGTGCTGATCGAGGCAATACATTCTCTTAGTATTTGAGAAAGTTTTTCTTTGTCCTTTATCTTTTAAATATATTTTCTCTAGGTATAGAATTATATTTTATGTGGTTTTTTTTAAAGATTTATTTATTTATACATACAAGAAGTGGGGTAAAGGCCAGAGGTGTGGGGGTGAGGACTCAACAGAGACAGAGTGGGGAACAGAACAGACAGATCTACTGAAATACACTGCTGAGGGGAGCAGCGGGCGAGACAGGAGAGATCTGCTGTGCCATGTGGGCAGCTCCCCGGCCGGGGATGAAACTCATGCTGCAGCGGCTGTGGATTGCTTCATAGGTTGTATCTTAACCCCTTGCATCCCAGGGAGGCCCATATAATGTTTTATATAAAATCAGATACTTTCTCTGGGTTGATAGTTATACTTGCTTAGCAAAGATGTCTGTCCATCATCTTTTGGCTTATAAGGTTTGCTCTAGGAAGTCTGCTGGGGCTGTGGTCTTTGCTCCTGTGTCTCTCATGGGTGTGTTTCTCCTTTGGCCATTTTCAGGATTTTATATTTTGCTGTTTGTTTCCAGAAGCTGGAATACATGTAGGTGTGGGGTTTGTTTTCTTTTGTCATTGTCCTTCTTGGTATTCTCTGAAATTCTTGGATGGATAGTTTGGTATTTGTCATTAATTTTGGAAATTTCTTGGTCATAATGAAGTCTTCAAATATTTCTTCTACCCATTTTCTGTCTTCTCCTTTGGGATTCTAATCATACATGAGCAGATTATTTAATAGGCCTCACAGATCTTGGATCTTCTCTTCCATTGTTACTGCTGATTTTTTTTTTTAATTCTACTTTTCTTTGTTTCCATTTAGGTAATTTCTATTGACCTGTCTTTGATTTCATTGATTCTTCCTTTGTCTCTGTCAGAGCTACTGAAGTTCCTGTCAGAAGCAGTCTTCATCTCTGTTTTACTGTGTTTCCTTTTAGTATTCCCATTCAGTTCTTTCTTATAGTTTCTGTCACTCTGTTATACTTTCTAGTATTCATTTTTATCTTTCTCTCCCTAGAAATAATCTTATTAGGCAAGAGCAAGATTTTCTTCTATGGCTCTTTTGTACATTTTAGGAAGAAGACCCAGAAATTAGCAAGAACTGTTCCAAAATAGGAGCATATAAGGACTGCACTCAAACTGTTGGCCAGAAAACAGTGAGGGAGAGCTATAGACTGGTGGTGCTGAGGGATGCAGAGCTGTTGTACATACCCACTGTCTGACTGACTTGCTCAGGGTAAGTGGTTATCTAAATCGAGCCTTTCTTCCTTATTTTCTTAGCTAGCCCATCATAGGAACCATCATTTTACTCTTGACCAGTGATAGCCCCTTTATCCTAAACAAAATTAATGCAGGTTGTTTTCATATAGTTTATGTTCCTGGATAGGTCTTGGGTCTGGGATATGACATTTTGTTAGCATTCAGCTTGCAGAACCTCAGAGGGCCTGTTTTCTGTCAGTTGCACAAACAGGAAACTTCCTGAATCCTCCATCTAATATTTTTTATCTCTGTCTGGGCATAGTCATAAATTTGTCTATTCATTTATTCTTTATTTAGATATTCTTAAGTCTCCCGTCTCAGAGTTACTATTTACATTTGTTTATTGTAATGATGAACAAGATGCCCTATGCTCCAGGAGCTGGGGAGACTCCTCCTAACCGAATACTGTTGGTGTGTTTCAGTGCTACGGTGGAGGGGAAATCGCTCCCGCACATGGGGAGCAGGAGTAATTTGGGCTAGGGGTGTTGGGTCAGTGCTTTGTAAAAGAGGTAGCATTTTAGGTAGTTTTCAAAAATAATTAGGAACTTTACAGGCAGAGGAGTGGACAGTCATTCCAAGGTAAGCAAAGAGCTGACAGACACTATTTGTAGAGTATTTAGTAAACAGTTTATTATCTGTTCCTTTAAAGAGCTATTTCTTTTTCTTCCTCTTTTACTTTTATTATGAGACATTTTTCAGTTGTCCCTTTCCTCTTTTTGATTATTTTTACCTCCTTTGCTTCCTGTAGTTCTTAGGGGTAGGTCTCTTATGGCACAGTCCTGGAGTCTATGACCCAGAGAAGCAAGATATTCCCAAGTGGACATGCAGGGCGAGATTACTCCTCCACTCAGACTGTGTTTCAGAGTGCACACTTAGCGAATCTGTCCTTGCATGAATATGGGCCCTGCCCACGGCAGATATGACTCTATACTAGAATAAGGCAGAATAAAACAAAACCTTCTAGAATGTAATCAGACATTGGATGGCGACCATCAGTCCACCCCATACTCTTGGCATTTGTTTGCTTCACCCAGGTCTTTATCAACTTTTCTTTCCTACCAAACAAGGAGGGGCTGTTCAAGGACCCAAAAGCATTCTACTCTAGTTTCTTTTTATTTCCCCAAGCATTTTTCTTTGCTCCATCACTCATTTTCTTCTTGGTTTATTTTCAACAATTAGTAGTTTAGTTTAAAAGGGATACTCCTTGACACCTCCCCACCCCAAAGGATTATCTTTCTTGTTTCAGGAACTTGTAGGTAGGGATGAAGGTCTGAGACTAGATCTTGTTTTGCAGCATACCTTGGGGTGAAAGACAGGTAAAGAAAAACAAAGTCTGGAAAGAAGACTGTTGACAGCATTTAGAAAGGAAGGGAACAGGGCATCTGATACCTTTTCTGGAGAAAAACTGCCAGGCAGAGGTGGAAAACTCTTGATGGTTTATAACTCTGGGAAATCCAGTACCCAACACATTATTTGCTTTGACTTGGCTATTTATGGTCTGGTAATTTTTTTTCCCCTTCACCAAGATAAGGTATAAGTAAAGAGAGTGTAAGAGAAGGTCTGAGTCAAGAAAGGATTAGGATACCTACTCCTAAACTGAATTCCACTTAACACTCATGAATGGTAAGTAGAACTGTTCAAATGTGTGAGCACTGAGAATTACTTAATCACTAACCGTGCTATTTTCCCTGGGATAGGAAGCTAAAGCAACCATCTCCAGAAATGTCTTCGGAAAGTGAAGAGCAACATGACCATTCCCAGAAGGACTCAATTGATGGAAATGACGACCACAGTCCTTCACTTAGGATCCAGCTGGAGCTTGAAAAGGGATCGAGGACTGAGTTCAAGCAATTGGAGGCCAGTGATCAATGCAGACCTTTTCCTAGGATCCATATAGAGCCTCAAGAGAAATCAAATGTTAACTTCAAGCAGGTCATCACCAAAAAACTGCAGAAGAGTTGTCAGTGCAGCCCAACCAAAGTCAAAAATACAATGTTTGATTTCTTTCCTGTACTGCAGTGGCTTCCAAAATATGATCTGAAGAAAAATATCTTAGGAGATGTGATGTCAGGCTTGATTGTTGGCATCTTATTGGTGCCCCAGTCCATTGCTTATTCCCTCTTGGCTGGCCAGCAGCCTATCTACGGTCTGTACACATCTTTTTTCGCCAGCATCATTTACGTCCTGTTTGGTACTTCCCGTCACATCTCTGTTGGCATTTTCGGAATACTGTGCCTTATGATCGGTGAGGTGGTTGACCGAGAACTACACAAAGCTGGCTATGACACTGCCCATATTCCTTCTTCTGTGGCGATGGCTTCAAATGCGAGCACTTTGTTAAACCAGACATCAGTTAGGGAATGTGACAGAAGTTGCTATGCAATTAGAGTTGGCTGTACTGTAACCTTTATGGCTGGAGTTTATCAGGTAAGAAAGAAATCACGACATATGATTTACAGATCCCTCAGATCTGTAAGGGAGCTTAGAGATTATAATAATTAAAGCTTTTTTTGGTTGAATGCACAGTATATTTAAGGGGTGGAGCCCAAATTCAAAGCCTGGTTTAACTCCACAGGTAAGTCTGCTTCTGTGTTCTTAGTCTTCGAATCCTAGACTGCCTTCTAGTTAATGAGTTTCAATCAACTAGGTTTTAATTGTTTGGAATATTATTTAATTATTTGTAAGAATTTAGACCAGAACAGAACCTCAGACCACTTAGTATATCTCCTAATTTTATGTGTCAAAAAACATCCATTTACGAGTTTGTGCGGTCCGTTTTTGGCAGAGTCAGCACTAAAAATCAGACAGAAAGGAAACAGAATGGGAGCCAAGGAGGAAGAGGGGAGCGCTTCAAGGTGTAGCTGCCCCTATAGAATTCTTTTAGAACTGCTGCTCTCCGGGGAGTCACTCTCCCTAAAGACAGTAACCACTATTTCCTATTATCAGCCAGGAGAAAGGATTAGAAATGAAATTCTTCTTAGAAATGAAATTCATGGGCCTCTTACAGAATCCACTGATTTACCATAACCACTGTGCCCTGCCTAGTGGCCTCCAGGGTGTGTACTAGCACTAAGCCACTGTCACAGGCCTTTGGAATAAGGGTGGTGGTGGTGGGGGGTGGGTGTTTCTCTTTATGTAGTGCCTGGTTGAGGAGGAGAGGGAGAAGGGGGTGGTGTGTATAAGAGCTGTGCTCCTCAGAGCCCACCTGACTTTGTTGTTATGGCTCACCAAGAATGAGGAAGGGCACAATAGAGTTCTGAGGAATTGTTGGAAGAAGAAAAAATAAAGACATAAAAGTCATGTCCTTGAGAATGAGGAGTTAACATGAAGCAGTATGGCACAAGCATGTATACACCAGGTGAGGAGTTTCTCCAGGGAGGTTAACGAGAGTTTGATAAGATTATATTTTGATGTGAATCTATTTTTTTGGTCAGTTCAAACTTCCTTTTATAGTAAAGCTTTGTAATTTAAAGAAAATACATGGCTTTCTAATTAAAGGAACTTTTCCAACATGAGTTTTTATGAGTTCTTATGGATCCTTGAGAATTTTCTTTGTCGAAGAGCTCTGAACCTTTTTGAAGTCAAGAAACATTGTACAAGAAGGTAGGAATCCTAAGTTCTGTTCTCAGCTGAGCTATAACAGTGTGCCCTTAAATATGATTGCATTTTTCCAGCTCTGACCTTCCTTGATGCCCTGTCTCCATGCAGAGAAGTGCCAGGGTGATGCAGTCTGCACAAGCTCTTTTCCACGTATATTTAACACTTGTCCATCCTTCCTTCCAGGTAGCCATGGGCTTATTTCAAGTGGGTTTTGTTTCTGTCTACCTCTCGGATGCCTTGTTGAGTGGATTCGTCACTGGTGCCTCCTTCACTATTCTTACATCTCAGGCCAAGTATCTCCTTGGGCTCAGCCTTCCTAGGAGTAGTGGTGTAGGCTCACTCATCACAACGTGGATAAATATCTTCAAAAACATCCATAAGACCAATCTCTGTGATCTCGTCACTAGTCTCTTGTGCCTTTTGGTTCTTTTGCCAACCAAAGAAATCAATGAGCGCTTCAAGTCAAAGCTGAAGGCACCGATTCCTACAGAACTCATTGTTGTCGTGGCGGCCACGTTAGCCTCTCACTTTGGGAAACTGAACGAGAAGTACCATACGAGTATCGCTGGACACATTCCAACTGGGTTTATGCCGCCCGAGGCACCAGACTGGAACTTAATTCCCAGCGTGGCTGTAGATGCAATCGCTATCTCTATCATTGGTTTTGCCATCACTGTGTCACTTTCTGAGATGTTTGCCAAAAAGCATGGCTACACGGTCAAAGCTAACCAGGAAATGTATGCCATCGGCTTTTGCAATATCATCCCTTCCTTCTTCCACTGCTTTACTACTAGTGCAGCTCTTGCGAAGACTTTGGTGAAAGAATCAACAGGCTGCCAAACTCAGCTTTCTGCTGTGGTGTCAGCTCTGGTTCTTTTGCTGGTGCTCCTGGTAATTGCTCCTTTATTTTATTCCCTTCAGAAAAGTGTCCTTAGTGTGATCACGATTGTAAATCTCCAGGGAGCCCTGCGTAAGTTTAAGGACCTGCCCAAGATGTGGAGGGTCAGCAGAATGGACACGGTTATCTGGTTTGTCACAATGCTGTCCTCTGCACTGATAAGCACTGAACTAGGCCTGCTTATTGGGGTTTGTTTTTCTATGTTTTGTGTCATCCTCCGCACTCAGAAGCCACAGACGTCACTGCTTGGCTTGGTTGAAGAGTCTACTGTCTTCGAATCCATTTCTGTTTACAAGAATCTTCAGACTAAGCCGGGCATCAAGCTCTTCCGCTTTGTAGCCCCTCTCTATTACATCAATAAAGAATGCTTTAAATCTGCCCTGTACAAAAAAACCCTCAACCCAGTCTTAGTAATGGCGGCACAGAAGAAGGAAGCAAAGAGAAAGATGAAAAAAGAAGGGCTGACTCTCACTGGGCTCCAGGACGAAGTGTCTGTGCAACTCTCCCACAACCCCATGGAGCTCCACACCATAGTGATTGACTGCAGCGCAGTACAGTTTTTAGATACAGCAGGGATCCATACACTGAAAGAAGTCCGCAGAGACTATGAAGCCATTGGCATCCAGGTTCTGCTGGCTCAGTGCAACCCCTCTGTGAGGGAGTCCCTGGCCCGTGGAGGGTACTGCAAGACGGAAGAAGAAAATCTTCTCTTTTATAGTATCTATGAAGCAATGGCTTTTGCAGAAGACTGCCAAAATCAGAAAGGGACCTGTATTTCCAACGGTCTGAGTCCTTCCAGTGATTGAGAGAGAAGGCAGACTGAAAGAGGAACAATGTCTGACCAAAAGGCTAATGTTTCAAGTGCACATTTTCATTGGAAATGTGCACTTGAAATTTTAACCTCTCGATTGGAGAGTATTCTTCCTCTGAAGCGGGTGGCTTTTATAGACACCCAAATGCAGTGGAAATTATAGTATGGTGTTATCAAAGAAAGAAAATACCATGTGGTGTCCAGCTTTCTCACAGATAGGAGCTATTCTTGGAATTGAATAGCTATTGAACAGGACCATAAAGTAGCCCCCAAACTTTATGACTATCTGTTTCAGGAGCTAGCCTTTTTGGACTCTTCCTTCTCCAGGAGGTCAAGGGGTGAAGCTTGACATTCACATCAACTGTGGGAGCAGGAAAGGAGACAGTCAAGAAACGTGCCCGCTCCTGTGCCTGCAGGTCAGGAGGCTTTCGGAGCACAAGGTGACCACCAAGCAAGTTGATTTCACTTGTGCGTCTCGATTCCCAGTAGTATCTGGGAATCTACAAAGCAGTATCTCTGGCTTTGAACAGGAAAGCACCGTTCCTCAGATGGCTGGGCTGGTTTGTGAAATCCAACAGCCAGCCCCACGTTACACAGCGTACTCCTTGTAACACCCTTGGTGTTTTGAGTCATGCCTTTTTGTTTAGTGTGGGTAGGTTCTTAAAGAGGTCTTCAAAATCAACCGCCATGATGGGACTCCTCCCTATCTTTTCTGGAATCTTCTCTGTCCCTGTTTCTGAGTATTTCGCCTGTTAAGCTCCATTTTAGCTTCAATTTAGTGTGTTTCCCATGAATCTTTTTCTTTGTTTTTTTTTTCCCCATGAAATCTAAATGGCTATGTCTGATCACCAGTGACAACTTGGCAAATAAAAGGCAGAACACTGACTTAGCAATCCTAGATGGCACTTGCATGAGTTTGAGGCAAGAAGGGGTGATTGACAGTTTCCCATGAGAATGTGTTTACATCCCTGAATTATTTTTTTCCTTCTTGTGACATTTTAGCAAGCCTGGGGACTGAGTTTCTCAGAAAGCAGCTACCTTTACTCCCCAAGCAGGATGTAACCAATAGAAAAGAATGCACAGAAGATCGAGGGCTTTCAAAAGCACATCAATAATTCAGTTGTAGATATTTTAGTGAGGGTAAAGCTAATGCTCACTGCCACGTGGTAGTAAATATTGAAGACAACAACTTTTAACTCTTGGATCATGCAAAACTGTTATGCAAGAGAATTTAGAAGCATCACCTTCATAGAACGCAGGTTCTGGAGGTGTATTATTTACGCTAGCTGGCCACAGTTTGTGACAACAGGAATTGTTTCTTTCGAAAAGCAAGACTGTGCAACATTGAATGTTTGTAGTTCTGTATCTGGACTTTGATAAGCAAGAAGAAACCAGGTTTTCCAGAGTTACAATGAGGAGACTAATTTATTTGAGATTGTAATATTTGGCCACAACACTTAAAACACTTGCAAACGTTGCACAATTATTTTTTAACCTGCTGCTATATTCTAAACAATTTAAATACTTATGAGAAGCAAACCCTAATGTGAGGTACCTATTAGAGTGGGATCCGTTTAAATATATTTAGCTCTCTTGTTGACCCCATATTAGAAAAGCAAATACTGCCTTTTTATTGGTAGAGCTCTGTTTACATGAAAACACCTTTGCATTATGAAGAAAAAGTTTCTCAGTAGAAAAGTTGGATTTCTGTTAAGGTGATGGATATGATTAAATGTAATAGTGTTCTGAATTTTTATGTCCTTTTAGAACTTGTATAGAATTTCAGAAATGTTAGCTGCTGTTTGTACTTGTAGGCTGTGGCTTGTTGTTAGCCAGTACGTGCTCTTTCTGTCCAGTCTTAGCAACCATAATGGTAAAGTTTGGTATCTTGTTCTGTCATGTTTTTAACCCTTCCTCAAGCAAGTTTTGAATTGAGACCATTATAGATGTTTAATGCCATGTGACAGAGAAGTGAATGGATGTTTAAGACCATAATTAACTAACAACAACATAGCAAAGAATAAATTCTCAGTCCAAAGAATGTGGGAAATCCCTCAGAAGAATGGAGTAAGCAGATTTGATCTTTACTTGACATTTCTGTCCATATGTGGATATAAACAATTCTGGAACTTTATGAAATCAGCAAGTTCTCCAATTGTGTTCTGGTTTGTATCTCTCCCACTGATCCAAACAAGAGAATCTACTTTTGGTGGCCATTTATCAAAGACATTTAAGATTTCACTAGAATTTACATGTCACACTCCGCTTGGGCTAAGGTCTGCCTATACTTCCATGTTGTTAAACATTTTTGATTGCTGGTATTTGAAAGAACCAAACCTGAAACCAAAGCCTAATATACAAGCAAAAAACTTTTCATTTGCTTGCTTATTCAAGGACATGGGCATTAATTCTTTGGGTGATAACTTACACTTTATTGTTGCAACAATACTGTGTGCTTACTCTAAACTTCAGTGAAGCATTTTATCATTGCTTATTGAGAATGTACATTCCGGATACCTTAAAATGGCCATTTAATTGAAATGTACTGTGTGCATCCTTAATGGTTACATTTCTTACAACCTTTCTTTAAAAAAAAAAAAAAATTGTAACGAGGGATTTGTGAACACTGTCTCAGACCGCACAGGAGGGAGAAACGAGAGGGAGCCAATTGCACAGCCTCCGTCTTTCATCTGGACTGAGCCCTGCTGATCTGTGCTTCTGATGGTGGTAGAACTGACAGATGTGATCTTTTTTCAAGTAGGACCAAATGTGAACAGTATTTGGATTATCTGACTTAGCTGTAAACAACCGTAGACACTGAAGCCAAAATGTGGTGTTGGTAAATTTACTTTATGGTAGACGGTAACCTCTAAAAATGAGTTCATTAGACTTTTCTAATGATGATGACTACACCTGAACAAGAACAGTATTCTCTGCAGGGATATTCTCTTAGTAATTTGTTGCTCAAGAACACTGTCAGGGCACTAGCCCTAAGCTTAAATAAAAGTGAGAAAAGGCTTATAGTCAATTGCCTGGGAACTTAAATCAAGTCTCTCAGTTATAATGACAAATTTGAGTTCTGTGAACCTCATTAATGTCCTTCTGGATTGTTTTCCTCTGTGTGTTGCTGTAGATGACACAGGTTCTTCTTGCGCCAATGTTGACAGTACCTCACATGCTTTCTGAGGATCCGAACAGGAACCTGGGGCCTTAGGCCAAGTGCTGGGAGTTAGGACATTAAATCTAGTAGGTGGGTTATGTGGTATCTCTCCTAGAGATGGTGCACTGAGGAGGCATTTGTGGAGGGCTTGAGCTGAGTGGACTGAGGGCTAAGCAGGAGACGAGCCACCAAGGCAGACAAGGAGGCATGGGTGCTTGCCCCGGCCTATTCAGGGAATGATTCCACAGTGATGTGGTTAAAAACCTGTTAGATTGGACTCAGACTTTGCTTAATTTTTCTGTTCTTTAATGTTTTTCTTTTTTTCCCCTTTAATATTTTCTGTCTGTCCTGATGCTTTATTAAAAACTGGACTTAGAAAACTGCAAAGTGTAACAACTTGGATCTAGGAAGCTTTCAAGTGCTGAACTAATTTTTTTCTGATGATTTTAAATAACCATGAATTGAATCATTAATTTGAGTGCTAATAACAAGTATGAAAATTATAATGGAACAGGCCAAAACATTACACCAGCTGGTTTGTTATCTTTGTCTATTATTAAATATTGTAAGTTAAAGGTACATTTTAGGTTATTTAATAAAAATTTTATTAACTTTAGGAATGGAGAATTTGGGTTTGGGAGTGGGGAAATCTATTTTTATAATTTTTATCCTGACAAGGACTATTTTTTTAAAAAAATGTTTTGCAACTGAAATTCTAAAATAACCATGTTAAATATGGTTAGCAAAGTCAAGTGAGCATTGTATTAATACTGAGCTTTTGATGTGTAATTTTTATCTTGTGGTGTAAAAGAGGAAGGTGAGATGAAACTATGAAAACTGGAATAATAATGGAAACTAAATGTCGCTATTGACATTTGAAGGTACCATGTTTGTAAGTCTACACTGGATCTTGGATACCTTTTCTGTGCACTTGAATGATGGCTCTGGAAATGCTGAATAATTACAGTATTACTACAAGATGCAAGTTGCAATTTCTAAAGGGAGGTTTTTTGTTGGCATGCAGACAAGAAGCCTAAGCCAGAAAGGATTTTTAACTACAGCTTTAGTTTATTTTAGGGAGGTTTCTTCCCCCGCTCATCCCCCATCCCTAAAATAGTAAGATGCTGGGAATCAAAAAGCTTTTTGCCTTTTCAATTCAAGCAACTGAGAAATTACTGTTTAAATTTGGATCCTACCATGATTTCTCAAAAATTATTGTGAACAAACCAGTGTATATAACCTGCTACCTTTTATGGTCTCCTTTGTAATTTTATATACCAATCAAGAAAATAACAGGGTGACAAATTAATGAAACTAAATTCTTACTCTTGTCTATTCACCAAAAAGTATACCCTATACCCCCAATTATTCAAGGCAAATGACTCTTAGGAACATATTTTGTACTACATGTATCTTTTTTAATTAAAGCAAGTGCCTTGATGCAATGCCATATAAATCATGCTTAACCTTCTATTGGATGAAGATTAGTGATTAATGAAGTACAGCCTATTGCAGGGACGGTGAGCTGGTACTTTTCTTCTAGTTTCATGAACAATGTTTGTGATGTTTATTGTGAAAGATCTACCTAAGTTTTGCAATCTAGCGATGTCATTTCATTTGCTAATAAATTGTTATACTAATCAAATATGACTGTGTCTGTTATTTTAAGTGCAAGGGGGTTCTATGAAACATTTAGGTCACCAGTAGGTTTTACTATTTACTTTTATATATTAATTAAGGTACCAGTGAGTTTTAAAATATGCCATCTCTTTACATTTGGGGAGGGATTCTGTAATTTTCCCTAACTATAACAAAAGTATCTTGTCCTTAGAGAAAACCATAAAACATAAATCTTTTTTGCACTGTGGTTCTGAGTGAGTCCATTAACCCTTAGGTGACTCCATTTCTCCCCCAGTGAAGAGAGGAGAAGGATCCAGTTGTTTGAGGACCCTTCCAGCTCTCATTTCACAGGGCTCCTATTTGTATCGTCTGGGAATCAGAAAACTCAAACCTGGCTCATGTTTTACTACTGTCCTAACTCTGAATTTGAGCCAGTGACCTTTGAGATACATTTTCCCCAGCAGTAAATTGAAGCTAACACCTTATAACCACCAAGTGAGAGAAACAGGAATGGAATTTCTAACTAGAGCATAGCACTTGGTAAGGAATACCTGCACCAGCACCCTCCCCTACCTGCCCTGAGTGCTAGTTGCTTCTGGAATATCTTCCCACTTCTGTCTGGCTCAGCTTTGTGGGTGCAAGATTAAGGACAGTTTTCAGTCTTCTTTTTACAGTCCTGTAACTCTGGGCTTGCTTTCCCTGATCTTATATCCACCCTACAGAGTGAAGGAGGGGGACTTAATGATCGCCTAAGTCCTACTACCGTCAGTTTTACCATCGTGTCTGCCCTCCCTGCCCACACACAGCACCTGGATGCAGAGCCCTGTGTGGTGCTCCACATTCTCTGGCATCTGCAGTCACCTGGGTGGGCTCCTTCCCCACCTGTCCTTCAGTGCTATCTCCTTGCCTCATCTCTACTCATAGAGCACTGCTGCTTAAGGTTTGAATTTTCAGATACAGTCAAGACTGATGAAAATGGCTTTTCTTAGAGAAAAAGCCACGTGTCCATGCATATACACTCATGATTATTAAAATGTTGGTTCACAGACCCCCCATATCATGAACACCTTGCAGTATAAACTCTCCACATGAATACATCCATATCTTGGCTTCTATTGCCTTACCACCTGTGTGCTAATGGCAAGCAGACCTGACCTTTCTAGAACACTAACCAGCATATTTGTATAAATCTCTAGAGCTGTTGTTGACAGCTCTGCCTGGCTACCCAGAGATATTCCCCCCAAAGTCTCCCTATCAACCTATCTCGATCATGGCATGACCCAACAACTCAAGTCAGAAACCTGGGAAATTATAGAATCTTCCTTCTTAACTTCCATGTCAAGTCTATCAACTTGGTAAAAGTCAAATTTGACATCTTTTTTTTTTTGCCCTTAAGGGAAACACCATTTCTCTTCAGGACAGCATCACAGCCTAACTCAAAATTATCTGTTTCTTTACAATCCAGCCTTTATGCTAGTTATCAATTGTTTTTTTAAAATGGCCATTTTTGGGCCTCCCCTGGTGGTGCAGGCGGTTGAGCGCCGTGCTGTGAAGCTGTGCAGTGCCAGTTCGATCTGGCTGGCCAGCGAGGCTCCCACATGGCACGGCAGACCTCTCCTGTTGTACCCGCTGCTCCCCTCAGCAGGGTATTTTGTCAGTCTGCCTGTTCTGTTCCCTGCTCTGTCTCTGGTGAATCCTCTCACCCTCCCGCACATCTGGCCTGTACCCTGGTTCTTGTATAAAATAAATAATTTTTTTTTTAAAAAAGCAAAAAATAAAAAATAAAATGGCCATTTTTCCTTGTAAGTGGTTATATAGTGTTATCAGGGTATTTTCAAAGTTATGATCCAGCCTACAAGACCTTAAAACCTTGCCCTTGTTTAAATCTCTTGCTCTGCTACATATTCTTTACTTGACACTGACCTCTTACCTTAGGTGTTCCCGCCTAATGGGCCATTTTTTAAATGTCTTAGACCTTTATTTATTCTTAATGTTAGCCCAGCTCCACTGGCCTAACTCCACACTCCTATTCCAGATACTTATTAAAATGTCCCTTGATCTTGGCAACATTTCCTACTGAATTCCTTTTCTCTCATAAAGGACTCCATCTCTGAATGCCTATCTATTTCCCAAAATGGCATCTACTCATTCTTCCTATCATTTATACTAACTAAACTCCATAGGGATAGAGCCATGCATTTCATCCTTAGAGCCTCTATGGTCAGCAGGGGGTACATTATAAAAGGTCGATATGTATTGCAAACAAGGATCTATTTGGTGGGCGGTTATTTCTCTACCACTGGTGTATATGCAGAGCATGTCTATCTCGTGGCCTGTGGTTATAGGAAAAAGACTCTAGGGAAGGGATGGGTGTGTAGTAGAGTGAATTAGGTAGTGTAAAAGACAATTGATTTCTAAGTTAGTTATCTGAACTAGCCCCACACCCTAAGTCTCAACTCTTTCTTTGTTGTCCTGCTCCATATCTGCCATGTGGAGTTACAAGTGGCTGCCTCTATGGTTTCCTCAGTTGGCGACACTCACTCCTTTATGTGGGCCACCTCTGCCCTCTGGAGGTCAGAACATGCCACCACATTCTATTTCAAAGAAGTATGGCTTCAGGTGGCATAACAGCTCTTTCCTAGGTTTGCAACTTTGGAATTACATTATCTAAGCTTATTTGTCCTTTGTATTATGATTTGTTGGAAAGATTAAATGATAAGCAGTGAAACAGTGCTTGTCTTATCTTCCTTTTTAATCTAAGTCTTAGGAACAAGGCAAAGGAAAGCCCAAATTATCATTTATTGATCACACTGGCTGGTACTGGAATACTGAACCCCAAGATTTATTAGTGCAAGAAGGGGTTGCTAAGGCACCTTTGGGTGGTGCTGAGAAAGTTCCAAATAGGGATGGATAGACAACAGGTAGTATTTACAGAACACTTCGTCTGTGCCAGGAGCTCATTAGCCTCCTGATAACATAGTCAAGGTGTGTGCCTCGTCCTGGTATGTTGGCTCATGGAGTAGATCTGTGAACTAGTGCAGAATTAAGTCCTCGAGTGGGGATGGAAGGACCAGAGGCAAAGAAAAGTCAGAGGATCTGATGGAGATAGCAGACCAAGAAGGGATATCACCTTTTAGTTTGAAAAACAAAGCATCAAATAAAAATGCCTAACATTTAACAGACTCAGAGGCTTAGCCAATGGAAACCAGACAGCACAAAACTTTCTCTTTGGGGTGTGACTTCCATCTACTAGGATCTCATTCATATGACATGTTAAGAGAGTCAGAGTCAGGGACCACAGATTTTTTTTTTTTTTTTAAGAAAACAACTTTAAGCACATATTTATGGAATACCTACTATGTTCCAGGCACTTAGGCAAAATCTTTCATACTAAAGTCTTATATGTGTATAAGTGGGAAAATCCTGCAATGACTTTTGGGGGGAAGGAAACAGGTTTAACCCTGTAACTTAGAATTCTTTAAAATCAAAGAACAGATTATAGTCTGGATTGAAAATACTTGAGACAATGATATTCATAGAAAAAATTTTGCAAATCCCTTTAAATAGAGGACCCCTACCTTATTTCCAAGTCATTTTCTAGTAGAATCAGTGCTTCATACAGTTTTGTAAAAATAAGTTGGTTTTGACACATTACGTGTCTCATTTTATACACACGTTTATTAAAGTACCTACTACGTGCCCAGAACAGTGGTGCTTGGCACCACTAAGATTACAAAGGCTTACTGGTTCCTGCTCCCATGGAGTTTACAGTCTAGTTAATGAACCACAAAGCACTCTTAAAACGTTTAAGTGCTTCACTGAGTGTTAGAGACACCAAGTGCTGAGTTAAGGGAAAGGGGGGTGTAGCAAGCGCTGGAGTCTTTAAAGGGATCCAGTTCATTTTTTGCCTAGAGAGCAGAGCAAGGCATCCAGGCAAAGGCACTGTAGCAGACATAGGTATGGAGGCAAGGAAGACATGGCCAGTGGCGGGTGGAGGGTCGGGGACGGGAGCAAACGCGCAGGCTGAGTTGTACCCAGCAACTGAGCTGGACATGCAGGCTGTGGCCAACACTAGAGGGCGCTGCAACTCAGTTGAAAAATCCAGTGCTGCGCTCTTAAGGCCTTTGAGAGCTAGAACACATTCCCTGGGCAGACGCAATGGCATGATGCCAACTGAACTAACATTATGTGCAAAATGGACTTTAGGAGAAAGGTAAGGAAAGAAATGAGAAATTGTGTCCATAACCCTGACACAAGATGATGAGGGCAGTGAAGGAAATGACAGTGAGATAACCACCAATCTTGGCCAGAAGACAGCACAGTCTTCTCTCAAGTGTTAAGAATTTAAAATGTATACAGTACTTTCAAGTAAAATGATACTAGTTTCTTTAAATGTCCAAAATAGGATTTTTAAGTCTTTTTAAACATATGCCTTTTTTTGCTGATTTTGTTCAACATGAAAGCATTCCTTTCTATAATTAATCTGTTTTATACATGTTTTAATTAAATTACAGAAAGAAAAATAACTATATTGCTATAAGTTTCTGAAATAGGAACTAAAGTAACTGAAAGGGGAAAAAGCCCTATACTACAAGACTGAGGTGGTGTACTTTTAAAAATAAAATGGACATTTATGTCACTTAGGAATTGTTCTAGGCTTATAAAGGATATGAAGAATGCCTTCTCTGTAGCAGAAAAATGTTACTATAAATCTGATAATATATTTATAGTTTTAAGTAACTTAAAATTAATTCTGTTCTAACAGACTCCTCTGAAGAACAAAGGTAAAGGAATAAAGGTGATTCCTTGTTTTTTTTTTCTGAGACTAAATGTAACATGCCCTATTTCAGTTACACGGTCCAGCCTGGAGTACTCGCAGGTGTGGAGAGGAGCAGTGTGAATGACTCAAACACTCTCACGCATCCTCTCTCTGGTGAACTTGCCTTCTTTCATCTTGTCTGGAAATCGAGAGGCACCTTGGGTTGTAAGTGCTTTCTCTGATCCTTATTAGCAGGATTCTGCTATTATCCCTGATTGCATCATGTCTCCTCTTTATTTCCCTACTACACCAGGTCTCTATTAATAAGAAGCCTGAAGTACTACAAGATATTTTAATAAAAGAGATGGCTGGTTGGGGAGATTGATATAACACTACCAAATACTCAGCCAACTAGCAGGACACGGAAGAGAATAACTAAGGTGGCCCCAGGGTTGCCAGATTAGCAGAAAGGAGTTAACAGTACTGAAGTGAGAACAGCGAATTTTTTTTTTTTTTTTTTTTTTTTTTGCTAGTATGGGGAGAGCTTAGACGGCCGGCTAAAGAAAGAAGTGTTAGAATTCAGCTAGAGCAGTGGTTTTCAAACTATGAGCTCCGGACTACATCATTATCACTTATGAACTTGCTAGAAATGCAAATTCTCGGGCTCTGAGACCTACTGAATCAGAAACTTTGTGGAGGTGGAGCTCTGCAACATGGCTTTTAGCAAGCCTTTGAGTGAGCTAAAATTTGGAAACCACTAAGCTAGATTTACCAGAAAGTTGGCCCTAGGTCAAAATGTACTTCACTTTCCTGTGTCTGATCCAGTAGTTCCAAAACTTTTCTGCTCAGTGGAATCATCTGGGAGCTTAAAAAACTACTAAGGCATGTGACTCATTACTAGAAATTGTGATTTAATTGGTCTGAGATAAGGCCTGAGCTTTGGACATTTTAAAAAACTCAAGGGCCTCCCTGGTGGCACAAGGGGTTAAGACACAACCTATGAAGCTGTCTGCAGCCACCGACAGCAAGAGTTTGATCCCCGGCGCAGCAGACCTCTCCTGTCTTGCCTGCTGCTCCCCTCAGCAGTGTTTTCCAGTCAGTCTGCCTGTTCTGTTCCCCATTCTGTCTCTGGTGAATCCTCTTACCCCCCACACCTCTGGCCTGTACCCCACTCTTGTATGTATAAATAAATGAATCTTTAAAAAAAAAAATCTCAAGTGATCAGAAAGTACAGATGAGGGCCTCCTGGTGGTGCAAGGGGTTAAGCACAGCACTATGAAGCTATCCGCAGCCACTGCAGCAAGAGTTTGATCCCCAGCCAGCCAGGGAGATACCCATATGGCACAGCACACCTCTCCTGTCTCACCCGCTGCTCCCCTCAGTGTATTTCAGTCAATCTGTCTGTTCTATTCCCCACTCTGTCTCTGGTGAATCCTCTCACCCCCACACCTTTGGCCTGTACCCCAGTTCTTGTATGAATAAATAAATCTTTAAAAAAAAAAAAAGTACAGATGAGTTTAGCAACCCTTGGATAAACCAAGAGGCACACGTAATAAATCCCATGCCCAAATTCCACTCGAGGGAGTTCCATGATTATTTCAAAGGACTAGCATGTTGTCATAATAATATTGCTTAAAATTCATATCCAGCACACTAGCTAAAAAAATACACTTTTAAACTGCATCTTTGAAAGAGTTAATTAATTCCTACACTATTTTGTTTGGAGGAAATCTGTAATTTTGGAATCAAGCGTTTGTGTCACTCTTCTCATTAAATATTCATCTATGCCATTTAGCTGGCCAAAAATAGCATCCGGAACACCTACACAAGTTGAAAGAAACTGTCTAAGTTTCTGGACACTCGAGATGGCTTCTGCAATAGTGATTTCTGGCTGCTCTGGTAAAGATGCCTCCCCCTCATCTTCACTTCCAGTTTCATCACTATCTTCTCCAGGCCCAGCACCCTGGATGTCCTCTGCGTCCATCAGCTCCTGAGAGATAATGACATCATTATCTACAGTGACAAAATCCTGAAAATTTACTTCAGTTGGGACACAGGTAGCAATAGCCACTGAGTGCCACAACTTCTCAATGGCGGTATCTGGTTCACTGGCTGCTGCTTGTGTGTCAGAATCTGTCAGTTCCAAGGGGATGATACCTGCCTTCTGCCAGCACCTCACCACTGTGGACTGCTTCACTGACCACCATGCTGCAGCAATCATGTTTATGGCCTGCCTGATGTCCATTTTTTCTTGATCCTCACTGCTGCTGAGTTTGAGGAGAATCTGCTTCAGAAGGTGGCTCCTGTACAGCTCTTTCACAGCGTGAATTATGCCAAGATTCAGGGGTTGCAGGACTGCAGTACAGTTTGAGGGCAGATACCCTACCTGGATCCTTTCCAGGCGGGGAAGCATGTTGTGAGCTGAGCAGTTGTCAATAAGCAGGAGTATCCGGCGTTCTGCCCGCTTCATCCTGGCATCTACTTTCACCAGCCACTCATTGAAGAGATGTGGCGTCATCCATGCCCACTGGTTGGCTCGGTAATCACAAGGGAGGGAATGCATGTTTTTAAGGCAGCGTGGGTTGGCTGACCTACCAACAATCAATGGCCTCATTTTTTCAGTCCCTGAAGCATTACAACAAAAGAGCACTGTCAACCGCTCCTTTGCTTTTTTGCCTCCTCTACAATAGTCCCCTTTAGCACTGAGTGTGTGCTGGGGAAGCAACTGGAAAAACACTCCTGTCTCATCAGCATTAAAGATATCATCTGGACTGTAGTCAGCAATAAGTTTTATAATTTCCCCTGCATGCCACTCATTAACCTTATCTATTCCCAGACTACTTATTAACCTGTCACTATCCTCTCTACACACTGCTTTCAGAGCAATTCCATGGCGATCCCTAAATCTGTTCAACCAACCCACACTTGCTTGGAAATTATCATAGCCCAGCATGTTGGCCAAGTTTAGTGCTTTCTTCCGAATGACGGAACCAGTCACGAGAATGTTTTTGGCGTGGATTTCCTGAAACCAAGCAAAGACAGCCTTATCGATGTCGTCGTAGAGGGCGTTCCTCATTCTTTTCCGCTGGGGTCCCACAGATGCTTCCCGCACCTTTTCCTCAAACTTGGCACGATCCTTTAAGAATGTAGACAAGGTTGAGGGAGTGATACCAAATTCTTTTGCCACATCACCTTTTCTCTTGCCTGAGTCTACAGCTTCTACAACTTTCATTTTCTCCTCCAGGGAGAACTGCCGGCGTTTCTTGTTGCCCTTGTTTGCCATATCCACAGGGTGAGGGCTGGGCCACAACTACCAGTGCTGTGTCTGCTCCTCCTTGTAGCTTGTTTTGCCACAAGTGTGGAAAACTGAGAAGACAAAATGGGGTACCTATCAGGAACGAATGACAATGGATGTCCCCTAAAAGAAAGGCTCAGATTTTTAAAACTTCTATTAGGAAATGATAATATGAGGTCATATCCAAGAAAAGGTTGGATTCATGCTATTGAATTTTTTGTAGAGATTACTTATATAGACTGAGAATGCTTGAACTAGATCTTTATGGGTGATCTAGTTTCTGGGTCTCTGCAAAAATAATAATCCTGCTCTGTCTCATAGCTTAAAAAAAAAAATGGTGGTAACAGGGCTTTGCAAATAGAAATGCACTATAGAAATTCAAGGGGATTGTTACCTGACTCATTTTACAGATACAGCAATTGAGGCCTGCAGCAGGGACTTACCCAGATTCATACAGCTCAGATTTCTTGACTCAGATTAGTGCTATTTGAAACGCCACAGTCCTGCTTGAAATTCCACCAACATGAAATCTTCAGAGCTCTATCCTCATTTGGCTTAGAAAGATTTTCACAGTGGGAAGAGTTTCTGGTAGCCATTCATTCATTTAATGAATATTCACAGATGCCAAGTAGTAAAGAAATAGCCATGAACAACAGAGTCAAGTCCCAGCCCTTATGAATACAGTGGTGGGGGGAGAGAAAGAGTAAGTAAACTGACAAGTAAGATAAAAACAGTGTGATCTGCATGATGAGAGAAATAAAGACTGAGAGAGACTAACCAGGTCAGATCTATTTACAAAAGGTGGTTAGGATGGCTCTGAGAAGATGCCATTTAAGCTGTGATCTCCATGAAGAATAGGGGAAGGACAGTCCAGTAAAGGACATGGCATCAGCAAAGGTTCAAAAGCAGGTAAGCACTTGAGGTATTCAGAGAACTGAAAGACCTGCATGACTCCAAACGTATGACAAAATTGGACCATTTGAAGATGTTATGGTAAGGAGTTGATATTTTGAGCACAACAGAAATCCACTGAAGGTTTTCAGGCAACAGAGGGTCAGGATCTGATTTGCATTTAAAAAAGGATCACTTTGGCTGCTATGTAGAAAATGGACCAAAGAGGCAAAGAGATCAATTAGGACATTAGGATGCTGTTGCTGATACTTTGGGTGACAGATGATGGCAGAAGTATGGGCGTTTCCTCTCCAGGACTATTTTCCCACTTCAGAATGAGGAAGACAGACTCAACTAGGGAGGTCATATCGGAATCTGATATCCAAGTGCTACCAATACCTACTGAATAAGAAATAAGAGGGAATATATAATTTTGAAAAGCTCTCAGTGATTCTGTTACCTCCTATAGTTGCCAACCACAGGACCAGCTGATCCCTGAGGTCCCTTCCAGGTTGAAGCACTGGACCCTAGATAGGTGCTCCAAGCTCAAATGCTGACAGGGGCCAGAATGGTAGCATAAGTGAGTGAAGGGGGAAGAAGGCACTAATAGTATTGTGGTCCGTGTGCCCTGTCTAGAGTTATTCAGAATTTTAATCAATAAAATTGGCCTTCTCTCCAGAAAGGCCAAACAAAATATGATTCAGCAGTAGCAGATATGGTAATTGCTTAGACCTTTTATCAAGAGAATTCTCAAAGGACAAGAAAAGCTGTTGTGACTGCCCTGTTCCCAAAGCTAACTTCTACCATCACCTCTACCCCCATATCTATTTATTTATGACTTCCTCTGTGTCAAGCACTGTGCTTGATGCCAGCAATACAAAGATGAGTGGAGCATAGTGCCCACATGGAGGAGCTTACCTGGGAAGCCCAGATGACAAACACTACAGTGTACTGAACACAGTGTACAGATCATCTGGGGTGGATGTGATGGGCCAAGTACTTCAAAAAGGAAATAACACTGATGTTGGGCCTTAAATAATAGGAATTCATGACATGGAAAGAAGTATGTGTAAAGGTAATGAAGTACTGTAGAAAATAAAACGGCATGCTCAGGAAAAAACAAATCTTTAAAGAAGAAAACAAGGGCCAAATCACAGAAAGGCCTCCTAAAGATTCTAGCTTGAATCTGGGGCAATAAGAGGCCTTTGAGGGTTTTTTTTTGGAGTGACTTCATCACATTATACTTTAGAAAGAGTCCTTTTTTGCAGTGTGGAGAACCTAATGGCAGAGTTCATTTTCCTAAGAGGTAGCCCTAAATCCGAAGAGAAAGCAGGCAAGCCTAACAGGCCATATAATTTGCCTGTGCTGATTTGAGTGCAATAGGAAGCTACTAACAATTTTACGTAAGGACAAAATGCTGTGTGGGGGCCTCCCTGGTGGCCTAGGGGTTAAGTCTCAGCGCTATCACCAATAAAGCTTGGGTTGGATCCCCCCTCCCCCCACGGAGCTTATCCAATTATGGCACAGCAGACTCCTCCTGTCTTGCCTGCTGCTCCCCTTAGCAGTGTTATTTCAGTAAATCTGTCTGTTCTACTCCCCACTGTCTCCCCCTCCAACTTCCACCTGACACTTCAGTTCTTCTATGCAATAAAATAAAATAAAATAAAAGACTAGTGTATAAAGAATGGAATTAAAGGGCATAAGAAAAAAAAAGCAAGAGGCTACCTAGGAAGTTGCTACATGTGTCTCTGGCTGTGAGATAATGGTGGCTTAAATTACAGTAGAGTGGAGATCGTAAAAAAGCTCCCAATGATTCTGGGGATATGTTTGGGGATATGTTTTTTGCAGGCATTGCTGATGGACTGGATTTGAGGTGCAAGAGGGGTCAAGGCCCAGATCTCTGGCTTCAGCACTGCACAGTCCAGTGTGTGGTGGTGCCATTTACTAGATGAGAAACAACTTTTGAGATGAGAACCAATTACTGAGGATCTACTTTGGAAACATAGTTTGTTACTTTACATGCTTAATACAGATTACATGTGAAAGGACTGGGATTCAAACCCAGAGAGGCCGACCACAAAGCCACTGTTCTGAACACAACAGAGAGTGCTATATAGAGCTTGTTCTGGGAACTACCAGTTTTGAGAAGGGATGTGGAGAGAAAATAAAGTAAAAGTTAAACCACGTTAAGCTAAGAAGTTGGAACTTTATTCTAAGTGAAAGAGCAGACACTGGAGGGTTCTAAGCAGGAAGTGAACTAATCAAACTTAGAGAAATTCGAAAAAGAAAAATCCATCTATTGTGTGGAGAACACACTGGAGGGGGACAAGAGTAGGGATGGAAGAAACCAGCAGTCCAGGCAGGAAACGATGGTGGCTAGGAGGCTGGTGACAACGGCAGACGGAAAAAAAGCAGGCAGATTAGAAATCCATTTGCAAAGCAGTGAGGGTAGTGCGGGGACTTGAACAAATGTGGGACAATCTGTGACATGGGACGGGAAAAGACATACACGCCATATCTGCTCGCGGAGCCTCTCCACCTGAGCATCCAGCTCGGTTACAGTCACTCTAGTCCCCACCCTGACTGTGTGTGGGACGGGCTGAAGTCACACCACCACGGGAAGGAGGAAGGCTGGATGCGGTACTGCGAAGAACCCTATCCAGAACGAGCGGGGGCAGACGGAGGAGGGCTGGGGTCAGGCCTTGACCGCGGTGCTCAGCGCGGGGTGCTGGGGACTCCCCAGGCCCCGACTAGGCACTGAAGGGTGAGGCACAGCCCCGCCCAGTTACCTGAACGCCCCGCGGCAAGGCCCGGTGGGCTGAGAGGCCGGGCGTCCCACAGCGGATGAGCGACCGCAGCTTCCTCCTCCGCCCGGAACCTCTGGCCGGAAGCGGTCCGTCCGCTTTAGCCGGCCGTCCAAGGCCTCGAGAGCAGCAACTCCGGGGCCGCCTCTCGCTAGCGTGGACGGCTGCGCTTGCGCACGGGCTCGCACGCAGTCACGCGCCGCCGGCCGCTTCCGGTGCGCCGCGAGGGCCGCCGGGACGGGTCTCCCAGGATCCGAGCTGTGCTGGTGCTGCTGCGCCGGTGCTGCTGCCGCCGGTGCTGCTGCTGCCGCCGCCGCCGCTGCCGCCGCTGCCGCCTCCACCGCCGAGCCGGTGCTGCGGGGACGCCGTGTCCCCGCTGTCTGCCCCGGGCTCCCCGGGGCCCGACCCCCGGGGCCCTCGGCAGGCGTCGGTGTCGAGCCGGCGGCGCGAGCCTGTACCCCCGCACCGCCCTCTGGACCCCGAGTCGCGACTCCGAGGGGGGCGGCGAGAGGGGCGGTCGCGACTCCGCGCCGAGTGTCGCCGGGCGGGGCCGCGGGGCCGGGGCTCCTCCAGCCCGCGGGATGCGCGCGCGGGCCGCCGCCTCCACCTCCTCGCCGCCCCTGTCTCGCCCGGAGCCGCCTCTCGCCGACCGCGGGGAGCGCGCGCGCGCCGGCCAGCCCCTCGTCGAGCCCCCGGGCCGGGCGCCGCGGGGCATGTGAGCCGCGCGCCGCGCTCGCTCCTCCGGGTAAGTCCCGCCCGGGCCCCGAGCCTGCGCCCTCCCCGGAGCGGGCGCCGCCGGCCTCGGTCCCCGCTGCTCCCGGCGCCGCGCCTCGCGCTCGCCGCTCTCGGGGAGACCCGCGCGGACAAGGGAAGTCGCGGGGTCCGGCCGGGGCCCGGGACGCAGCCGGCGAGGCCACTCCTGGGGTTGCGAGGAGCGGGTGAGGGGGCAGTGCGGGGGTCTCGCTGGTTTCGAGTCCGCCGGTAAACCAGTTTCGCAGATGAGAAAGCTTGAGTTTGAGAGTAGGTAGTTTGCTCAAGGTCATAGAACTCTGCGGGCCCTGTTAAAAATAAAGGTGTGGTTTACAATTAAAATTCTAGTCTTTTGCCCACCAGAGCCCTTGGCTTTAGCCTTTGTAGAATGCTGCACCCCTCCCGCCCTTATTTTTGCATCGTCGTACTCGGGCCTAGTATCTGAAAACAAGTTTGCACCCAGGATTAAAACGTGGCGGTCAAAACCCTGCAAAGTGTCTCGCTGCCCCATATCCCAAGGTAGCTGTGATGGCTTTGTTTCCTATTTTGCTTTGGGTGCCCTTATGTCACTCTTTGCACAGGCTCTCCAGCAGCTACTGCTTTTTGTCTGCCAGGCTCTCAGTGGCTGAGAAGTTAAGTATTAAGGGCAAAAAAAAAAAAAAAACCCAAAAAATCCATAGGTCCGTATCGCCTTGATTACAACTCCGGCTTCTCTTATCCTTCACTGACCTGCAACTTCCCCAGCCAAGTTGTGGATTATGTTCTCGGTGCTGCACTGTGTTAGAATGCATGGTCATTTTTTCGGTTTTCTTTATTTTAGTGGGAAGAGAAATTATTTAACGATGACACAGAACTAGAAAGAATCTTGGGTATAATGTGTTCTGGAGTTTGTCTTTAATTACAGGTGAAATATTTGCGTTTTCTTGGAGGATTTTTAGCTTTCCCAACATTCACAAAGGAATTCTTTTCTCCCTGCAAAGTTGGTAGTGACTGAGTTCAACTTCTTCATCACACATGAAGAATAAAGTGAAATTTAGGATGGGGAATGTACTTGTTGGAGATTACATGGTTTGAAAAGTTTAGATTTGGAACCCAGTCTCCTGACTTGACATGGATTCTCCTTCTCATTATACCTCATCATTGTGAAAGGAGGATTAAAGGAGATGATAAATGGGCTTCGTAATACACAGATGAGTTCCAGAATCCTAAATCCTCTTCCAGAAGTTTTTCAGTAGCAATCACATCATATCCCTCTCATAAAATTCAGGTGGTTTCTGAAAACTGTTCTCCCACATGGGTTGAGTCTTGTGGTAAAGCTCCAAATTAGGATATGGCCACAAATAAACTTACTCTTCTTGAGCTAACAAGTTTTTTTTTATGCTTTTGTTTTCCTAGGAAAAGCTGTTAGTAGAGTTTCTGTTTTTTAAGGTCAGTGCCAGAGAGCTAATACTGGTATGTCAAATTACCGTTTATACCTGCACTGGCCAATACCATAACCAGTAGCTCTATGTGGCTATTTAAGTTAATTGCAATTAAACAGAACAATACCATTTTGCAGCCACGCTAACCATAATTTAGATGCCAGATAGCTGTAGCTGCCTACCATATTGGAGAGCACAGGCATAGAACACTTGCATGATCACAGTTTATTGAATAACGCTGCTTTAGAAGTTGCCAGTGGCGATGGGAACAGTATAGTATATGAAAGAGCTGGGTTTTTGGATTAAAAAAAATCTGGTTTTCAAGTTCCTATTTGGATAGAGTGGCCTTGGGCAGGTTGCTAAGCATTTCAGCTACAGATGGTTCCTCTTTGGATAGTACAACGATCCTTTTGGATAGTACATGACTTTCTGTGATCTCCTTTGAGCCTTATTACTGGAAATCTGTGCTAAGGTGGGTGGGCCACTTACTGAGCAGGGAGATTTCCATACTCCAGAGATTCTGATTCAGAACGGCTGAGGTAGCACCCTGGACTCTGCATGGGTAAGAAGTACCATGGGTGCCTTTTTAGGATCTGTTGAATTTGAGAAATGACTGAGCCTTAAAGCCCTGGCAGAAATGAGATCACTGGATCAGGAGGTACCTATCTCCTTTAGGGTTGATTTTTTTTTTTTTTTTAAGATTTTATTTATTTATTTATACAAGCACTGAGTACAGTCAGAAGCGCGGGAGGATGAGAGAATTCACCAGAGCCAGAGAGGGAGCAGAACAGGCAGACTGACAATACACTGCTGAGAGGAGCAGCGGGCGGCAGGAGAAATCTACGTGCCATGTGGGTCCCTTGCCCTGCGGCCGTGGGGATCGAACCAGCGCTGCAGAGGCTGCAGGCAGCTTCGCAGCCCAGCGCTCAACCGCTGCGCCACCGGGAAGGCTCTAGGGTTGATTCTTGAAACATGTTTGTGTTTGACTTTCCTCTAGCCATGGATGCATCATCATATGATGGTACTGAGGTAACTGTCGTGATGGAGGAAATTGAGGAAGCCTATTGTTATACCTCCCCTGGGCCACCCAAGAAGAAGAAAAAGTATAAAATACATGGAGAAAAGGCCAAGAAACCCAGGTTAGCCAAACACATGTTTTGGTAACTGCTGGCAGAAGCTGGTGGAGTGCTGTAGTGAGCAAGACTTGAAGGATGCATGCAGAGTTAGTGGTAGTGCTTGGTCAATCATTGAAGTCTCCCTGTGAGCCCTGGGGTTTGGGGGAGAGGGAGACCAGGAGTGGGAAGGGCCTATTGATGCCAGCATTTATCATTCCTGGGCAGGTCTTCCAGGCTGTTACAGGAGATTACACCATACAAATGGTAGAATCTATATACAAAGGAACTGTTATTTATTATTACCATTATTTTTTAAATATTTAAAATAGGTGTAGGGTAAATGATGTCAGGCTTTTCTGCCCTCCCACCATTAGGATTAATGATGGCTCCTGCAGTCCTGAATGCATGCCTGATGACGGGCACCTGGAATAGGGTCTGGGCATACATAGGTGGGTTCACTTGGCCTGAGACTAGGGCTATAAGGGTGGCATTACAGGATACCAAGAGACCAGAAGAAGAGTACAAGCAAGAGAGTGGAATGGAACCAGAAGAGAGCAAGACCATGAGAGAATGCCAGAGAGCCAAGGAAGAGTGAAGACTTGTTGGGGGCTGGGAGGCTGGCAGGTCTGTAGCAGCCTGCCATGCCATGTATCTGGTAAACTCAGTAAAAGCCTGAAAAAGTCACCAAGGGCTCCAGGACTCCTTCACCTGCTCGGGTCCTAGAGCTCCTGCTTCATCCCTTCCTGCCGCTATAATAGGGCATTAACAAAAACAGGAATAATAAATATTACCAATGATATCAATAAAGAGTGTCCTAAATTATAGCTCGAATCTCCCTCTTAACTGTGGACACTCCAGACTTCCTGTGGAGGCCCCCTCATTGGGTGGGTCACTTTGATGTTCAGTTTACTTCTCTCAGCCTTGGGGAGGTGCTGTTGACCAGTGAGGTGACCAAAGGCTGGGTGAAGGAGTGAGAGAGAGTGATAACTAGACTTTGTGATCAGCCCCCTAAGTAACCTTAGAGAGAGAATTGACAGAACAACCAACCTGTATCTTTTTTTTTTTTTTTTTTTTGCTGCTCATACTGGGTTTTAAAGCCTGTCATATCTGCCAAGCAAGTGGTCCACAGAAAAGTAAAGCAGACCAGCCTTTGCATCTCTGAAGGGAGAAACATCCTCCCATACATGATCTGGGGTTGTTGCTTAAATGCTTCTTCACTTCAGACCCTATTTAGATAAATGCTTTGAGATGAAAAGGCAGGTTTTATATTACCTTTTTTCTACTCAAATCCTAACATTGTATATTTACTGGGATAAGTATAAGGACAAATAGATGGTAAATTGTAAAAATAAAGGAAAACCTTATTGCTTCCTCAGGTCGGCCTACCTTCTGTACTATTATGACATCTACCTGAAAGTGCAGCAGGAGCTCCCCCATCTCCCCCAGTCTGAGATCAATAAGAAGATTAGTGAGAGTTGGCGACTTCTCAGTGTGGCGGAGAGGAGTTACTACTTGGAGAAAGCCAAACTAGAGAAAGAAGGTTTGGATCCTGTAAGTAATTTTTTTCCCCAATTAATTTCAACATTGGTTCAGTGGTATAGGCCTTGGGGAAACAGCTGCCTGTTCTCCATTTTCTTTTTGGGGGAAAACTTTTTGGGGGAGGTCATGTATTTTTCTTGAGCTTCATACTGTCTTTTTCCATTTGCATGATGTCACATGCACTCTTGTCCTCTGCTTGCAGCAGTACGTGAAGCTGACGTTATCTGAAGTGAGCCTTAGGTTCTTTCTGAATTTTAACATAACTGAAACACCTTTTCCTCACAGGCAGTTGGTATTATTTTCCTTCGATGTCGTATTAGTTTATGCAGGCATTTCTCCTATACCATGAGTTTTCATGTCACAAATTGAATATGCTGTCATTCATTTGTCTTTTGCTGCCTGATATCTATTAAACTGTAATCAGCAGCTGGACTGAGCGATGGTCGATACAATTGCTTTATATAATGCCACAGTCTTCTACCCCTGGTGGCTGTGACCTAGGCTAGAAGCAAAATGCAAGATTAAAGTCAAAGATGATGGAGCAGAGGTTTGGAGTGCTTGGATTAAAGGACAGGAAAGGAAGCATTTTATGCATGGACAAACTGTTAACACTGCTGGGGCTGTTTGTTTTCAAACTGAAATTCCTGTAAGAAAAATATCCTTGTTATTGCAAGCTGAAACCTTGTCCCTGAACTCCTTTTTTCAATGGAAACAATTGTCTCTAACTTTTCTGATGCAGCAGTGCAGAGGTCCCTCAGGAGTCCAACAGCTATGTTAGAACAGGCTGTATTTGCCTTTAGTGGAGCCCATCTCCACTACCATTTAGATTTTTTTGTTTTTATTGGCTTATTCCTCTACCTGGCAGAACTTTGTGTTACCTACAGCAGTAGAGATGCCACTTGCTACTCCCTCCTCTAGATAGTTTGTTTATAAGCTGTAAGTGGGATGAGTGGGAAACAATCCCGGTGTGGAGAGGGGAAGTAGAGTCCAGGAAAGGTACACACGCTCCCTTCCCATTATAAACTCAACAATCTTGCCCATAATTCAAGAAAACGAGATCTAATCCTGGAGTGATACGGTTTTAAAACTAGATTAATGGAGGCACAGCCCTATTAAGGCTTTTTTAAAAAAATTTAAGTCACCTGTAATGGTTTTTCCTTGTGCATATGCAAATTTATGTGTACGGTCACTTCTACCACTATCACCAGGAATATTAATAGATTAACTTTGGTAACAACTACTGTGATCTTGGGCCACCCTGGTGGCACAAGGGGTTAAGCACTGCACTATGAGGCAATCCACAGCCTTTGCAACATGAGTTCGATCCCCGGCTGGCCAGGGAACAACCCACATGGCGAAGCAGACCTCTCCTGTCTCGCTCACTGCTTCCATCAGCAGTGTATTTCGGTCAGTCTGCCTGTTTTGTTCCTCGCTCTGTCTCTGGTGAATCCTCTCACCCCACCCCCCGCATCTCTGGCCTGTACCCCAGCTCTTGTGTGCATAAATATATAAATCTTTAAAAGAAAATAACTACTGTGATCTTAAAAGAATAACTTGAGTCTTGGCTTCCCCATTTGCAAATGGGAACAGAAGGTATCTACTTTGTTTAAAATCGATAATGTAAAACACCTGCTTGAATTCTTAGCCTACAATGGCTTGGTCACTATTATTTGTTAGTAGACTAGGTATTGAGTGACCACATAAGAAAAGGTGGCATTTACTGAACATCTAGAATGAACCAAGACTAGATGAGACTTTACATGCTGTGTTTGACCTCTCCAGGGTGCCTGCATGCTTTGTGAGCCCGCCAGAGCCTTGTGGCTGGCTGTCTCCTCACCAGCCTCATGTCAGTGCCCGAGGTTCCGGTGTTATGACATCCAATCTATAAGATGAAGGTCTTCAGACCTCCTGGTTTCTTTGTGTTTGGATGTGTGAAGTCCAGATCATCGTATGCATTTGCCACCATTTAGTTTTGTTCTTATCCATCTGCTTCAGAGTGACTTGAGAAAGTCACTTCTACATTATCTTTCCAGTAAAGGCTCTGTAAAGGATTCAGTCTGTCTGCTTTCATGTGTCATCTGAGTGCTGCTTTTAACTTTCATCTCTGAGTGCTTCTTTTGTACCCTAAGTAGTCTCATCGACATCTTGCTTTTGATTTATTTAAGGATCCTTTTGTAATTGACTTAGTGTTCCTTTTAAAAGATGCTTCTGAAATTATTTTTTGTTCCATTTAATTTTGTTCTTCACTTAACTGTTCACTTTGAACTTTTCTATTTTCCTTATTGGGTAACTTTCAGTTGAGATTGAAAAAATAAAAGCACCTTTTTCTTGCTGCCAATTAGCTGTGCAGGGTTGTGTTTCTAGTACCTGGGTCTCCTTCTTCCACGGAAGACCTGGCCTGGAGTCCCAGTTTCACTGCTTACTAATTTTGTGTTTTGGAAACATTTACTTCTCTGAGTTTCAATTCCCTCATTTATCAAATGAGAAAAATAATAGCATCTAACTTAGTAGTTTTGTTCTTAAGGTCAGGAAATCTTAAGATTCTAAATCAGTATTTATATTTATCTTGCCTCACTTCCCCCCAGTGTATTCAGACCCTATCAGATAACCCCTTCCCTATGCACACTCTCTCATGAAACCTTTGCTTCGTCATCTGTCTGCCCTCTTATTTATAACCAGCACTGGAGAGACCAGTGCTGTTAGAATCCTTTCTGCCTGGAAGTCCAGCTTGTCCTGTTGATTTGTAACTTGTAACAGATTTTATTGTGCATTATACATAATGGGGTTTAAATCTTATGCTGCTTTGGGATCATAAGGTATCAAAGTTAGGAAGGAACTCTCAAATGGCCAGATGGAGCAGCAAGGCCTAGAAGTGGGAAAGGATTTGTTCAGGACTATACCAGACCTGGGGTTCCACATGTCTGTCTCCTGTGTGATCGAGTATATAAAAGCTGCATTGGCTAAAGTGTGACTCAAATAAAAATGACATTGTTAACAGAGGCTGATCTTATTTAATTTATAGGTTAGTAGAGTGTGGTTCCTTTTGCAGAAAAAACGTAGAGAGTATATACCTGGGGCCTCCTTGGTGGCCTAGGGAGTTAAGTCTCAACACTGTAACTGCTATGGTTTTGGTTCAATCCCCAGATAGGGAGCTGGCCCACATATGGCATGGCAGACCTTACCTGTCTTGCCCACTGCCCACCTTGGCAGTGTATTTCAGTGAATCTTCCTTTTCTGCTCCCCACTCTGTCTCTGGTGGGTCCTCTCACTCCCCGTACCTCTGGCTTATGCCCTAGTTCTTCTGTACCAAAAAAAAAAAAAAAAGAAAGTGTATATCCATGTGATCTAACTTTTTATCTCTGTTTATTTATCCTTCCTGGCTTCCTTATCCTTAGAATTCTAAGCTCTCTGCCCTGACTGCTGTGGTTCCGGACATCCCAGGTTTCCGCAAGATCCTCCCACGCTCAGATTACATCATCATCCCCAAGAGCAGCCTGCAAGAGGATCGGAGCTGCCCTCAGCTCGAGCTGTGTGTGGCTCAGAACCAGATGTCACCTAAAGGACCATCTCTTGTGTCCAACACTGCCCTGGAGGCTGTGTCCAGCCATGCAGGCATGGCGGAGCAGTGCCTGGCTGTGGAGGCCCTGGCTGAGGAGGTGGGAAGCCTTGCCCAGCCCAGTGCTATACAGGAGATCACCACCTCAGAGATCCTCGGCCAGGATATGCTACTAGAGGAGGCGTCCCTGGAGGTAGGGGAGAGCCACCAACCTTACCAGACAAGCCTGGTAATCGAAGAAACCCTGGTGAATGACTCACCAGACCTCCCAACAGGAAGCCTGGCTGTGCCCCACCCCCAGGTTGGGGAGAGTATGTCAGTGGTAACAGTCATGAGGGTAAGTGTCTTTGGTACTGATGTCTTTTGCTCTATGTGGAACGACTAAAAAGGCACTAGCGCTGGGCAGTGTGATTCTGTAGCAGTGGAAATTGAGAGGGCTGGTGTGTACTTCTGCTAGCACTGCTGTCCTGTTGGGATTTTTTACCCCTGGACTTGCTGCAAACTTCTCTTAAGTTTCTCTTAAGAAACTTCTAAGTTTCTCTTAAGTTCTCTCAAGTTTCTTAAGTTCTCTCTAAGTTTAAACTTCTCTCTAAGTTTCTCTTAAGTTTCTGGGGCACTCTCACCAACTTTGGCCCAGCGTAGCCAGAATTTCTTTACTTGAGGTAGTATATCATGTGCATTAGCAGGAATGAGGAAAATGGTATTTGTGCTTTTATGAGTTAAAGCCAGCATCTGTCAGACTGTTAGTATCATTCAAAATGCTAAGTTCCCTGAAGAAGATTGTTGCAGCAAAACACAGTGGCCCCTGGAACAGTTTAGGAAGATTTTAAGTGGTTTTCATGGATACACATTAGATAGAAAGAAGGAAGGTCTCTTCAAGGTCAGGTTGATAAGACTGCCTCCAAAAGAGAAAATTCTCTCCACGGGCTGTGTGTCATGCAGAGTTGAGGGGACAGAGCAGTTTCAGTGATCCTGCTGCAGCCAGGTCCTCTGGAAGTGGGGGAGCTGCCCCCATGCCCTCTGTTGTCCTGGGTAGGATGGCATCCTCAGTGGTAGCAGTTCCCTTCAGATTGAGAGGACCAGCATGCTGCAACCCCTCTGGCCTAAGTGGGTGAGAACAGGCACTCCTGTGGAGGAATCCAGCCCAGGTTGCTTGCTCAGTGCTACTCCTAGCAGTGAAGCATGCCTTGGCCTGGCTAAGGCAGATCAGCAGAGCCAGAAGAGTCGGGTTTTCCAATGTTTGTGTGATCTTTAGGAGCCCCAAGCCTTTTAGAGTTTTAGATTTCTCATCTGTAAAATGAAGGAAGCACATTCCCTGTGATAATGAATTTCTCTTTCTTAATTATTTTGAGATAATTATAGATTTGATTTTACAAACACATAAAATAAGCACATGATGGTTGTTGAATTTGATCGGTTCTTCCAGTGCTGTGGGTGGCCCTGGATATTCTTCCCTCCTTAATAAAACTGCCCTTTCCCTGTGCCCGCAGGATTCCAGTGAGAGTAGCTCCTCTGCGCCAACCACACAGTTCATCATGTTGCCTCTTCCTGCATACTCGGTTGTGGAGAACCCCACCTCCATCAAACTGGTCAGTGTGTGGGGAGTTGGTGGAGGTTGGGACTCTCTAAGAATTCTCTTCCAGATGTTTTTCTAAAAGTCTTACATCCTTGGGATACTGATACTGGTAAAGGTCTCAGAGGAGCTGATCCAGGTGTTCTTAACTGGGGGTTGGGGAGCCAGGTTAGGGGAAGGCCTGTGAATGGCGCTGCAGGAGAGCCATAAATTCTTCAAGTGAAATGAAAATCTTTGTACTTGAGAGCATTTCCTGCAGTAGTTCTATGGCTTTTATCAAAATTTCAGAAGCACACTGTAGAAAAATTGAGGGGCCACTGATCTAATGCAGTCCTGTTACTGTATACATGAGGGGAAAAACTTAAGAGAAAGAACTTGCTTTCTGGATGATTCAAGACCACTGGGCTGTGAATCAAATCAGAACAAAGACCCTGTTCTATTTTGATTTTCGGTTAATGTTTTTTTCTGTCACACATGCAGCATCTAGGCTGAGATAAAGCCCTATGTATTTCATGTCCTGTTACCCTGTTATAAGTAGTTGGCAATTTTTTTTTAAAGATTTATTTATCTATGCGTACAAGAGCTGGGGTACAGGACAGAGATGCAGGGGGTGAGAGGATTCACCAGAGACAGAGCAGGGGACAGAATAGACAGGCTGACTGAAATACACTACTGAGGGGAGCAGCGGGCAAGTCAGGAGAGGTCTGCTGTGCCATGTGGGTTGCTCCCTGGCCAGCAGAGGATCGAACTCGTGCTGCAGAGGCTGCAGATTGCTTCATAGTGCGGTGCTTAACTAACCCTTGTGCCACTAGGGAGACCCTATTGGAAATTTTTTAAAAATATCTGTTTGATCACTACTAGTGTATAGTAAGACAATTGATTTTTTTGCCATTAAATTTGTATTCAGCTTCTTTGCTGAACACGTGTATTCTGGTAGCCTCTTAGTAGCTTGTTACATTTTCTATGTAGGTGAGCGTGTTGTCTGAATAAAAGCAGTTTAGTGTCTTCCTTTCTGTTCTGGATTTCTTTTTCTTGCTTTATTTCCTGGTGTAGGATCTCCAGTGGAATGTTGAATAGAAGTGGTGAGAGCAGATGATGTTTGTCTTTATTCTTCATCTTGGGAGAAAGCACTCAATTTTTCCCCATTGGGCATAATGTTAACTGTAGGTTTTTCATGGATAGCCTTATCAAATTTAGGATGTTTTCTTCTAATTTGTGGAGACTTTGGGAATGGATGTTGGATTTTGTCAATGCTTTTTTTCTGTGTCTGTTGATAGAGTTGTGTGTTAAACTAACTGTTCTTGTATAAATCCCACTTGTCAATGATGTATCTCTTGTGTGTTGTGTTTGAGTAGCTAAATTTGGTCAGAAATTTTGATTTAGGTTTATGATGGATATTGTAATTTCCTCTAGATTTATTATCTATTTCTTGCATTTTTATTTATTTCTGTGTCATGTGTTCAACTTTTATTAAATAAGTAAACATTTTAGGATTCTTATGTCCCTTTGATAAATTGACTCCATTGTGAAGTGACCACTGTCATTGGCAGTATTCCTTATGAAATTCTTTGTCTGATATCCAGCTTTCTTTTGATTGTTGTTATTAGCAAGATACATCTTTTCCTATCCCTTATTTTGAATCTTTGTATGTAAAGTGCTTTTTGTAGACAGCACATGGTTTGGCTCGAAGAGCAAGATCTGTCTGGCAGTCTCTTTCAGTTACGTTAGGCCATTTACATTCACAGTGATTATTGTTTTGGTTAGGCTAATATCTGTGATCTTAAACTTGTTTTCTTTTTGTCCTATCAGTTTTGTTATGATTTCTTTTGAATTAATTGAATATTTTTAATGAATTTGTTTTATCTATTTTACCAACTTACTAGCTATTAACTTTAAAAAGAAAATTGTGTTTTTAAATTGAGGCAACATTGCTGAATCACTTTTTATAGGTGGTAATCTTTTTCTCACCAAACCACCAGTGCCTCTCTCTCTCTCACCCACCCCCACACCCCCCTCCCCACTGTTCCCCCAGTCCCTCTGGCAACCATTATCTTTTTGCCAAGTTCAAATTTTTATTTTTTTTCTCTTGTTTGCGTGTAATAATTTTGTTTTTGGTATTGATATTCCACAGATAAATGAAACCATTCAAAATTTGTCTTTCACTTTTGGACTGATTTCACACAACATAATCACCTCAAAATGTGTCCATTTTGCCCCAAATGCCACCATTTCATCTTTCTTCAAAGCTCTACAGTTCCTCTATCTGTTCATCTGTTGAAGGGTGTCTGGGTTGGTTCCATGATTGGGCAATTGTAAACAGTGCTGGCAATTGTAAACAGGTGTTGGGTCTTTCATGTTATTTGGATAAATACCTAATAGCAGTATTGCTGGGTCAAAGGGGATTTCCATTTTCTTGAGAAATCTCCATACCCTTTCCTAAAGGGGCTGTACCAACTGGCACTCCCACCAACAGTGGCCGAGAGATCCCTTTTCACCCCAGCCTAGCCAGCATTTGTTAATTCCGTTCTTTTTATATGGGCTATTCTCAAAGGGTTGAGGTGGTGTCTTGGTATGGTTTTGATTTGCACTTCTCTTATAATAAGTGATAGTAAACATTTGTTCATGTCTATAGTCCATCTGAATGTCTTCTTTAGAGAAGTGCCTATTGAGGTCCTGTGGCCATTTTTCAGTTGGGTTGTTTCATTGTATAAATACTTGGTAAATTTCAAAGATTAACCCCTTGTCAGATTATGGTATACAAGTATTTTTTCCCATTCTATAGGGTGTCTTTTTGTTTTTGTGATCATTTCTTTGAAGGTACAAAAGGTTTAATTTTGGTGTAATCCCACTTGTTTATTTTTGCTTTTATTTCCTTTGCTGTTGGGGTTCCCAAATACATCTTTGTGGTAGATGTCCTGTAGTGTGTCCCCTATATTTCTTTCAAGTACTTAATGATTTTGGTTTGTCCAAATCTTTAATCCTTTTTGAGTTAATTTTTGTGTATGGTGTTTGGTATGGGTGTTGCTTTATTTTTTTTTGCATGTGGCTATCCATGTTTTCTAGCACCATTTATTAATAAGGTCATCCTTTCTCTTAGCTATTGGAACAAAACTTTGTTTTGGTTATTTTGGAGCTTTCTTTAGGAGTAGTAGTATGTATGCATCTTCAATTTATCATGATCTACTGAAACGCCTGCCTTAGATAAGCAAAATGTTCCTAAATAAGGAAGTTATAGTATCTTAAACAGGAAGAGCCACTTTAGCCTGATTCATGGAAAAAAATGCTTATTTCTCCTGAGTCTTTGTTCTCCTGGAAATTTCTGTTCTTTCATGGTCTAAGCCAAGCTCTTGTGGAAGATGTGTTATGAATAATGCTTAAGAATAAAATACCAGATTTGAACACTAGATTTTTTTTTTTTCTATAAACTGCTATTTAGGAGTATTTCCAAATTCATGATAATTTACTTAGAGAACTAATCTTTTAATCTTTTTTTTTTTTAAAGATTTATTTGTTCATGCATACAAGAACGGGGGTATGGCCAGAGGTGTGGGGTGGGGAGGGGTGAAAGGATTCACCAGAGACAGTGTAGGGAGCAGAACAGGCAGACTGACCGAAATACACTGCTGAGGGGATCAGTGGGCGAATCAGGAGAGGTCTGCTACGCCATGTGGGTTGCTCCCCAGCCGGGGATCAAATGCGTGCTGCAGTGGCTGCAGTCAGCTTCATAGTGCTGTGTCTCAACCCCTTGAGCCACCAGGGAGGCCCTAGAGAACTAATCTAACTCAATTTTTACTCTGCCTTTTGGGGGTATACAGAATGAATATTTTCTATGGGGCCACAATTTGAGAAAAGATAGTCCCAATAATAGTTGTCTCTTACAGACCTTTACAGTCTTTTACAGTTTACTAAATGACATGCTTCCTCATTTCTTACCTTATTTGCTTCTTGGGCTATATCCATGAGATAGGAAGGGCAGGTAATTTTACAGAAAAGAAACCAGGGCCCAGGAGCTAGGGTGACTTACCCCAAAGTCATTCAATGTGTCAGTGGCAGATTGGAACCCAGAGCCTAGTCTCTTTCCCCGGTCACTCCACTCCACACTGAGCCTTGACCTGCTGCCAGTATCATAATCATCTTTTCCTTTGGTGTCCTGGCCAGGGTAGCCTAGTGCCAGGTTGCTGTCCCCCAAGGGAGGTTTTGCTTTTGGACTAGACTAGAGAAGCTGGGATTAATTGCTGAATAAATAGTCATAACAGACAGAACAGATCTGACAGGAAATGTTTTCTTTCCAGCATTAATCCAGCATTGGAGCATTGCTAATTTCTATTTGTAACTGAAATGTAATAACCCGCTGTCCTACATTCTGTTCAAAGGGAAATCAGCAGAGATGGAAAGAGCCAGTGCCTGGGAATATTCATATACAAAGAATTAAATTCCTTTGAGTGTGAAAGGACTTGGTTTCTACTGGACACCTCTCTCATTTTTTTAGTAACCATGATCTGTTTTTATATATCTGAACCCTGGGTCCTGTTGATAGTTCACTGATTTTTTTTTTTTTTTTTTTTTTGGCAACTGTACTATTTTTTTATAGCAGTGACACTGGTTTACAGCAGTGTAAACACTAAACCAATCCCCATTTGATTTAGGGGTATAGTTTCACACCTCTTCAGATATATGTCATCACACTCAACACCAAGGTACCCATGACCTGCCACCATGGTTCACTGGGCCTCCTCCCTCTTTTTTTTCCCTACTCCCACCCTACCTTCCATTAGCCTCAGTTCTGCAGTCAGATTTCTAATGTTAGTTTTGGTTTAGTTTTGTTGGTCCCTTTGTTTTGTTTCTTTATATTCCACATATGAGTGAAATCTTGTGTCTTTCTTCTGACTTATTTCACTTAGCATAGTCCCATCTAGTTCTATCATTGGTTCTCCTGAGTTTTTTTTTTTTTTTTTTTTTAAAGATTTGTTTGTTTATGCAGACAAGAGCTGGGGTGTATGCCAGAGGTGCAGGGTGGTGGTGAGAGATTCACCAGAGTAGGGAACAGAGCAGGTGGATCTACTGAAGTACACTGCTGGGGGGTGCAGCAGGACAGACAAGAGAAGTCTGCTGTGCCATGTGGGTCACCTCCCTGGCCAGGGAGCAAACTCGTGCTGTAGTGGCTACAGATTGCTTCATAGTGCTGAGACTTAACCCCTGGCACCACCAGGGAGACCTGTTTCTCTAAGTTTTAAATGAAGCAAATTCTTTGTATTCAGTGCCATAGGATGTAGCTGGGTGCATCGGAGAAATCTTAAGACTAAGATTCAGAGAGACGTGAGTTCTAGTCTCTGCCTGTGAGTCACTCTGTGACATAAGGTGAGCACTTACCTGCTCTGAAACTCATTGGCAGTATACCTGCTCCCATCACATTACTACACGCACTGAATGAGAGACTGGTACGCTGTTTAGCACTGCGTGGTAACCCTCTCAATAACAACTTTTACTTTATTTTGGTATCTAACTATAACCTTAGGCACCTCCCTTTCCCCATTTGAGTTCAGTTTCTCCATTTCTAAAAAGAGAACTAGTTGTATCACAAGACCTTTCTAACTTAGACCTTTCGGGTACCAGGACTTAGCTCTCCTCCTCAAGCTGGTAACTTCCTGGGTTGTTGTGTCACAGTGGTCATCAGAATCCAAGATATTACACTGCAGTGCTGATTCTGACCTGCTCTTCCTTCCTCACAGACCACTACGTACACCCGACGGGGCCATGGGACATGCACCAGCCCAGGTTGCTCCTTTACCTACGTCACCAGGCACAAACCACCTAAGTGCCCTACCTGCGGTAACTTCCTAGGAGGCAAGTGGATCCCAAAGGTAAGGACCATTGGCCACCTCTGCTTTGGAAGCCCCACAGGTGGCTTTCCTGGTCTGTCCTCATTTTTGCTTTTTGGCTGCTAGTAAGTCAATTTCACTGTTCATTGTTTTTAAAAGAAAGAATAAAATGTCCATGATCTTATGCCATGTAGAGAAAAGCATCATGAACATTTTGGTATATTTTCTTTCAGTCTTTTTTCAGTGAATATACAAGTTCTATATCTTGCCATTTTTCATTTGACACCATGACATTAAATATTTTTCAAAAACATCTTTAAGTGCTTCATAATTTCCTATGAATGACTACATCTTGTTAATTTATTCATTTTCTGTTAGGTTTAAAATTTTAACAAGCGCCCTCCATATTGGCTTATTAATTATTCAAATACATAGCTGGCACTTTAGCTCAAAATCCTTTCAGTCTCCTATACTTCCTATTAAAAGTGAGGTCTCAAGCCCACTATTCATGCCTAGTTTTCCAAGTGTACATCCCTGTCTCTGAATGAATGGTGCTCAGTGGATTAGAGCGTTAAGTTCAGTTCCACATTTTTTTGTTACCTGTTGTATGCTTGGCCCTGACTATACATCCTTGCCACATTTTAACTGTAAGTTATTTAATGGCCAAAAGAATTAGAATAGACAGGGATGGTTTTATAGAAGAGATGGTCTTGAAGGAGCAGTAGAATTATGGTGGTAGAAAAGGAGAGAGCATTGTTTTTGTGAAAATAGCTTTAGCCTGGGTTGCCCTGTGTTTAAGTCAGCATATTTGTAAAGGGGAAACTTCAAGCAGCATGCCTTGTTGAATTCCTCTGGGATAGTATCTACAGACCATCTTTGAGAAATACTGGGATGGTGACTTTTACTGTCTGACTTGACTGTTGGACTTCAGGGAAGCACCGATTCCAGGAAACAGTAGAATAGTAAGAATAAATTTTGGAGTCCGTTTCCTAAGTTCAAATCCCTGCTTCTGTAAGCTTGCATAAGCCATTTTATTTTTCTCCATGGTTTAGGTTTTCTTTCTACAGTGAATGGAAGTTAGCAGTAATGCCTGCCTCACTAGGATTGCTGGAAGGGTCAAATGAGCTTATCCATGTAGAGTTGTTGGCACATCCCTGATGGTCATTAAATTCTCTGCAAGGCTTCACTGCTGTCGTTGGCAGCGGTGTAGTTATTGAACTTAGTGTTATTGTTAGTCTTCTCACTTCACATATCAGGGAGAAAACATGGGTGCTTAGTATTTCAGGAGGTTTTGTTGGGTTTCTTGTGCTCACTTATCTGGTAGGAAGCTATTTAGTTTTATTCCCAACCTAATATTCTCCCAAAAACATACTTCCTGGATGCAGAGATTGAGTTGGATAGTAGCAGACACTCCCTGACCCTTCCCCGTTGAGGCCCAGCGATCTGTGAAGTGGCCTGTTCCCATGCCTCCATATGTCTGAGCACGTGGCTTTGTCTCACTTTGTTGTTACTTTTTTTTTTTTTTAAAGATTTATTTATTTATTTATACAAGCACTGGGTACAGTCAGAAGCACCGGAGGGTGAGAGAATTCACCAGAGCCAGAGCGGGGAGCAGAGCAGGCAGAAGGACCGAAGTACACTGCTGAGGGGAGCAGCGGGCGGCAGGAGAGGTCTGCGCGCCATGCGGGACCCTCCTCCGGTGGCCGGGGAGCAGTCGGGGATCGAACCGGCGCCGCACAGACTGTGGGCAGCTTCGCAACCCAGCGCTCAACCATTGCGCCACCAGGGAGGCCCTCACTTTGTTGTTACTTTGACTTTCCTATTTCATTTCATGTTCTCTGCCTGAAATAGCTTTTGAGCCATAGTTCTCTTTCTGAGCTCAAACTTATGACATGAAAACAATTTTTATCTCAGCTCCTTGTTCCCTGTCTTGGCTTTCTAAGTCAGCTTCTTTTTCCCCCAAAGGTTTTTGCAACACTTAACATGTAAAAAGTAGATAACTGTGATTTTTAAATCTCATAGGCCCCGAATAAGTCAACCTAAGATTGGTAACCTTTTAGCATCAGTACACTCAGAATTTTAGAGATTAAGTGACTTTGGTTATCAGCTAGTGAACCCTTTGTGTTTCCAGCTGAGTAAAAATAGATTTAAGAGGTGTGATTTGTTGAGTTCGCAAAACTTATTATGCCATCACTTTTTCCAGTAAACCACACTTCTCGGGCATTGCTATGCTGTTTAGCTGCAGAACCTTTCGAGTTCTTGAGTCCTTATTTTTGAAGCAGCAAGTATAAATAGTTTCTTAAAGTTCCGAATGTGTTTGTGCCAGTCAGGAAATGACTCACCTTTTCTTGTATTGTTCTAGAGTTCATACTGGCTAAAATTAGCTCGGGAAACATGTGGCACAGTTCCCAATGAATTGGTTGGAACAAAAGATGATATATAAGGCTCTTTTGCTTAAGGTTTCACTCCTGTGGGTTCTCTGATGGCATAATTGGGGTCTCTGAGTGGGCTGCTGGTAGTGTTTGCCTTCCATCTTGAAAGAAAGTGGCATCTGAAAAGGGTAGGCTGAGTTAAATGTCAGATCACTGGCTATAATTTTTTGCTCTGCTTGCAAAGGATTTTTGTCTAAAATAACCTACTTAGTGGGCAGTGTTTTACTAAGAAACCTCACAGAGGCATTTAGTTTAATTTGTGTCTTATTTTTCTGTTGACTTTTCCCTCTCCAACATTAAGTAAGCTTTATGCAGTTTACTTGGCATGTATCTTTATTCATCTTTGTGGTTATTGTTTATTAGAATCTGATGGTGCTTTACCAGAGATTCCTTAAAAGTTCTCTGTAACTGGTTCTTAACTGGAGGCAGCATGCTGCACCAGGTGCTTTGGAAATGTAAGGGGTTATTGGCAGTCGTTGACTGGGAGCTAATACTGAAATTAAATAATCTCAACCACAGATGCTAAACTCCCTGTAGGGGAGTCCTGCACCATGAAAAACTGGGCTACCCAAAAGGCTATCTTCTACTGATAAGCATTGAGAGCCCAATGCTCTCTCATGTCATTACAGGGAAATGAGGATTCAGATGAAGCTTGCCCTAGGTCACATAAGTAATTAGGAAGTGTGTGTGTGTGTGTGTGTGTGTGTGTGTGTGTGTGTACATTGTGTGTGTAAATAAATACTGCTGTATTCCCAAGTGGTGTTGATTGGCTCAAAGCTAAAACATTAAGGGATTTTTTTTTTAAATTAGGTCTATCTCTGGTAGCAGCTGCTATTTTTAGTGAATTTGAATATTTTCTAGGACTTAATATGTATGAGTTAATATGACCCAGTGAGAAATTTGTGGCAGATGGCTATGTCTCAATATTCACCTGAAATAAACTGGGACAAAGAGAATTTTCCTCAACAGAGCTGGAAGCTTTGAATCTCTCCATGGGCGACTGAAGCCACATTGGGATTAACTGAATCAGAAAGGGGGGCCACAATTTAGGAATTTTAGATCCAAATGTCTCTTTTCTGTTTTCTAGATGTAGAGAATTGGGCTTTGGGGAGTCAAAGGTCAGGCTGAAAAATGCCATCATTTGTTTGCTGAAACCCAAAGAGGCCTATTGATATGTTTGTTAAGAGGAGCTCAACTTTATCTTAAGTGGGGCATTGAATGCTTTGGTGACATGGACCTGAAATCAGAAGACTTCTGTTCAGGCTAGTTTTAGACCTGGCACCTTAAGTTAGCCTCTTCCACTCTCAGAGCCAGAGTTTCCTTTATCTGATGCCTATACCCTGCTGTTATGAGGATCAAGGGAGAAAATATTTTTGAATGTGTTGTCAACTGTAAAATGTCATATGCTTACAAGGTTATTCTTATATTTTCTAGGAAAAGCCAGCCAAAGTCAAAGTGGAATTGGCTTCTGGTGTCTCCTCCAGAGGCTCTGTAGTTAAAAGACATCAGCAGCCTGTCACCACTGAGCAAAATTCCCCTAAGGAAAATGCCTCCCAGCTGACTCTGGAGAACTCCGAAGCTGTAAGCCAGCTCCTAAGTGTAGCTCCTCCAAGAGAAGTGGGTGAGGAGAATGAGTGGGAGGAAGTGATCATCTCAGATGCCCATGTTTTGGTCAAGGAAGCTCCTGGGAGTCGTGGTATAGCAGTCACTAAGACATCAGTCATCAAGAATGGTGTGCAGCCTGAGGCCACCCTGGGGACAACTGAGAATGACAATCCTGGATCAGACATTCCACCACCAGCCGAGGGGACCGGGACCGGTACCTCCAGTCCACTCCCTGCTCCTAAAAAAACTGCAGGGTAAGCCAATCTGTTTATATATTATAAGATTGTATTTGAGTAATTGCTTGGGAACTGCTCTGTTTTGTCCTGTGTCCCCTACTACGTTCCTTTGGGAGGCAGCAGTTAAGATTTCTGTTTTAGAGATACAGAGAGCAGGGCTTATAGACCGATCAAGCCTTTCCTACTATACTGCATGGTGCCCTGCCATCAGATTCCTTATAGTGCTCTTGTCTGTCTCCCTGAAGCAGTTATGAGGGTCTACCTGGTAAAGGCTGAGGTCAGTGTGACAGTGTAGTTATGATCCTGGATACTGGTTTTGGAAAGAAGCCTTCTGAAAGCACCTAATAGATTCCTGGCCTCTTGGTCAGAAATGCAGCTCTGGTCCTGCCTTTGTTGTTTTCTGTTTGACATTGAGGGTAGTCATTTTGTGCCTCTGACCTTCAGTTCTCTCCTGAAACATCTTGAGTCAGGTACTTAAAACTTTAAATAGCTGCCCACACAGTGAAAAGATCGCATATAAAATGGCAGTCCAGTGCCTTGCAAATAGGAGATCCCTAGTGTGGGCTCTTTTTTATTCCCTTTCCTTCTTAGAGATTTCATAGGCTTCTCCATGTAGTCTCTTCCCAGAGGCAGTTGTGTTCTGGTAATGAAGGGCTTTTATTTGTTTATATCAGTGGGGAACAGTTTTGCCCCAGGGGACATTGCAACAACTGTTTAGAGATAATTTTGGTTGTCACCCTGGGGGTGAGGTGTGGGGTTGCTACTGGCATCTTATGGGTAGAGGCCAGGGATGCTACTAACCATCCTAGAGTGCACAGGACAGCCCCACAGCACAAAATTATCTGGCCCACAATGTAAACAGTGGCAAGTTTTAGAAATTCTATTTTACATTATTACTTAAAAATTTTATTACTGAAAAGGAAATATATTCACATGATTCAAATTCAAACTTACAAAGTGTATAAGAAATGTATAGTGAAAAGTTTTCCTTTTATCCCATATTTCAGTCATCCATTTCTGTTTCCTACGTAATCAGTAGTTCCAATGTTCTGCATTTCTAGAGTTAATTTTAAGTGCATGCAAACATGAATGTGTATATATGTCTATGTTTACTCCTTTTACATACCTACTAGCATAATGTACATATTTCTATGTCTTACCCTTTTATTAAAACAGCATATATCCAGATGGCTCTGTATCCTTAGAGAAAGACTTGTGCACGTCGCTATTTTTTTTTTTTAAACTGCATTTTTTTAGACTGTATTTTGTTTGGGCAGGTGAATTCACTGTAGCAAATGTGAATTGAGGTCTTTAGTGGTGCTGGCTCTGTTCTGGGCATTGGAGCTATAAGCATGAAGGAAACACAGGCTTTGCTCCTGGGGTCTCAATACCACCCTTGTGTGGGAGACTGAGGCACTTTGACTACTTGCTCTAATTAGAAGCAGATTAGATGTTCTAGAATAACTGCAGTTGCTGCTAGTCTCCCACACTGTAGGCACTGTTTTGCGCATTTTTATCTTTATGATTATTCCATGAAATATATATACTTACAATTCCACTTTACATATCAGGAACTTGAGGTTAACAAGAGTGAAATTGCTTGCCCAAGGATACATAACTATTTAATTTGAAAGTACTTTATCTAAAACCTGACAGTTTAACCACCATGCTATCCATCTAATGAAGTGCCGTTTGAGATTGCACCTTGACTTTCTTGCCCTTGGTCCAGGTTTTCTAGGAGATTTCCCTTCTTGTTTTTTTTTTTTTTTTTTTTTCAGAGTTGATCTTACCCCTGGGCCGAGAGCCCCAGAGATTAAAGGCAGAGCAAGGGGCAAACCCTCATTACTGGCTGCAGCAAGACCCATGAGAGCGATCCTCCCGGCCCCAACTAATGTGGGGCGAGGTGGCAGCATGGGGCTCCCCAGGGCCAGACAGGCCTTTCCCATGAGTGGTAAGGATTGGGGCAGACCCGGGAGGATGGGCTGTCTAGTGGGAAGAGGATAGGAATGGGAGATTAAGAACAGAGGAGAGGGCCTCTCTGGTGGCACAAGGGGTTAAGTACCACACTATGAAGCAATCCACAGCCTCTGCAGCACGAGTTCAATCCCTGGCCCACCAGGAGAAACCCACATGGCAAGGCAGATCTCTCCTGTCTTGCCCGCTGTTCCCCGCAGCAGTATATTTCAGTCAATCTGCCTGTTCTGTTCCCCACTCTGTCTCTGGTGGATCCTCTCACCCCTGGCATCTCTGGCCTGTGCCCCAGCTCCTGTATGCATAAATAAATAAATCTTTAAAAAAAAAAAAAAAAAGAACAGAGAGGAGAGGCTTGAGGGGCTCTAAATGTACTAAATCACTGTTTTTGCTCCTGGTTGTCTCAGATAAGACTCCATCTGTGAGGACTTGTGGCCTGAAGCCAAGCACACTGAAGCAGCTGGGCCAGCCCATTCAACAGCCATCGAGCACTGGGGAGGTGAAGGTAAGACCCAGCCCTGGGAGGACGGGAGAGCTGTGAACAGGGCCTGGTTGCTCCGAGAATAGGGCTTTATTTAACATTCCAAAGCCATAGGCATAGAGCATACCTCTTTCTTAACGTTGGTGGGCTTCTGAGAGGTGGCTTGGCATGGAAGAATTACCTGAATGAGTTACTGTTTTTGTTTTATCTTATTATAAAATGGATACATTTTTAAACTTTTTATTTAGAAATAAAAACTTTGAAAAAAGCTGCAAGAATAAAAGTAGTACAAAGAGCATCCAGGCAACCCAGAGTTGCCTACAGTTACTATATTAACCCATTAGGCTTCATCATTTGTGTTCATGCATGTCCTCCCTTTGTGTGTGCGTGTGTGTGAATACACATAGCTCAATACTAAGTTACATGGCCTTTTCTTTCCCTTGGTGTATTTGTAACGAATAGGAGTATTCTGTTAATGAAAATTGGTCTGTTAATCAAAACATTGATACTTGTATTCCAATTTTGTCAGCGTCCTTTGTAGCATTTTTCCTCTCCAGTACAGAGTCAGCCAGTCTACGATCAGATTGTGTATTTAGTCGTCATGTCTGTTTAGCCTCCTCTAAAAAAATGATTGCATAGTTGTTAGAGAAAGAACAGAAAAATCAGGTAAATTAGGAAGAAAATTAGTCTTTTATGGTCTTGGAGTCCAGAACTATTGACAGTCCTGGTGTATGCTCATTTAGTCCTTTCCTACATTTTTGAGTGTATTTTAAAATATTTTTTTAATCAAAAATTACAGATGGCTTTTATCCATGTGCTGGTTTGAAGCCAGTATAATTCATTCAGCTTAATGATACAGCTATTAAAGAATTCCTGGGTGTCAAAATTCCATGTATTTGGGATATTTCGTCTTTGTTTTTAGTTCTTTTTTGCCATATGTGGTTAGAACAGTCATAATCAAAATCAGCAGTTTCATCAGATTCCTCTGACTGTCATCCTCAAAACATTTTCACATCACAACAGGCCAGTAAATAATACATATATACATTAAAGGATTAATGAAGTTATGCCCTTTTTATATGCAGTCACTTTGATATTTTCTTCTATTTTCAAAATGCTTGTTTTAACCCATTAAATTAATTTCATGATCTCTTCGTGGATTGCAGCCTGTAATTTGAAAAGTTTGTCTTAGACCAAATTGGAATAGGAAATTGGTCAGCCTCAACTGTGGTGTGTCAGCCTGACAAGAATATTGGTGGACTTACTGTAAAGGCTGACCTGTTACCCGGGTGTTGTGTCAGCCATGGTGCTGGTGTTATCTTGGGGTGTGGAAGGCTGAGTCTGCTTCACCTGTTCAATAGATGTTTGGCCCTTAGATTCTCCTCACTGGTGTAAACTACCAGTCTTCCCTGTCATTAGTTTCCTTTTGATAGGCAACATTGGCTTACTTGTTAAAAGCTATAAGTACTTTGCGGTCTTAAACCAGTTAAGGTCTACTGTTCTGAAAACTTGTATCAGAAAATCAATGTAAGTTCAGTGTTACAGAATAATTTAGACTACAGTCTTCATTTTAATTTTCTTAGTGTGAAAGATTATTAATAAATTAGTGTGCAGAGAGAGAAGAGCAGAGAGGATATCCCTAAAAATCATTTTCCATTAAAACTACCCAAATTACCCATCCCTTGAGGGCAAATGCCTGGCCAATCATAGCCCAAAGTGGGACCCCTGAGCCCCAAAATCTTGCCACAAATCTAAGGTACCTTCTGGCAGGGAAACATAAGAAAGGGATTAGGCAAAGAGCTGGGACAGAAGGAGAGAGGAAAATCTAAGTAAAAATCAAGATAACAGCTGCCATTGTCTCTGCCAAGGACAGCCTCTGTGTGCCTCTTACCCATGTATCTCTTCCAAGTTGCTATTCCAGTAGTCTCCACATGTCTTTCCTCTGTGTGTCTCCTCCACGTCTCCTTCCCAGCAGTACCAGGATGCAAGTTGGGCTGCAGAAGCAAGAGAGAAGGCCTGTCTGCCTTCTATGTTGTGTTGGTCCACCTGGCTGCTCTGCTCCACTCTAGATCCCAGTAGCTTCCTGCTCAGGAAGTCTGGTTCGTGGCATACTGGGACTTAGAGTCCTAGTCAGCTTGCATGGAGGTGAATTAGGGGTGGGGGAGATGAAACTTAGACTCCATGAGGTATATCTGTAATAATTTCCCGCCTCCCCCACCCTTTTCAGTTTGTCATCATTTCTATGATGTTGAAGGTCTGGGGACTCAGCCTCAGGACGTGGTCTTTTCTGGGGTTCCAGTCTTGTCTATGGATATCCAATGTGGCAAAGTCCTCAATTTCTAGAAAATAGTTGATAGCTCCATGCAAAAAAGAAAAAAAATCAGGAGACATTAGGAAAAAAAATAGCAAACAAAGAGAAAACTCAGGAAGTTTGAAAAAAATCTTAAAAATGGTTCTTCTAGTAAACTCACTTTCTCGCTACCTTCTTCCCAGTTCTTTCTAATGATATAGCACAATGCATTCGTAAACTAAATCTAATTTCAGTCCCTTTGGCCTGCATGAGCTCGTAGGGCAGAATAACCAAGCAGAATTTTTTGGCTTTGTTGGAATGCGCTATAAAGGATCTTAGAGTGAGCACTCAACATTCTGTCTGGACAGGCTTTGGGATCAAAACCACAGTCTTACAGACTCCAGCTGTGATTCCCACTTTTTAGGGTTCCCAGGGCATTGCTCTCCAGGGTTTGCAGGCTTGCCTCCAGGCCTCCCACCATTGTGAGAGGTCTCTGGAACCCCAGAGTGGCAAGCTCTGTAGTCACTCAAATTCAGGCTCAAATTCAACTCCCAGAAGAATTTCACTCATATAATGAAACATATTTCCAACTTCTATCTGGTTTAAGGACAGACAAAATTCCCTATTGAAATTCTGCAAATATAGACAACATTGCCATGAGTAGTAAAAATTATTGCCATTTTTTCCTATATTATCATGGCATCAAGGAGAGAAAAAATGCAAATACAATTTAGTTCTGCTACTAAAAGAAAAAGTCACTTAACATTGCTTCAGATCCTGGCCAGTAAGAGAAAAATTTTTCCTTGATTCAAAGTAATAAAACCGCTATCTTTTCAAACAAAAACATAACAAAATTATAGTCATCCCCAATAGTCCATTCAGTTCTATGTAGAAAATTCTCATGTTCTATCACTTAGCGTGAGTCCAGGTCTTTCTCTAATTCTCCAGAAACAATTTCTGCAAATGTCAGGCTTTGAAAAAGTCAAAAGGGAATTTGTTCAACATTGTAACTTACAATATTACAGAATAACAGCAATCAAAATTGACAAGGAAAGTACTTATCAGTAACTTAAAAGGTTTCTTATAAATTTTAGAACAGTAATGTTAAGATTTATATAGATGCCACAGTTTAATGTTTCTCCTGAGACATAATGCTTCCCATTAAGTTCTAATTTAGCAGATAAAAAACAAATAGGTCACATTCATCTAATGTCTTTCCCATGAGGAATGGGAGAACTTTTAAGGAGCTCTACTGAGGTTCCATAAAATTTCCTCTGCTCAGTTAACTAAAAGACTACCTATATTTTCTAATTTAGATTTCTGAGAAGTTTTATTTTAAGTATTAAAAAAAATACATTTAAAATTACAGTCAAGGCTCTGGCTAAACTGACTGGCGCAATGCAAACAGCCAAACCTTAACCTTTGATTTTGATCCTATAACTGAAAATTTTAACTTTCAAAATAAAAACTACCATTTTATCTGACATTAAAAGACTTTATGTACCCAACGTCAATATCCTAGATAGAAGAGGAAAAAAAATCATGTTCAATACAACTATATAGGCATATGTGCTTCAAACCAAACCATTATATATCAGATTAGTTCCCATTAACCAAAATTATCCCAAACTGTGTTTCCCGGAAATATTTGTACCAGTTTCCATTGTATTTCCGTGCTCAGATATAGGCATCGTCTATACCAATTTTATATTTTCTAGAGGCCAGAACAGTTAGACACAAAGGTGAAGACATACACGTATAGACATAGGAAGTTTCCTTAGTTTTCATTTAAGCCATGTGAAGTTTTACTGACATTTAAATAGCCAAGCTGTTTGTTCACCTAAATAGTACATGCAGAAATGGTTTGCAGAAATGGTTTGCAAAGAGAAAAATGGAAGAAATGAAAACATAGGTCCATGAATTAAAAAAAACCACAAAAAAAAAAAACCTTGGAAAACCAAAATTGTAAAAATCAAGAACAGCCAAAATCAAAACTTGAGTTATTTCCTTAGAGTTAAAACTCAAGGACCTAAAATTGGAGTGTAAGGTCACATGGTTCCAAATGTCTTCCTAGTTAGACTTTAGAAAAAGGAAAGAAAGTTGAGCTAGCATTCACCAAAGGATGCGAATGGCATCATTTATCTCAGAGTTTCCAGTGTTCATCTGGCCTGGGGTATTCTGCAACAGAAGCTGAGAGAGCAGGTATAAATCAAGTTCTCTGAACTGAGGGGCGACAACAGTGGTATCAAAACCTGTTGTAATTGGCTCATGCAAAAAACATGTCACAAGGTGGATGCCCCATGAACTTGGAGCTTTTGGACTACATTTCTGGTGTCCCTAGAGGGCTTTAATCAAAACAGTAGTGTGCTTCCCAAAACAGAACTATCATAGTAGGAAACCAGAGCCTTAGAACCTTGCCATTCACCAACAGTCAAACAAATCCAAGAATTCAAATGGCAAGTATGCCCCAAACAAACAGTGTAAACAAAAATTCCCTGTACTGAACCCCTTCAAATTTAATCCAGATTTGGATCCCCGATGGGAGAAAAAGTCAAATTCACTAAGGCTACAACCACAATCACCAGTTATTTCTCAATCCAGAGGTTTCATCTATCTAACTTGTTCTCAGCTTCCAAGCATGAATTTTATAATTTAACCACTGAATCATTGTTGGCTTTAGCCAGAGTTGCAGAAATCTCTTAAGGCTAAATAAGAGTATAAGCCAGCAGAGATTACAAATAAAAGCCGAAAGTCACAGAACCTAACATATAACTAACAAAGGACGGCAGAAAATGAAAAGCAAAAATTTTGGGAGACCAAACTAAAAAAAGTCAGACTTCTGAGTTCCAGAATAATCTGTCATTTGGCCTCAGATACCGTTTTGAAACCTTAGACCTTGGAAGGAAAAAAGGGAAATTACTTTGCTGTGAAGCTTCAGACACTATCTTGGGCATAACCATGTGCTCTCAAACACCATCTTGCAAGTACTTAGCAAAGAAAGAAAAATTGCTTGCTATCACACAGAACAGTTTCCACAAAATTAAACCTGAATTAGTGGCAAGAAATAAATTGCATGCATACACATAGTTTCCACGATGTCAGATTCAATTTTTCTAATCCAAGGGTCAGGAAAAAAAATCACATACATGAAGCAACAAGATCCACAAACAATAGAGAAACAGAAACCACAGGTGCACTTATGGTAGTCAGTGCCATAGAGAAGCCAGGTTTCCTCATGGAACTGACTAACCACAGATGGCTTTTTCTCAGTCAGGAAACCAAATCTGTTAGTACGTGACGAGGAGGCACTGACCCCCAAACTGTTAAGAGTGCATGCCTCTGTAAGGTGCCCGACCATCTTCCACATAGAGGCACAAGAACCAGTATGAATGATTTTTAGTAGAATTAGTGTGCCTAGAGAGTAAAAGGTATATCCCCAATGATAGTTTCTCAGTAAAACCCCCCAAATTACTCATTTCCTTAGGGGCATATGCGTAATCAAACAGCCTGAAGGAGGACCCCTAAGCCACAAAAGCCTGCCACAAGTCTACGGTACCTTCTGGCAGGGACCACAGGAAAGGGGTTAGGCAGGTCCCAGAGAGCTGGGAAAGGAGAGGAAAAAAAACAAAGTACAAATCAAGATAACAACTGTCATTATCTCTGCCAAGGACAGCTCCACATGCCTCTTACCCTGTGTCTCTTTCAAGAGTCTCTGCATGTCTCTTCTCCGCATGTCTCCTCCAAATCTCCTTCCCACCAGTGCCAGGATGCAAGTCGGGCCACAGAAGCAAGAGCTTTTCTTTAATTATGTAAATAATATCTGTATTTATAGAAGATTTGAAAATGTTACAGATCCTGGTAAAACTTGTTGTTCAAGTTTTTTTTTGTTTGTTTATGGGCCTGTGTTTTGATTTTCCACGTTTGTGTCTTTGCATACTGTTTCTGCAGGTACATGGATGGTTTAAGTGAACAGTCTGGCTACTTAAATGTCAGTAAAACTGCAGTTGTATAATACATTCCACAGGGCTTAAATGAAAACAAGGGGGACTGTCTTGTGTGTCATATGGTGTATGTCATCTCTTCCTTCCACCTTATGACATTTTAGTGAATGATCTTTCAAACCTTGCTGTCAACTTTACTCAGCCATATATTTGTGTATATAACTACTAGGTTTTTTTCATTTGATGGGAATTATACATCTGACTTAGTGTCTCTATTATGCAGTGTTATAAGCTACCCAGAATTGTGTGCCACTCCTGGAATTGAAAGTGACAGTCTTTTGTGCACTGGTGATGCTTATTAGCATCCCAGAGGGTTCATTTGAGACTTAATTCTATCACTTCCCTGGGAAATTGCATCTTCAAACTTTTTCAACCCACAGGACTTCGGGAGTTTGAGGTTCAAAGCCCTAAATAGTTTGTTTTGACCCACAGCTACCGAACGGCCCAGTCAACAGGACATCCCAGGTGAAAGTTGTAGAGGTCAAACCTGATATGTTTCCTCCGTATAAGTACAGCTGCACTGTCACATTGGTAAGTGCAACCAGGGGACTGGTTGACCCAGGTCGTTTTGATTTCGTAGTTGAGGATAAGTCAGATTGGCAGGGGGTTAGGGAAGGGGGCGAGGAATGCATAGGATCACAGATAGATCATAGATTCTAAAGATCCCCTCACTGATAGTAGTGAGAGCCACTGATGAATCAACTAGGTTTTTGTTTTTCATGCAGGACCTATAAAGTGTAATTTAAGATGACAATCTAGTTTAGTTTAGCTATCTTTGTACCTTTTAGTCTCAAAAGTGTGTTCCATAGATGAGTTTGGGCATTGCTACCTTTTTTCCTCCTTAAAATAGTCACATTCAATACTAGTGTTTTACAGGACTTGAGAAATGCTTTAGTAGAAAACTTATTTAGCTTGATATTTCCCATCCCTCTCCCCTTATTTTTTAGAATAATACACATTAACACCCTAATAAATGTGTGGCTCGGGGGTCATCTTTTTGCAGGGTAAGCAGCATGGAGCAGAGGAATAAACACCAGGTGTTGAAAGACCTGGTTCACAGTAGTTCTGACACTGCTGTTAGCACGACGGCCATGTGACCTTGGGCTCAACTCTCTCCTGGGGACCTCAGTTTTCACTGTCTGGAAAAGGCTGCATGATATGTTGGGGCTTCTCTTCCTTTTATTAGTCTCTAATTTTCTTGAGCCTTAAAGTATTAATCGGCCAGATCTCTTTTGACAAGTTTCTCTGGCTGAGTTGAATAAAATGCACAGTTTGAGTTTGAGAGTGCAGCTAGAGTTTTAAACATTTAAACTGATAAAGGCAGACAGGTGCAGAGTCATTCATTCAAAATATAATTTTTGAGTACCTGCTATGTGTCTGGGCCCTGTGCTCAGATTCACTAGTGAGCAGGACAGTCACAGCAGTCTCTATCCTCGAGAGCATATTAAGTTTCTTTGTTAAAAGACGTACTTAGTACCTTGTCCAGGCCATCCCTTTGATTCCAGGAGGCCACTGAGGTTGCCATCTGATGGGTCTTACCCAGGATCCTCTTAATCTGACTAGTAAAGGTGTCCAGGGCCTCCTTGGTGGTGCAAGGGGTTAAAGCACAGTACAATGAAGCTGTCTGCAGCCTCTGCAGCATGAGTTCAATCCCCAGCCGGCTGGGGAGCTACCCACATGGCACAGCAGACCTCTCCTGTCTCCTGCTACTCCCCTCAGCAGTGTGTTTCAGTCAGTCTGCCTGTTTTGTTCCCCGCTCTGTCTCTGGTGAACCTTCTTCCCCCCAGCATCTCTGGCCTGTACCCCAGTTCTTGTATGCATAAATAAATAAATCTTTAAAAGAAAAAAAGGAAAAGTATCCAGGGAGCCCAAAGCTTGGATGCCCAAGCTTTGAGCATCAGTAGTCTAGATTCATACTTTGTCTTTGGGCGGGGCTGGAAATCTTAGAGACACGATGCATGTACTACAATCTAGACAGACATGTCTCACTATGCTCACTGTCTTGAATTTCTGACCCTTGACATTGACTCTCTTGCTTCACAGATGGCAAGGGACTTGAAAATCACACCGGCTCTCTTAAGACTGGAAGGGGATTACTGCAGGAAAGGGGTCTTCTTCAAGACCCTTTGGAAGTTAATCTAACTCTGGCTTTAGAATTGCCACTTTCCTCTGATTTACTGATAGCAGTCATCCTGCTTCTTGGCCCTCCCCGGGTACATCTTAACTTTTATAGAACTAAACTTTGGTCTTTCTTTTTTTAGGATTTGGGCCTGGCTACATCAAGAGGCCGGGGAAAGTGCAAGAATCCCTCTTGTAGCTATGTCTACACCAACCGGCATAAACCTCGGGTTTGTCCCAGCTGTGGTTTTAACCTTGCCAAGGACCGGACTGAGAAAACCAACAAGGTTCTCGTGAGTTCCTTCCCTTGGCCTTGGGTTGGGTTCTGTGAGCAGACCTGATGTAGTAGAAATAAAGGTATTTCTTAGGTCATCAGAGTAAGAGCACCACAAACAACCAGATTACAGGTTCTTAAACCTAGGCAAGTGCATTTTTTCTGGGCTTCCTTGTCCTCATTGGTGGGCTGACTAATTACCTTGATCTCTGAAAACTTTCTAGCCTAAAGGACCAAGAGTTCATTCAACAAAGAGAATGGCAACACGGGCCTTAAAAAGGACTTTGATAATGAGGAATGGAAGAGTTCCATCCTTTTAGTTCTGAGGCCTGGCAAAGGACCTGTAACTAGTATTTTGGTAAACAGAGAATGCCAGTACTGGGGCTTTATAGATCACTGCTGCTCAGGTACCTCACGGAGCTTTTGACTAGTTACTAATATACCTCTAGTGGTCTTTGCAAATCTGTGAAGTTGGACCATACTGTTTGGATAGTAAAACACATTCTACTCGGCTTACTTCTTTTTATTAGAACCAGATCAGGGCGGGGGTGGGAGGGGGGTTGCGGGGAAGGATGGGAATTTGCACATGAGGATTTTTTTAAGTGCACAAGACAACAAATAGAATGAGAGTAAGAACAGAAAAGTTTCTGATCTGCTTTGGGGAGTGGGAGGTGAGGGTGTCTCACAGAGCATGGGGATCTCACATGGGGCCTAGGTATTGCAGCTCTAAGCTGGACCTTGTTTGATGGGTACTATGTGGGTTGAAGGGGAAGGTATGCCATATTCCTGGACAAGCCTGAGCAATACTGAAGAGATGGGGAATCAGTGAGTGTCCATTCAGCTAGAGGAGAGGGGGTAGAGGGGGCTGGGGGGAGGATGGAAAATAAGACTTTAAAGGCACATTAGGCCCCATTGTGGCAGATGTTTAGTGTTGGATTGTGCCATAGGGACCCACTGAACGTCCTTGAGACAGGAAGAGTCCAGGCAGAGGGTGATATTGGAGGAAACTTAAATGACATTTAGACTAGACATGACTGGGGTGGGCATTACTGGCAGATGAACCTCACTCTGATCTCTAGGTCTGTTTCCATTCGTGAGATTATCATCTTAGAGGAGTGGAACTAATGTGCACTGATGGCTTAGTGGGAAAACACTGAGGCTGGGGGTTGGAAGACCTGATGGGAGTGACCTGGAGTAAGATGCTTTCCTCTGCCAAGTTTGAGCTTCCCCATCAGCAACACAAGGCAGTCAAGGTGGTTAGATCTGGGCATTTTGTTCTCAGCACAGGAACCTAGAGAAGACTCAGAATTTAGCTTCAAGGAGTCTGTAACCCCTGAAATTGTGAGTAGAAGGATCCTGAGCTACCAGTGGTTCTGTCACTACCAGCCCCCGTTTTTCATGCCCGACTGTGCTGCTCGTCATGTGGTGCCTACTGCACCTTGTCTGGACTCCCTCATTAGCTCCCTGTGACTGTCCCTGCGACATGGTAACCTTTAGCTCCGGTGTGTCTGTTCCTCCATTCCTGCTACCCCTGGAGCTTGCATACATAAGGTTGATCAGTAATTGTGGAGTGAAATTGAGTTCTTTGTAGGTAGAACCCCCAACACTTTCTCAGGGTGTGGTGTAGTTCTTGGTGTGGTTTGCAGTGGAGAAATAGACATTGGCCTCTAGATCTAGGGTGGCTGATAGGGTGTGATGTAGCTTTTCAGGTCAGAAATTGTCTAGAGATTTCAAATCCCACTATTTTATTTATATTTCTGTGTCTTTGGCTCACTGGCAGCTTCTACCCCACCACCCCTACCCCTAAACTCTCATCTTCAGATATTCACACACACTTTAATCCCCTCAGTTTTAGAGAAATAAGATGTAATTACTTTTTTCCACAAAATAAAGCACTGGTCAGAAAGACCCAGGATCTTAGTATGTGTTGTCTTTGACGCCCCCTGCTGGTTGGGCATTTCCCATGTATTTTGTTTTTAGTGACTAAAGAGGCTGTGCCATTTCGGGGCTGGAACAGTCTTCATTCCTTTCCATTTCTCATCTGTGTCTCAGTCATTCCTGCCTTCTGGTTCTCCAGCCCATGGCTCACCTAAGTCATGTCTGGGAACACAACCTTCCAGGGCAACTCATTTTAGTGTCAGTAGCCATTAATTTGTTCTTTTTAAGCAAGGGCTGTTGACCGCTTACTATGGGTCAGGCTTTTGGTAATTAAAGATAAATAGAGCAAGAGGCCACTTTCCTTACAGTCTTGTGAAGGGGAAAGGTGAGTAACCACACTGCTGAAGTGAGATGAGCGTTGTAGGTATGCACAGGTAGTAGAGAGCCTTTTCTTGTTGTTAAGCAATTAACTTCCACAAAGCAATGTATAAATATGTCCAACAAATATGATTTAGTATCTCTTGTGTGTCCTGGTCTCATGCTGTTATGGGGAATCAGAAAATAAGCTAGGACTCTCTAATCACTAAAGGGGGGACAGTGGATTACTAGCTGTGAGAAGGTCAATTCGGAGGTAAAATTATTGGACTCTGGGAGCACAGTGGAGGGGCTGTTTCATGCTCCATTTGTATCGGGGAGGAACCTCCATTGAAAAGGCACCCTCCTGAGAAGGACTTGATTTTAATGAGCATTTCAGAACCTTGTTCCTAGAAGCCTCTGGCTGGTATATATAAAGATCTCTTATGCCCAGGAGCATTAAGTGTTAAAGATAGGTGGTTAAAGGAGTATAGATGCTTGTTTATATGTTAAAAATGTTAACATTAAATGTTTAAACTACCAGTGCAATGTTTTCATTGCATCCCAGGCATTGTGGTGAGTGGTTTATTTGTACCTCATACAACTCTTGGAGATTGCTAGTATTTTGATCTCCATTTCATAGGTGGGAATACTAAGGATCAGAAAGAATCAATTTCCAGCTGCAATTTCATGTGCAACTGTTAATGGCATATTCAGAATTGAAATTCAGATCTGTAATCCTCCAAACCCTATACCTGGTGAATGGGCGCTGACTCCAAATCTATGACCCTCACCGTATGCTAGAGAAACAGTGCCAGAGGTAGACCCTACCTGGCCTGAATTGCTCTTAGAACCCGGGTTCCCCAACCTCTCTGCCTGGTCCTGTTCCTCTGCCACTCACAGCCTTTCATTATTTTAGCCCAGGATTGGCTTTTTGTGCCCTACGTGCTTGGTGATTGGTTCTTCTTTCCCCAGGAGACGAGCCCACCCCTCCCAGATGTGCTGAGTGCCACGGAGCCTCTGAGCACCACCCAGAGGGAGATCCAGCGCCAGTCCACACTGCAGTTGCTGCGCAAGGTCCTGCAGATTCCCGAGAATGAGTCAGAGCTGGCCGAGGTCTTCGCCTTGATTCATGAACTAAACAGCTCTCGACTCATCCTGTCCAACGTGAGTGAGGAGACAGTCACCATCGAGCAGACCTCTTGGTCGAATTATTATGAGTCTCCGTCCACGCAGTGCCTTCTCTGTAGCAGCCCATTATTCAAAGGGGGACAAAAGTAAGCACCCCATTCAGATTTATCCTGCCCCCAAATGCCCTCTATGGCTCATAGGCTCTTTTCTTCAAATGATTTTAAGGCTATCATCTTTGAAGATGTTATACTCTGCATTCTTAATGTTTTCTTTAGCTTTCTAATTGCCTTAAATAGAACAATGATGATGATGAAAATGAGAATAATAATAGTGATTATCCATTATTTCTGTTGTCACCAAATTAGGATTTAGTTTACATCCCATTATAACACTTGGATTTGGGAGGTCAGTGGGAATGGTTAAGTTTGGTGATATATTGAGTTATGTAAACTTCAAGAGTGCTTCACAGACCAAATCCCAACAAAGTGGGAATGCCAGCCCAGACCACTTGGCAACCCAGGCTCCAGCGCCTTCATCTGCCCAGTCCACGAAAGTCTGGAGAATTTGGCTATTGATCACTGAGCCCTGGAATTGCTTTCAGGGGTTGATACCCTTTCTATTTTTTTATTGGTGATGTTTTTGGTACTAGCTCCCTGGCAGGACCTCAGGAGTGCTGGCTGCTGACAGCCAGCCGACTGCAGGTGGTGACTGCTCAGGTGAAGATGTGTCTGAATCCCCAGTGTCTGGCCCTGCACAGCTTCATGGACATTTATACAGGTGAGTGCCAGCCTTTTCTCCCCTCAGAGGCCCCAGAGCAGACTGGAGAAGAGCCTCTGTGTTCTGACCTGTCCTTGGATCACTGGACCTTCCCGGATGGGCTTCTGGAGAAGCAGGAGATTTTTCCTTCAGAATGCCTCTGCCCTAGAAGGTGACATTTACTTCTCAAATGTTAGGACTCTTTCTTCTTTGGGCCCTTAAAACAAAGTACATTTAAAGACAACAGCTCTTTCTTGTGGAAAAACTGGAAAATGCAAACAAGTATAAAGAGGGAGCTAAAAACCAGCATTAATTCTACTGTCATGAGATCAACACTTGCACTCTCTAATCCACATGTTTACTTGTACATGCAAAGTTTAAGAATGTCCAGAAGTGCTCATTGGTTTGTAATTCTTGCAACAAAAGGACAAGTACAGATGTTTTCAAATGTACTTTTTAAATTTAGCAGAATTATGGGCATCTCCCTACAGCAGCAAGTTTAAACATGACCATTTCTAAGGAATGAGCGTGCTGTTTTAGAGTCCTCTTTATAACTGCATCTTTGTGTGCAGCTTTAATTATTTCCTTTGGGCAAATGCTCAAAAGTGGAATTGCTGTACATTTATTGTTTTCTCCCCCATTCTTTCATCAACATCGAGCGCTTATTGAACATTCCCCATGGTGAGAATTTGAATTGAGTTTGAGTTATTATTTGTCCTTTGTCTTCAGAATCTATGGTTCCTTACTTTGAAGTTACACTTTTTACTATCTTGTATGTTAAATATACAAGATATATTTAATATCTTGCCTGATTGAGTTTGTGCTGCTTGATATTCTTGTCAGTAGTTAATTAGTGCCCATTCCCTGCAGCTTTTCTAGGCCGAGTAGTACTTAAGGTTTTATACTTTTTTAATTTTAACTTTACTTTTAAATTTAGATGTGATAAAATTTATTTTGTTGTTACATAATTCTGAGTTTGGAGAAATGCACTAAGGTGTGTAACTGCCTCCACAGTCATCATGTAGGATGGTTCTGTTCCCCCACACCCCAAATATTCTCTTGTAATCAAACTCACCCTTAGCTCAGGAGACCTTTTGACCTGTTTTCCATTCCTGTAGTTTTATCTTTCCAGAAAGTCATATAAATGCAATCCTAGTATGTAGCATTTTGAGTCTGGTTTTTTTCACTAAGCATAATGCCTTTGGGTTCATCTATGTTATTGCACCAGTAGTTCCTTTTTATTGCTGAGTAGTTTGTGTTAGTACCACCATTTGCTTACTTCTGTTCACTCACTGAAGAACATTGATTTTGGCAGCTAGGAATAGAGCTGCTGTCAACATTCCTGTAAAGGCTTTTGTGTGACCATAAATTATCATTTCTCTTGGTTAAATATGTAGGATTCAAATTGCTGGGCCATATGGTAAGTGTATGGTTACCTTTATAATAAACTGTTGAGCCATTTGGCTACAGGTCTACTCTTACTTTCCCTCTGACAATGCGAGTTCCAGTTTGTAATGGTATCTCATTGTGGTTTTGATTTGTATTTCCCCAATGATTAATTGTGTCGAGCATCTTTTCATGGGTTTGTTTTCCATCTGTAGGGTGAAATGTTCACATCTCTGAACCGTTGAATCTGGTTTTCTTTTCTGATGAGTTTTGAGAAATTTTAAAAAAATATATTCTGGATATAAGTCCTTTCTTGGATAAGTGATTTGCAAATATTTTCTTATGATCTGTGTCCTGTTTGTTCATTCTCTTAACAGAATCTTTCACGGAGCAAATGTTCTCAATTATAGTAAAAACTAAATCATCAGTTTTTCCTTCCAGGGATTGTGTCTTTTATGTTGTTTCTAAGATCTCTACCTAGGGGAAGATCTTATAGTCTTACTATGTTTCTTTTAAACATATTATAATTTTACAGTTTAGGTCTGTTATCCACTTTGAATTTTTGTATGCAGTGTGAAGCCCAGCTTGAATTCAGTTTCTTGGCGTGTGGGTATCTACCTGTTGTACCACCTTTTTAAAAAGTAGTCCTTTCGCCATTGAATTGCTTTTGTTCTTTATGGAACATCAGTTGGTCATATATGTGCACTTTTGCACTCTGTTCTCTTCCGCTATTTATTTGTCCTTTTGCCAATATCGCACTGTCTTGTTTACTGTGACTTTGCAGTAAGTCATATAATCAGGTAGTGTGAATCCTCTAGCCTTGTTATTCCAGAATTGTTCTGGTTATCTTAGTTGCTTTTGCATGTCCATGTAAAATTTTAAAAATCAGCTTGTCAGTATCTGCAGAATCCTGCTGGAATTTTAAATTTGAATTGTGTCAAATATGTATTCAATTTGGGGAAGTTTGACATGTCTTGAAATAATTACTTTCCAATCCATGAACATGGTCTGTCGTTTTCTTTTATTTCCTTAACAGTGTTTTATAGTTTTCAGCATTTAGATCCCAAACCTATTTTGTTAGTTTTAAACTGCAGTGTTTTACTGTGCTCTGCTTAGTGCTGCAGGCACAGTTCAGTTTCTGACTGTTCAGGCTAGCAGCGTCTTTGTCTTCATATTCATTGACCATGCTTAGACACACTTTAGGAACTTGTAGATTAGTATTTGATAGGTAAAAACCAGTATAGTTTCTGGGCCTCCCTGGTGACGCAGGCAGTTGAGCACCACACTGCCAAGCTGTCCGTAGCCTCTGCAGCACAGGTTCGATCCCGGCCGGCCGGCGAGACTCCCACATGGCAAAGCAGACCTCTCCTGTCTCGCCCGCTACTCCCCAAGCAATGTATCCTCAGTCTGCCTGTTCTGTTCCCTGCTCTGTCTCTGGTGAATCCTCTCACCCTCCTGCGCATCTCAAGAACTGTACCCCAGTTCTTGCATAAATAAATAAATCTTTTTTAAAAAAACCAGTATAGTTTCTTAATTAGTTGTATTTTTTTGATTACTAGAAAGATTTAAATCTTTTGCATTTTTTCTCTTGTGAATTTCCCGTTATTTGAGGTATTTTGTTGACAAGAGTTCTGCAGTTCATCAGTTGTCTTTTAAACTTGGTTGCAATTGCTTTTTGACACAAACGGTCAAAAAGATTTTTTTGCTCTTTGTTTCTTTTAGATTTTTATGTTCTTAGAGTTCTCATGGTTTCAAAGTGACTTTGCTATTCTGCTCAGAAAGGCCTTCCCCACTCCTCTCTTCCTTTAATGGGAACACAGTCTGAACAAACTTGTGTATTTTGTGCAAATAAACGATCTTAACCATCTTTCATATATCTTAAATTGACTGCATTTAAATTCCTGTACATCTATCCTCGAATTTAGCAGAGAGGTGATTTTAGAACCTTTGTTAACCCCCTACACTTCCTGGACTAGAGACTGCTAGGTCTGTCCCAGTAGCACAGGTGTTCCTGGCAGAGGTGGCAGAGTGATGCCTGTGGTGGTGACTGTGCTGGGTGTAGGGAGAGGTTTCTGTTTTTATTTAAAAAGAAATTATACTATACATATTTCTTTACTTGCTTTTTTCATTTAACAATATATTGTGGACAACTCCTGTCAGAGCATTTAGGTCTGCCTTACTCTTTTTGACTAGGCATAGTGTTTCTATTTTATGACTACACCATAGTTTATTTAATAATCCTATTTCCAGGTTTTTGCCTCTGTGGATGATGTTATAGAGACGAAACTCTCTTGCTTCTTTTTAACATTCAGGTCTCTTTAATGTGGGGAACAAGCTGCTGGTGAGCCTGGACTTGCTTTTTGCAATCCGAAACCAGATCAAGCTGGGAGAGGACCCCAGAGTATCCATCAGCACTGTTCTAAAGTCAGTGCAGGAGCAGACAGGTAAAAGTTGCCTTATTCCCCTCCCCATGGCTAGTCCTAAGCTCCCTGGATTTTTCAGTGATGTTTGAAAGAGTCATCCTGGAAGAGAGTGTGATTTTGTGATGGAGACATTCCTAAGACATTCGTTCTTTTGATTTTTGGAAATACCAAGCTAGCTTTGGAAAGTGTGAGTCTTTTGTGCATCAGGGGACCATCAGTAGAAAATTAAGCTGACTTTTTGAAGCTCATCCTTTGAGCATAGGCAGATGTGATCTCATTGCATTTCAGTCATATGTTCTCCACACACAGTTTCTGCATGTCTGCTGCCAGCCCCATGGCTCATGTGACCTGAAGGTGCCAGTCGCATAGTTGAGGGTGGAGAGCATCTTCCTTACTACCAAGAAATTATTGTTTTTTTAATTCCTTTCCCCTTCCCATTCCCACAGACTCTACTTCACCATTACCTTTTCTTGCTATGAGGACAGGTGGAGTCGAGGAAATCTTCCTGGCTCAGACAAATCCATTTGAGTCTGGGCTCTGCCACTTGGATGGCAGAGTGATTTTGAGCAAGTTATTCCCTATGCCTCAGTTTCTGCAGTTATAATACAATAAGGATAAGGGGCCCCGGTTCATAAAGATATAAGGGTTGAATGAGATAATGCAATTGAAACTGGTGCCACAGCATCTGGTGCCTGGAAGGCGGTATTACAAGGGGGCTTTTGGGTTGCCTTCTGACATTTTGAAGGCCAGGCTACTCAACCCTCAAACTGGTTAGTATTCTTGAGTGTCCTTAGGTGAGAGGCAGCCTACAGAGTTGCTGTTCTTGCTGGCCATTGGCTCATCCCTGGTGGCCTCAGAATCATCGTCTTTGATCTCAGTGCTCTTGTTCTCCTTCCAGAGAAGACTCTGACCTCAGAGGAGCTGAACCAGCTGCAGGAACTTCTGTGCAATGGCTACTGGGCTTTCGAGTGCCTCACTGTCCGAGACTACAATGACATGATCTGTGGCATCTGTGGTGTGGCCCCTAAAGTGGAAATGGCCCAGAGGAGTGAAGAAAATGTGCTGGCACTGAAGAGTGTGGAGGTAAGTGCCTCTCGGCCACTGTTGGTGACCTCTGCAACTGTTCTCCCACTTTGGCGCCCACCTTCTTATACCATGTCCCTGGGGCAGATAACTAGTCCTGTCCTATGTGGGGTGAGTGACTTCTTCCTGCTGCTTCCCAGGATTAAATCTAATGAAGGCATTTGTTACTCATTCTACAAATAATGTAAATATGAACAAAGTATGCTTTTAGACACTTAGGAAGTGGCAGTAAAAAAACCCACAGGGTTTCTGTGCTCATGAAGCTCACATGCTGGTTTGGGGAGACAGGCAGGAAGCGAATATTGTTAGTAATTGTATCTCTCATATATAATTATAACTAATTTATTTAAAGTAGCATAGTAATAATAAAGCATGGAAAAGAGGAGAGTGTGGTGGAATGGGGGATAATTACTGTTTCTTACGGGTAGTTGGCGAAGGTCTTTCTATTCCAGTGGCATTTGAGTAGAGATCTGAAGCCCATGTAGCTCTTGGGGAGGAGTGTTCCAGGCAGAGGGAGCAGAGAAAGAGGGGTCTGGGGTGGGCTTGCTGGGTGTGACTGAGGAGCAGCAGGGTGGCCAGAGGGGCTGGACTGTGCTAACCTTGGGAGAGAGGTGGAACATGTGAGGGTCACCAGACTGGGAGTTCAGACTGGGGTCACTGGTGCCATTTGAAGGCCTCACACTAGTGAAATGGAGCAACCAATTCTTTGGGGGAAAAGAATGACATGATCTGACTTAGGTTTGTAACTGAAAATGTTCACACGAAAAGAACGGCAGCTTTATACATTAATTCTAACAAATGTCCAAGAAATGTATGAATCCAGTAATAGGAAAAGAACAAAAATAGGTGTTATTTCCCCAGTTCACATGCAAGACCATGTAACCTTGAGAATGAAAGCAGACATTTAACATAGGAGAAGAAATTGGGACTGATTGTACTCATGAATATAGATGCCAAAGACCTGAATTAGATAACAGCAAATCAAGTCTAATGATGAATAAAGTAATGTGCCATGACTAAGCTTTCCCCAGGAAAGCAAGATAACGCCAACATTTGGAAATTCACTAATGCAAGCAACCACTTAACAGATTAAAGGAGAAAGCCCATATGATTATTTCATTAGATGCCAAAAAGTCTTCATTATTAACACCCATTTATGATAAAGTTCATTGTACAATGAGAATAATAGGGAGGCTTCTTAACCCTTTACGGGGTTTTTTTTAAAAAGCACCCATAGATTGATGAACTGTCTCCTAGGGCAAGGCCTGCTCACCTTGCCCAGGCATGGATGCCCCTTGCATGTGAGGTCGTTGCCCTGGGACACTGGCTTTGCCTCTCACCTGTCATTATTGGGGACTAGAGGGGGCCTCTGGAGAAAAGCTTTGGTTTGGTTTCTGGCATGGCTAGCTGAGCACATTAGGGATGTAATGCATATTCCTCTTTCCCGTCCCAATTTAAAAAGAAAAATACATATGTTGATCAAAAAAATTTTTGAAGGATGGTGGTGCATAACAAGACATTTAAAAACATAATATTCCCTGGAGCTCTTTCAGTGTTCCTTGGAGAGAAAATGAACTAAAAATAATGTTGCTTTTTTGTGTTTTTTTTTTTTTCACCAAGAGACTGTCTCCAGACCCATTCAAATCTGTTTGCTGATCAGCATGAATAGTAACATAGTCACAATTTGTTGTGTGCTTAATTACATATGCTAACTTCTTATTCTGTGTGAAATTCTTTGCTGTATGACTTCATTCCCACCCAACCCTTTGAGGTGAAGGGATTGAAATTCCAGGGCTTATCCAAGCTCACCTGGCCAGAAAGGGGTGACCCTGAGTGGCCTTTGGTATGACTGTGATCCCAGTGTCTGAGCTTCTTGGCACCGCCACACTCACCACTACTTCCAGGTACTGAGCTCTGGTTTTTCTAAACACATCTGGCAAGAGACATTTTGGTTTCCAGAGTAGACAAAGGTCACGTCCCTGCAAAGTCCCCATCTCCAGCCTTGCTGGTCCTTGCCTCGTCCTGGTCAAGGCCCTTTCCTCGCAGGATGGAGCACCATTCCTGCTCTCAGCACGGGGGTCCTGTCCCTCCTGTGGTGCTGCCTGCTTCTGTGTGCAGGATGGGTGTGTGTGTGTCTAGGGAGAAGGTGAGACTTGAAATAAAACAAAGATTCTGAACAACACTGTAAATATGCTTGTCTGTAGAAGACGGTCTGGATTGACCCCTGTCCTCGGGGGCTGTTGGCGGGAGGACCCTTGACACAGATGGCAGTTACTGCGTTGGTTTGTTCCCACAGTGTACTCAGTTGGCATTTCCTGTCCCTTTGTGGGTGGGCTCAATACCTTATGAAACTGGGACACTTGCCATTTCCTCAGGCGTGCACGGAGTGCCTGTGAAAGGGGACGGAGGGGAGGTGAGCAGGGAAGGAGAGGTCTTTGTGCGGAGCGTGGGTCTCAGGCATGGAATTGCATCAGGCAGTGGTTCTCAAACTTCTTGGTGTGGGGACTTGCTGGACCCACCCATGAAGGTTCTGTCTGGGTGTATCTGGATTGGAGGTCAAGAATTTGCATTTCTATTAAGTTCCCAGATGATGGCCACACTTTGAGACCCACTTACCTAGGGAATCTTGAAAACGCACACCTAACGATTTAGTGCATACAGATTGCTTTGGCCCATGTGTCTGAATAAGAAATTAGAGTACTGCTGAGTGACTCAGTGACTCTGGAGATAGTAAGGCCAAAGGCCATAGTGAGCGCCATGAAAGAGGATGTGCAAGAGGTAACCGTTAGCAGCATGTGTGCTGGGTGCCTGTAACAGATAGGTCAGTGCTGTGTGAGTTCGGGCTGTGTGCCAGGGTCAACAGGGCCTTGGAAGCTGGGTGCAGTGTTACTCCATCTTATTCTCATGCCTGCCAGTTGGGTTTGGGGATTAAGGGCTTAGACTTTGGAACTAGAACTTTGTTCACTTCTTATTCTGTCCCTCAGTCTAGTGTCTCACTCTGACCCCTTCCCTGATACTGTAGGAGTTAGTGCCTGGCTCATGACACGTACACAGATGGTGGCTCCCCTCTCCTGGCAGGGCTGGCTCCCCTTTCCTGGCAAGCCTCTCTATTATTCTTATTGTACAATGAGCTTTGTCTTAAATGGGTGTTAATAATGAAGGCTTTTTTGCATCTAATAAAGTATAGGTCTGGGGGGTGCTTTGGTGTGGGAGGAGCAGTAGGCTGAAGGGCATTGGGAACTAAGGTGCTCCATGTGGAGACATCCTGGCAGTGTAGGGCTGTCAGACTCCTGCCCCCCAGCCTTGGTTGCCGTGGGCTGTGTATCAGGGAGGTAGGTTCTGTGTTGCTAATGCTCCATGGCTCCTACAATGTGATCTTTTTATCCTGACCCCTTAGTTCACCTGGCCTGAGTTCTTGAGCTCTAATGAAGTCAATGTGGAGGATTTCTGGGCCACGATGGAGACAGAGGCGATCGAGCAAGTGGCCTTCCCCACCAGCATCCCCATCACCAAGTTTGATGCCTCTGTTATCGCGCCCTTCTTCCCACCACTCATGAGAGGAGCTATGGTCGTCAACACGGAGAGAGACAAAAGCCTGGATGTGCAGCCGGCACCTGGTAAGGTGCCTGGCAGCTGACTGGAGTCAGGGCAGGCCTACTTTGGAGTCCGGGACATTGTCCGTGGCAGGATGGCACAGGTTGTAGGGAGGGGGCTGACCTGCCTCTATGGCTTTTCTGGAAAGTGGGCAACAACCTGAGATTAAATTCACGGTGCCGAGTTTTGAGAAGTTGCCAGCCATATATCAGGGCTGACTTCAGGGCTGGCTGTCAGCTGTCTGCAGCACACTACACTGACAGTGGAAATCCTCTGAAAGGTGCTGCTGGTCGGGTCCGTCCCAGAGATCCTCACTGATACGTGCAGGGAAGCCAGGGAACCTGCTTTGTAAATGGATCTTTAAGATGGTTTTGTAGACACTGCATTGCACATGAGGGGAGACACCCTGAATGAACTACTGAGAACATAGGTTTCTGACAACTTGGGGCCACTGCCCAGGTATGTTACCTAGTTAGGTGGCCTCCACCAAAGCCCATCATTGCACGGATCCTCTGCTCCATTCACAAAGGAGGCATGTGCTGTTCTCAACTCAAAGGACTCGCACTGCTGCGAAATGTGAAATGCTTTGCTTTTGCATCTCACAGTAAAAAATAACTGCGTCATGACCCTCGTGGTGCATAAATCTGCACAAGTGTGTATATCTGTAACTGAAACAAAATTTTCACAAATAGTACTTTTTTTTTTTCCAATGTAATACACTTTATTTTCTATTTTCATATATGAAATTCAGGACATGAACTGCTAAATAGGTTTGTCATATTTCGGGATCTACTGATTCTCAAACAGCACTTCCTCACATGCAGTAGGTACTGAGGTCCTGCCTTGTGTTCGCTGCTTCAAAGCTCAGGAGTGTTTTTTTAAGGTCCCAGTAACTGTGGTCAGGCTGGTTTGGGGACTCAGTAGAGTGTCTTTAAAGGAGAGCCGCTGTTCTCGTTGCTGTGACTTTGTGGTGAGCCGCTGCCACCTGGGTTCTGCAAAACCTGCACAGAGGAAAGCCGACCCATTATGGGGTATTTGCAAGGGCTGTCTGCTGGGTCTTGTCCATTAGTGTTCAGGGTCAGAAAGCCAGTTCTGAGCAACTTGACTGGACTTCGCTGTGGAAGTTAATAGACCCACCTCGGGTGCCCCTCCCCCGAGCCCTGGGCCCTCTGTACGTGGCTGGCCTGGCTCTTGGCACCCTCCCACCCAACCCCACCCCGGTTCTCAGCTTCATTCAAGAGGTATCCTGGCACAGCACCTTCCCAGCCCCATGTCTCTTATCTCTTGCAGGCAATGGCAGTGCCTTGGTGAGGCTGCTCCAGGAGGGCGCCTGCAGGCTGGAGGAGATCAGCACCTACAGTGAAGATGACCTGCGGCACCTGCTCAGGCAGTGCAGCATCCCCTTTGGGGCAGATGACTCTAAGGTAAGCATTCGAGGGCGGCAGTTGAGATAGAAGTTTTGGTAACAGGCTAATGGGCCCATTTTTCTGAGCAGGGATATGCAAGTCTGCCTTGCGCTATGTTGGACAGCGGGTGCTGGGGGCAGGAGGCCTGGGAGAGCACACGCACACTGGAGGGCTCTCCCCCATCAGTCCTGTGCGGAAGGTGGTGGGCCTGGGCTCCCAGCTCTCCTGTTTACTGTGACCCTGCATAAGCTACCACACATCTCAGAGTCTGTTTTTCTTCATTTGCCAAGTGAAAGTAGCCAAAATACTCCGAGGGTTGTTTCAAGGAAGGTGCTTTGTATAGTGTCTGGTTGTCTCCTGACCAGGCTCTAGGTGAATGGGCGCCGTTGCATCCAGGGACGTGTGAGCATGCACGAGTGTGCACACGCACATTGTGGCCACACGTGGCCTACCTTAATTCATACCGATAGGCTCTGGAAAGTTGTGTGCTTCCTTTTGGTTCAGGTGTGACTGTTACTTCTCTTAGCAGCTTTCCCTGCCCTTTAGTAGGAACATTTCGGACCTTGGAGTGTGGCAGCTTGCTCTGTTAGGCTGGCTCCATAACTTTATCCTTTCAAGGCCTTGGGTTCCTGGAGGGGCCCTCGAGCAGCTTGGGCTGGTGAGGCCTACTTGACCCTGGCAGTTGATACTTTTTTGCTCTGGGTACTGAAGCCTGGTCCCTTAGCAGTTGGCCTCATTTGGTAATCTTGTCCTCTGTCCCAGGACCAGCTCTGCTTCTCCTTGCTGGCCCTCTACAAATCTGTCCAGAATGGAGCCAGTGCCAGACAGCCCCCACCTCATTTCACAGGGGGTAAGATCTACAAGGTGTGCCCCCATCAGGTAAGAGGACAACCAGGGTGGGTGAATTGTCCATGTCAGAACACCCATACAGGGTGTCATTGATCCCTCTCATCTTGTGGGTCGGGTGCCAGCCTTTGGGCTAAGAAGGAGTCGGGTCGTCATCAGGGAGTATTTATCAAGCTTCCTACCTACCATGTGCTGACCCCTGCATTGGTTATCGAGGGCCCCAAAGTGAGTCACAGACAGCACTCCTTTCTGGCTGACCTATTTTTATGATGGGTATATCACCATGGCTTGGTGGTAGCTCTGAAGGAAGACCCTGGCATGGAAAGTAAGAGGAGTAAACTCTCACCATGCACCACCCAGAGAAGGCCATAGCCCCGGCAAGGAGCCAGGGAAGGAAAGTTCAGCAGAGGGAACTTGGGCCTGGGTGGGAAACTGGTGATCCAAGAGGAGGAAGGTTAGTGGCCACCCCATACTAGATCTGTGGTTTGTAGGCCAGAACAAAAGTTTGGAGATTTTTTCTGAGGGATGCAGTGTCCATTAGATGGCTTGGATTGGGAAACAGGGTGGGGCTGTGATCTGGTTTAGGGAAGATCATGCTTTGCAGAGTAGGCCCGTCCAGGAAGGTGCTGGGGTTAATAACCCCAAACACACTGAATGGGGAGAGAGCCTGCTCAGAGGATTATGTCATTGTGACTGGAAATCCTCTCACAAGAAGCAGTGACACAGGGACAGGAGAGCCACAGATCTCGGGACTGGGAGGGGGACACCAGCAGGACGGGTGGGTGTACATGTTGGGCGTGGAGTCTGAACTCCCCACTATGTGCAGCGCTTCCTGGCAGTGGAGCTGTTGACTCCTGTCTCAGCCTCCCACCTGGGCAGCACAGCATGGTGGGTGGGGGGAGCTGCTCAGAATACAGATGCTTGGGCCGCACCTACAGAGACTAATTCTTAAGGTCATGTTGGGTTCCAGAAACCTCCATTTGTGACCAGCTCTTAGCTGCCCACACCATGTGGTAGGGTTGGATAGCACTGAACTGGATGGTGCTGGGGAGGCACAAGAAGGGGGGCTGTGACTCAGAGTGGTCCTGTCAGCCTCAACCTCAGCTGTTAGGGACAGAAGTAGGAGGGAAGCAGAATGACTTGGCTATGGCAGGATGACAAGGCTTTCTAGTGAACTCCCTGAACGAATCCAGTGAGGGCCTGACTTGTCTATAGAACAGCTTTTTAAAACCCTGTGCTGTGCCTCTCTTTCCTCCAGGTGGTCTGTGGCTCTAAGTACCTTGTGCGGGGCGAGAGCGCCCTGGACCACGTGGACTTGCTCGCCTCTTCCCGCCACTGGCCGCCCGTCTACGTGGTAGACATGGCCACCCCAGTGGCCCTGTGTGCCGATCTCTGGTACCCTGAACTGACCAACCAGATGTGGGGGAGGAACCAGGGCTGCTTCTCCAGCCCCACAGAGCCGCCTGTGGTGAGTTCTCTTCTGAGGAGCTGGAGTGATTCTCATAGGCCAACAGTGTCTCACCCACCCCCAGTCCTTCAGGAAGGCCTTATGGAACAATTTCCAGCATCCTTTGCCTCCACCAATATTTTTTCTTGATGCTCTGGAGTCAGCATTTACCCACAAAAATCTTATTTTTTGTGCATGTGAGGCCATAGTGTGTCCATAGCGTGCCTAGGGTGTCCCACGTACATAGTTGCCTTCCAGATCCTAACTGACCTCATTTGCCCCCTCCTGTTCTGAAAGTGGAGAGTACAACCCAGAGGGAGTGGACTTGTGTCACATGGCTGGTTAGTGGCATGGCCGTTGCTGATTGCCACATCCTGGTATCATACTGGGCAGTGAGTAGTTCTTACAGAGACAGTGGGCACCCTCAGGCCAGCCGTGCCCTTTGCTGGAAGAAACCTTAGGAGGAAAAGGACAGCTCACCATCACCTCTTCTTTGTCCCTGGGTCCCACTGAGAGCTTCTGTGGGGCACAGCAAAAAGTTCTGAGCCTCAGTGGGCACCACCCCCACTTGCCACCCTACCACCCCCTCTGAACTGATGAGGCGCGGTGACAGTCGTGGCCCAGGTAATTCAGCATCTGCTCTGTCCCTGTTCTCATACGAGACAGGGCCCAGAGGAGGAGAGGGGCCGCAGGTGCGTGGTGACACGGGATTTAAGCAGGCTGGCTGACCCAGCCTTCCCTGCACGCCTCCTCCTTTCATGTTCAAGTGCCTTCTCTCTCCTAGAACGTGTCCTGCCCAGAGCTCTTGGATCAGCATTATGCTGTGGATGTGACAGAGGCTGAGCACTCCGTCCAGCACCCTGTCACCAAGACTGCCACCCGGCGCATCGTCCATGCCGGCACACAGCCCAGCCCTGGTGACCCCAGCGCCGGGCACCACTCTTTGGCCCTGTGCCCTGAGTTGGCACCCTACACAACCATCCTGGCCTCCATCCGGGACAGCAAACCAAATAGTGTCCGCCAGCGGCCCATCGCCTTTGACAACGCCACCCACTATTACCTCTACAATCGCCTCATGGACTTCCTCACCAGCCGCGAGATTGTCAACCGGCAGATCCACGACATCGTGCAGAGCTGCCAGCCTGGCGAGGTGGTCATCCGCGACACCCTCTACCGCCTGGGGGTTGCTCAGATCAAGACAGAGACGGAGGAGGGTGAGGAAGAGGAGGCAGCCGTGGCGGCAGAATAGACAGGCTCTGCACAGAGACTACACCGTCTCTCTCAAGCCATACGAGGCCCGCCCGGGCAGGGGCGGAGGGAGGCTCGCCTGCAGAGAGGGCCTCTGATGCTGGGACTGACCAAAGAGCTTCCATTTCCTGAGCACGCCGGGGCCCAGTCCTTGGTTCGCCACCTCACGGGGTTGGGAAGGCAGCAGAGCGCTCCTTACCAGCCCAAGAGAGCACTTGGGGGGACATGGTGTGTTCAGCAGAGGGGAGGGAGCCTGAGGGTGCCTGGTGGGTACCTGGCCTGCTAGGGCCCCGGGGGGCCGAGGCGGGAGTCTGGCACTAGGTGGGAAGGCCGCGAGGTGTCTTCTGTCCCCGAGGAACGCCGTCTCCAGGGCCCACCCCCACGAGTTCCTTAGCCTGTTGCCTTTGACCCTGGGCCTTGGGGGCTTCATTTGCTCTGGGGGCCCCTTTGGTTCCTGATTCTCTCAAGGAGGGCTGCATTTTCCTCCTGCTTTTCCTATACCCTATAGGGGAAGCTGAGGTGGGAGAAGCAGCCGCAGCTCTTCCAGGACTTCCCTCTCTGCCCCAAACTTTGAGGAAGAAGGTCCCCTTCCTCCTTTCCCTGGCCACTGCTGCTGCACCTACATCCTCCCTGGGCCCTCCCCATGGCGGGGATGTGGCCCGCGGGCATGACATAACCTGGCAGCAGTAGGAGAAACTCCCTTCTGTGAAGGGGAAGCGGCCCAGGCTGAAAGGAAACAGCGGACTGCTCAGTGCCCAGGGTTTGCTGGGGCCTGGGAGCTGGCCGTGTGTTATTTAAGTTATTGAGAGGAGCAGAGTAGGTGGCTTTTTTCCCCTCTCACTTCCCCCGACAAGAATAAAATTTATTAAATTATCTGATTTTGGTGAAGCGAGTCAAGTGCATGCGCACTGTACCAGCGGGTCACGGGTGTGGGGAGGCCTCAGGCCCGCAAGCGGCGCAAAGAACCAGAGGCCGGCTGTGTTAATGCTGTTAGTTTAATGCTGATGAACGTCCCGCAGTGTCACTGTTAGTTGTGAGTCAACTTGGGGGTGCATGCTGCTTGGTGTGGCCAGCCACACAGGTTGCCTGCCTTCCAGCTCAGGATGATGGGGGACTGGGCAGAACACCCCAAACTTTTAGCTGCCACCTGTTCATTACAGCATACCAGGTCCAGGGCTGGTGTGGTGGGGAGGGAAGGCCGTAGGCAGAGATGGGGGCTTCTTGCCAAGGAGCCCCCCTGCTCCAAGAGCCCAAGTAGAGCACCGTCTCTGGGCACCTGTCCTCTTTAAACGCTCTGCTGTGTTAGGGGAGCGGTCCTTCCACTCTGCCAAGGCCCAGGAGCCCTGTTTTCTCAAAGCTAGGGTGTCTCTGGGGGCTTTGTAGTTTCCAAGCCAGTTTGTTTCCATGGAGACATGAGGGGAGTAGGGACAGGGCTCCTGGAATTGGGGACAAGGTTAAGGGGGTGAGCTGGGGGTTCTCCCAGTTGGCATAGCGGACAGGAGGCCACAGCATTGAGAACGTGGGGGTGGGGGGAGGGCTCAGCCCCAGCCCCGCACCCCTGACTGGCAGTGATGGCCCAGATCCTGAAAGTGGGGTCCTCCCTGAGTTTCAGAGCTGGGCTGGGCAGTGGAGACGACCAAGGGCAGAGTCTGTGTTGGTCCACAGCGCCCTCTGGCGGTCACAGAAGCTTGGAGGAGGGAGAATGCTGCTGTCGTCCCCTCAGCAAAACTGGTAGTTGTTGGGCTGCAGCAGGGGCTGGGCAGCGTCCCCTTGCTCACAGCAGGCCAGGTGCTCGCTAGAGCTCTCCTCCTCAGGCTCGCTGCTGCTGCTGCTCCTTGCCAAGTTGGCGTAGTCCTGAGAAGAGGCGAGGGGAGGGCTGTGCTGACAGGCAGGCCCAGTCCCACCTGCGTTAGCCAGTCCCCTGCCCTAGCCCTGGCCCACTCACCTGCTCTCTTCTGTCCACCGGGGTCTGCGCCTGCAGCAGGGAGCAGATCTGCTGGAAGGTGGGTCTGCGCGTGGGCTCCAGGGCCCAGCAGGCCTGCATAATGCTATATCTGAAACCGACGGAGACTGCCATGGGCCTGGGATCGGTGCAAACACCCCTCCAAGGCCCGCCCAGCAGAGGTCCTGCAGCCTGGTCAAGAGTGAGCTGAGCACAGAATGTGCCACGTTCTGGGCGTGTGTTCTCATCCACTCCTCCCACCACCCTCAGAGAGCGGAATCACCGTCACACCTGTTTGGACAACTGAGTCTGGAGAAGCAGCTCAGGGATACTGATCTACCCAAGCTTGGAGACTTAGAAGGGCACTGCTTGCTGCCGGGGGTGGCTCGGGAGGCAGCTCAGCTGTGAGTGGCTGGGGTACTGGGACCAGGGACTAGTGTCAGATGGACTGCAGGGGCAGAGGCACTGGCTAGCCTGCGGGTGCCTGCCAGGCAGGGGGAGCAGCGGGGTCAAGAGTGGCTGTGCAGAGATGCAGGAGGTGAATTTGTGGTCAGCTGGCTGGTGGGAAAGCCGTGGTGAGGGCAGGGTGCCAGCAAGAAGCGCACAGTGGGCCAGTGACCCCAAGTGGAAGGTCAGTCAACACCACAGATTCCAGGACAGAAAAAATGACCCCTGTCTTGGGGTCACCGTAATAACAGCCAGGGTTAAAATCTGAGTTCTGGTCAGCCCCAGTTAAGAACTGTTTTGTCTAAGAACCCCCACCACCTGTGCCTCCTGGGAAGCTAGTGGGAACCCAGAACTCCATGAGACTCTGACAGCAGAGCCCATTGTGGGGCGTGAGGCCTGGTGCCAGCGTGTTTTGGACAGAGAGACACTAGGACCATTGGCCTCCCTCTTCAACCCAAGCCCGAGTCATTCACTTACATGTTCTTTGGGGCAAACATGGGCTGGGCCATTTGGTATCCATCTTTCACCAGCTTATAGAACTTGCTGTTCACCAGGATGCCAGGGTAGGGGTTTAGCCCTGCAAAGCCAAGACCATGCTCAGTTCTTCCCCGCCTCGCCCCCACCCACACCCCTCGGGGAGACTCTGATAATACAAGTGCTCACTAGGCACTAGGCGCTGCAAAGGGCAGAGGCTTCGGTGACCTGGGGCCTAAAGTGATCCCACAGTTGAAAAGAGGACACTTCAGGGCTTTGCCCAAATCCCTGTGGCTACTAGCGCCACAGAAATGGGAGCTGTGTCGCAGGCGGGGCAGGTGTCAGAGAAGTAGCAGCGAGCGCACACTTGGGAGGGAACAGCCCGAAGGAGGACCTGCCCATGACCATCCCTTCGCTCCCACTGATACTGTCCTGGGCACCGGCAGTGGCCAGAGCAGAGCTGAGGGGGCCCTGGGCTCACCGAGTGAGAAGATCTCCCACAGGAGGATGCCGTAGGACCAGACGTCGCTCTGCACTGTGTACACGCAATCGAAGATGCTCTCCGGGGCCATCCACTTCACGGGCAGGCGGGCCTGACGGCAGCCCCAGTCACGTCAGGCCCCGCTCCCTGCTCCAACCCAGCACAGCCCGCCCTTCCCAGCACTCACGTTGCCCTTGACGATGTAGTTGGAGTCGTTCATGATGTCCCGAGCCAGTCCGAAGTCCCCAATCTTGGCCACATGCCCACTGGTCAGCAGCACATTCCGGGCCGCCACGTCTCGGTGGATGCACTGGGGGAAGCACCGTGGGCTCAGTCCCAGGACCCCTACCTGGGCCCAGACCACTGGCAGAGCAGCCAGGGCGCTGGAGGCTGAGTGCAGTCCAGAGGCTGACGTAATAGCGGCCACTTTCTGGCCCCGCCAGGCTCTTCCCTTGGCATTGTACCCGCTGGCGTCCTGTTTTGCCCTCAGGCAGCTCAGTGATAGTGCCCATCTTTATAGGTGTAGCAACCAAGGCCCGGAGAACCGCCTAGTTGCACAAGGACACAGCGAGTGGCATAGATGGTACTGGGTCCTCCCCCGCGACCCACCACTCAAAGCTAGCATTTGAGCTAAGACGTGGAGGGAGGAAGCGGGCCACAGGAGGAGGTGACCTTGGGGACAGCAGCTCGCCACCCCCTCAGGTTGCTGACTCCTGATTAAACCCTATTTCCTCCAGCTTGTCTCTGGAGTGAGTGACGAGTAGCCAACTCCAGTGACAGCCAGTGCTCACTCGACTCCCTCCTCAGAGCTCCCGCTGGGCACTGGCAGCCTCCTGGGCTACGTGTCACCTTCGGTCAGTTCACACCCTCGGGGTGACTGCGGGTGTGCCTTTATCCCCCCACCGTGTGCTGCCCGAAGGGCACAGCAGTGATTTCATTCACACTGTACTGTAAAAGTGAAGGGAAAAGACAGGTTCTTGGAAATCACCTGCCTGGCACACTAGGCGCTGGGCGCATACCAGGCGCCTCTCCACTCATTCCCGACACCCCCGGGGCCTTGCCCACAGCCCTGCTCCTTTCCCTTCCCCATGTTCCCACTTCTCGCTCATCACCAGGGGCCCGGGTGACAGCGCGCTAGGGCGGGATCCCCGACTCACGTTCTTGGAAGCGAGGAAGGCCATGCCCTGGGCCACCTGACCAGAGAAGTGCAGCAAGTCCTGCAGCTCCAGCAGCCGCCCCTCCTCCTTGTCCAGGTCTGCATGGGGTGAGACGTCAGGGCAGCCCGAGGCACCCCGCACCTCCCTGCCCAGTCCACTGGGGCACCGCCCTTTTCCCCGTGGGTACCGCCTCACCTTGCTCAGAGAAGGAGTCGTTTGAAGAAGACGTGGAGACAGGCCTCATCTCCACATAGGTGTCCAAGCCCTGACTGGAGAAGCCGCTGTCCCTACATGGGAGAGCAGGCCAGACGCATCAGCCCCCAGGCCCGCACTGCCCAGCTCAGGCCTGGCCTTTGCCCACCCGCAGCCTCTCCTGGTCACTCGGCAGAGAAGGGAACATCCTTTCTGACAAGGAAGCCCCTGCCGAGTCCTGAGAGATGTCCGCTATCTAGTCTGTCCTCGGTGAGGGAGCGGACACCTGTCCTGCTTCGGGGCAGGCTGCCCACTGAAAGCTCTTTCTAACGCCGAGCTGCCCCGGCATTCTCCTCCTGGCCCTCCCCCAAGGGCCACAGAGAAGTCCCTCCCTCTGCTCCTGACACTCCTGTAGGGATGGAGCATGTTCCTGGACTCCTCTGAACCCTCTCTTATCTGGACAGCGGCTCTCACCCCTGGCTTCACATTCAGATTCCCCGGGGACCTTTCAGACCTTCCGGTGCCCGCTGGATGGCAGAAACTCTAGCGGGGAGACCTTGTCATTCGCACTTTTAATCTCTCCAGGTGAGTCCCCGTGCAACACCAGATGAGACCCGCTGGTCAGGGCAGTGCTTCTTAAACTAATCTGTGCTCATGTGAATCACTTGGGGAATCTTCTTAAAATGTAGGTTCTGATTCTGCAGTGCTGGGTGGCCCTGCGACGATGCTGTTCTAATGGTCTCGGGCGATGCCAGTAGCCCAGCTTCGGGGAGCAGGTGACCTTGGAAAGCACTGCTCCAGAATGAGCAGCCCCTGCTGCTTTCCAGTACTCAGACCGGGTAAGATTTCTGTGCCTCTCTGTCCTTTCCCCTCACCACAAAGATGAGAATCTGGACAGTTTCCACTCTCTAGTGTTCCCGAAAGAGAACCTGGTGTTTAACTGTGATCTGACCATGGCAAAACCATCCCTTCCCTTATTCTAGAAACTATACTTCTATTAATGCAGCCCAGGATCTCACTGTCAGGATTGCTTCCCACACCATTTGCTCCTGAGATCACTTCATCCATAAATTCTTTACCCAATTGCAGATTTGAAGATGGAAGCTAATATTTTGGTCTTCATTTTTATTTAATCTGGCCTGAGGTTGCAGCTTGCTGAGGCCAAGTATGAACGGCCCTCTGGGAGGGGTCAGAGAATCAGAAGAGGAAGCAGACTCTGCCAGTCCCCATAGCTGAGGACACTGGATGGAGTGAAATGGCCTCCTTCCCCTTTCGCTTCCCCAGGTTTGGCAGTGGCCAGTGGCCAGGACAGGCACCGCAGGTATGCCCTTCTTTGTTCTGGACCTTTCTCAGGCCCAATAGCCTGGCTCTGGGGCCTCTCAACTCCTGAGACAGACCTGGAGGGGGGCAGTGTAGCTTAGGTGAGCACTGGACTGGGAGTCAAGAGAGCAGAATTCTAGCCCAGCAATGCCTCTGGCCCTGACTCATTGTGACATGAAACTCGCCACTTCCTCTCCCTGGTTCCCAATGCAGCTACTGTCCATCTGCCTCTGCCTGGCTTCCAGGAATCACAGCATTACACAATGGCAGAAGAACAGGAAAGACACTGAGAAGTTCAGCCTCTGATGGCTCAACAGTGAAACAGGCCCAAGTGGATCCCGGGCCTGGCCAGTTGGGTCATATTACCACCTTCTCCCCACAACAGACAGTAGCGTCCCCACTTGTCTGTGGTAACGCTGACTACCCCTAAGTGCAGTAGGTGACCTGAACTACCCAGCAGAATGCTATGGGAGAAACAGGGCGATCCCCCGAAGACCTGCCCACCTCTTGCTAGGGCCCCGTGAAGATCTTGGTTGATCTTGGACATGCGTTGAAGTGATGATTTCACTAATTCCCAGCTCTACCAGATTATTAGCAGCCCACCTTTGCCCTTGATACTCTCAGAACATAGTGGGTGCTCAAATATTAGTGGGATGCTGGGAGTAAAGTATACAAAATCTGAATTGCTCAAATGAGCTGGGATGGCCTCTCCCCATGCCTTGGATGGGAATGTGAGGACCCACAGCCACCCTGCCCTGAGCTGGCTTTGGGGATTGGACCTGGAGGCCCCATCTCCAAGTTCTGGCCTCCTTCTTTGGCAGGGACATACCTACGGACATATTTCTTCTCCAGGTGGATGTTCTTATAGCCCGCGCCCACCTCTGGGTCCGGGCCCAGACTCAGGCTGGGGCCCAGCATGGCTTCCGCCTTCCTGCGTAGGAAATTGAGCAGGTCGCCGTAGCAACAGTACTCGGTGATGACCAGGACAGGGCCTACGGCAGTAAGAGAGTGGGGTGAGTGCTCCCCATCAACCACTCCAAATGTCAACAGAAACATGGACTGGGCAGTGACTGGGTCTCAGGAGCCCTGACCGTGAGCAGCCTTCTCTGCTCTGTACCTAGGTAACCCCATGTCTAAAGCAAAAACATTAATGCTGAATAGTTACTTCTTCAAAGGGAACTGGTGGCAGCTCCAGAGAGGTCAAAGCTGCAACAGGAGGGGACAAACTGGGAACCCCAACTGGCCCTGGGGCACATCTTGGACTCTGGGGTAAGTGTCCAAGCATCTTCAGATGAGTGTTTCTTAAAAGCAGATTTGGGGCCTTCACTCCAGACCCACAGAATTCTGACTCACTGGAGCAGGGCTCAGGGATGTGCACTGTCTCCCTCCCCAGGGGACTCAGATGTCTGAGAACCACCAGTCAGGGCTCACATCTCTGCTTGCAGCAGCATCAGTGGCTTCCAACCAAGCCAGGCAAGTGGCCTGGGAATTTAAGGGATGCTGCCACAGGGATCCTACTGACACTTGGAGTGGGTGGAAGGGGGAATGGGGTGAGATGGGCCAGGGACCCACAGGTCGCCAAGAGGCCCCAAACCCATAGCCCCATGGCCGCCAGGCCCTCACCTCCATGCGTGCAGGCTCCCAGAAGGTTGACTATATTCTCATGCTGGCCCAGGTGGCTCATGATCTTCAATTCTGACATGAGGGCCTCCTTCTCATCAGCATGGGCCGTTGCTGAGAGTTGGGGTCACAGGTACCACAGAAGGGAGTGCCACACAGACAGATAGGGGATAGACAGGGGAGCAGGCCAAGGGTATGCAGAACCCCAAAGTGATCAGAAGCCAAGAGAAGGAGAAATATGAGCACAGATGGCAGTTGGGACAGAGAAAGAAGGGAGATGGCCTGTCACCAGCTGGTCTCAGGGTGGCAGGAAGCCATGCAGTGGCCAGGTCACAGCTCTGGGTGACCACTGTGCGCCCTGGTCTCTTTGGGGCTCAGTCAGAAGCCCCTCCAAACCCAGGAGTCCGAGGGAGGCTGGAGCTCACCGGAGTCCTTGCCTCAATCTGAGGCTCTGTGCCCTGGGCTCCGACAACCAGCAGCACAGGTCATGACCCTCACGATGACAGGGCAATACCTCCCTAGGACCCACCTCCTCCCCCTACTCACCCCCAATGCCCAAGATCCCCCCTCACTCACACTTCAGCATCTTCACAGCCACCTTCAGGACAGCATCTTCCTTGCCCAGGCCAAAGGCTGTGGCTTCTACCACCTTCCCAAAGGCGCCGGCTCCGAGGGTCTTACCTGCCACACACACAGCCTCCTCAGGTCCCCGGGGTGCCAGAGGGCGCTCTCTTGAGGGCCACCAGGCTCCCTGAGCCCATGCTGGCCTGGTGATGGGGGGGGGTGGTTTATGTCGGGTGTGGAGACCCTATCTCACCGAACTGCAGGTTGTTTCGGGGGAACTCCCACTTCTCATTGTAGGGCAGCTGGGTGGGGTCAATGAAGGTGTAATTGTTGCCCTCGTAGCTCTCGATGATCTTCCAGCGCACCTGGTACTTGGGCTTCTGTAGAGGGGGCAGGACAAAGCATGCGGCAGGCAGGCGGGCCCTGGGTGGCAGCCACAGCCCCGGGGTAGGGAGAGTGGCCATCCCACAGGCCGGGCCAGAGGAGGCAGGGTGGCCCTGGAGGTGGCGGGGTCCCTGTCATCTCAGGCCCAGGTCCTTTGTGACTCTGCCTCATGTCAGACCTTCCCTGCCCCAAGTCTCAGTTTTCCTAGGTGTCATTTGAAAAAAAAAAAATGGCTTGCATGGTCTCTGAGGACCTCGACAGCTCTCATCATTTGGTAATTCCTGAGCCAGGAGAGAGGGTGGGACTTGAGATCCTTCCACGCCCCCATCCTCCCATCCAAACATTCCAGAGCAAGATACACATAAAGTAGAGCATCTCAGCCCAGAACTGTTCAGAGGGCGCTGGGAAGAACACAAAGCTGGTGAGTCATGCCCCCCATATCAACACCAGGGGGCTCCGCGTCAGAGGTGGTCCCAGTGGACAGCCCCGGGAATCACAGACAGGCCGTTGAGCTTTGTGTCCTTCGCTACGCTACAATGTTTACACAGCAAGGAAACTGCCTACTGTGTCTCAGAGGGCTCCCTGTTAAGCGACATGACTGTAGGGCTAGAGAGTAAGGGTGTGGTTTAAGAAATGGCAGGGAGCGCCCCCAGGGGGTGGGAAGGGGCCAGCCGAGAATGCCCATCGGAGGAGGCGCTTCGCAGGCGATGAAGAGGGCGGGATGCCTGGAGACGGGAAGGAGCCAGCAAGTGTGAGCCACAGGAGGAGGGGAGAGCCGCCGGGAGCATCCTAGACAGGAAGGTCTTGGGGGCTGTGATAGGTGAGCGATTCCTGTCTAACTGCAGAGAAGCCCTGAGGGAGGACTTGAGGCAGGACGGAGGCCCCACCTAGAGCACAGTGAGGGGCCAGGGACCTGAGCTTGTTGTCAAGTTGTACGAGCTGTTTCCAAGCCATCAGCAGGCTGAGTTAGGTCCGGGAAGGGAACAGCTACCTCTCTCTCCCGCCCGGGTGGCAGCTGCATGGGGGCGTCCTGCCAGGGGTGACGCTGAGAAGTGCTGATGGAGGATGGAGTTTAGGTGGAAAGTGGAAGCTGGTGGGTGGGGTGGATGCCGAGGCCTTGGCTCAGCAGTCCTGCTCTTTCCGCTCAGGCCAGGGATGGGACAAGCTGGGCTGTGCTTGGCTCCGGGCTCCTTCGTGGAGCAGCGACTTGGGGAGTAAAGGGTATGTGAGTGGGTGCTGGGGTTGAGCGCGGCCTGTGCCTGCAAGGCTCACCAGTTAAGAGGAAAGACCCCAGAAGACCATGGGGAAGAACTTCCAGACAGGAGTTTGGGAGAAAAGTCTGCAGTTAGAGGAAGGGCTTCCATTTCTGATTCAGGAAGGGACACAAGTCATAAAGGACATGGACACTATGAGTTGGGAGAGACAGAAGGAGGAACGCCCCGAGTCTCCAAGGATTCGATTCCTGCGTGTGGTCCTCTCCCCAACCCAAAGGACAGATAGACTCAGGAGGGGAATCTTTGGCCTACCCTGGCCACTTCCATTTCCAGGAGCTTCTGTGGCCAAGGCTGTTTTTGCTCCTCGCCACTTCTCCTTCCTCTGGCCCCCACAGTTGGGCCTGAGTCAGCCCCTTCCCCACGTCACCCCAGGGGGTGTTGGGGGAAGGGAGGGCCAGTAAAGGAAGAAGAGGATGTCTGATGGAATCTCAGATTCCTGGATCCCAGAGTCTACACCTGGAGGACGACATGGCCTCCCGCCTGCCTTAGGCACCCACTCCTCTTCCTGGAAGGGCGTGGCCAGCTCCGCTCCATACCACCAGGCTTGGTCGCCTCTGCCATCCCTGGAAAGGGCTACAGTGTGGTTCCCAGGGCCTTCTACCTGGACAGTCCTCTCCAATGAGGGAGAACTTTGCAGGGAAGTCAACATGGCCACTCAGCCAGATTTCCTAAGAGCACAGTAACCATGATGATCACAACAGGTACTGCACGAGCACTTCCTGTCAGCAGGCTCTGGGCACGCTGCATGTGCGTCAGCTCGTCCATTCTCTGTGACAGGCCCAGGCCCCAGCCAACCCTGATTTCCCTTCCAAGCCCCAGACAGGGAGTGGGGACATTGAGGGCAGAGAATGCACTAGACTTGGAAGGTAGTTCCCTGGGGACTTTCCTGTCCATCCCCATTGTGCTCTCAGAGCCCAGAATTCAGTTCTGAACCCCAGAATCCAGCCTCCCAGGCCCTCTCCAGGCCTTCCCTCCTCCCTGCCGCATCCCATCCTCCAGATGCCGGCTTCTTCCAGCCTGCTGACTCTACCCTTTTCTCTTCCCCTTCTCCTGCCCCTGTGGTCTCTTGGGGGCAGTGACTCAGCCCTGAGGCAGAAACAACCCTTCCCCCAGACAGAGCCACCTTTCACCCCAGCTCTGGGCAGGGAGGATGGACGGGTTGAGTCTCCAGTGAAGGGGCAATGTTCAGAACCCCATTGGGAAACAGAGGAGAATTGGGTTGGAGGCCCTGAGGCGCATGACCATCCTGACCCCTCGAGGTCTCGGCTGAGGGGATGCCCTCCTTCTCTTTGCTTTGGTTGGGCTCAGGGGACAGGTGAATTTCCCGGGTGGGAAATGAGATGAACGCGAGTACACATTCCAAGTAACGATCCTGCAGAGAAGGGGTACGGTGTCCCTAAACCATGCTGGCCAAGGGGCTGGACAGTGGAGGAGTGAAGGGCTGGAGGGGAACTGGGTGTTTCTCTGGGATGTCTGCAAAGCTCCCCTGGGCTGAGGAGGCCATGCCACTGGCCACAGGAGACAGCTTTCAGCTCCCTATAAGGAAGAACTTGCAATAGTCAGAACTGCTCAGAGAAGGAACAGGCGGCCACAAGCGTGAGTGAGGGCCCGTCCCGGAGGTGGGCGAGCAGGGCCCAACAACCACACTGGTGTGTAGTGAAGGAGATGCCCAACCTCAGACTCCTCCGGGCTCAGGGTACATGAGCTAACTCCAAGCCTACTTCCTCCTGGGAAGCTTCCATTCTCATCCTGCTGAGTGAGTCCTCTCTGTAGGCTTCACGTTGGTGAATCCTCACGGCAGCCTGTGGGTGGCTGCAGGTATTAACCCCACCACACAGATGGAGACACTGAGGCTTAGAGATCCCAGCTTGCCCAGAGTCCCACAGCCAGAGCACTGGCACAGGCAGAGTTCAGACCCAGAACCGCCCAAGCCCCAGGCCCCGGTTCTTAAATCAGGCCCTTAGGGACATCCGAAGACAATTGCCAAGAGGGCCTCATGCACAGGAGGGGAAACTGAGGACAGTGACTCAGCCAAGTTCACATGGCAAAACTGACTCAGGGCTGGGCCCGGGGCCCTCAAATCTTGGCCTGGGCCTGTTTTCTTGGGACTGCTGTCAGATCTGCCTCCACATGCTGCAAGCTGGCATGAGCAGAAGAGCTGGGGTCCTCCACACCCCATCTGCCCCACAGAAGAGCAATGCATGCAAAGGGGCAGCGAGGAGACCAACGTAGGTTCTGGAAGTAGTCGTGTGTAGTCACTTAATGATGTTGGTCAATGGTGGACACATCTGTGTTGGTGGTCCCAAGAGACTACACTGCACAGACGAGGCGCATAGTAGGCCAACTATCTCGGGGTGTACCATTACACTCCATGGTTCCGTAATGACATGGTCCCTTGAAAACCTTTCTCAGCACCTAGCCCTGCTGTTAAGTGACACACAACTGTGTTGTCTGAAAGAGGCAGGTGGGGGATAGACTCAGGGTCTGAGGGGTTGGACCCCAGCCCAGAGACTCAAGGCCTTCAGTGCATTTGAACAAGAGTGATGTGAGTTGGGGTGAAGAATCCACCTCGTTGGACTCCTTTGCTGCCTTTTCTTCTCCATACCTGCCTTGGGGTTTCAGTGTGAGAAGAAGACGTGGAGTATATTGGGCAGATGGGGTATGGGAGAACCCCAGAGGACTCCAGCTCATGCCAGCTCCCAGCGTGTGGAGGCAGATCTGAGTGCAGCCCCAAGAAAGCAGGGCCCAGTCCTGACGCATTTTTGCCATGTGAATTTGGCTGACTCATTGTCCTTGGCTCCCCATCTTGTGCCATGAGGCCCTCTTGATCCTTCTCCTCTGACGTCCCTGAGGGCCTGGTTTAAGAAGTGGGCCCTGGGGCTTGGATGGCCTCTGCCAGTGCTAGGGCTGTGGAGTTCTAGACAAGAGACCTTTCCTGAGTCATATCTCCCCTGCTGACCCCCTTCCTCTACGTCCCACCAATGCCCAGCCACCTCCTCCTGTGTCCCTCCCTGCCAGCCGCCTCTGCCCTCTCCCAACCCCCAGCCCAGCCCTGACTGTAGCAGACACACTCTTTTGTGTAGGGAGGCAGCTGGGTCAGAGGTGGGGGCCTTGGGCTCTGGCAAGGAGGCACCTGGGATCTTAGGCACATTCTTCAATTGAGTATGCCTCAGTTTCCTTATTGTAAAATGCTGATGTCACAGTCCCTGCCTCTGGGCTGTGAGGTGAAGGAGATGAGTGAGCATTTTGCACAATGGATGAAGGCTCAGCTTTCAAAAAACCAATTTGCCATCGACCAGCTGTGGATGAGGGCAACTGTCTCAGTCTCTCAGAACCTCAACCTGCCACTCTGTAAAATGAAATTACTGATGCCATCTCCAAGCTGTGGTGTCCGAGGCCACCCAAGAGCGGATGCAGGCGGCATGCTCCGTCAAGCCCCTGGACCCACTGTCCCTGAGTGGACATTCGCAGGGACAGCAGCACGCTCCATGGCAATGTGCAAGAAGAGGCAGCTTTGACTAATGTTAAACAATCAAATGGAACGGTGGCCAGGCCTTCCTCCTCCCTCAGCCATGGCCATCTGGGGGTGACGCCCTTGCCCGTGCCGTGTCAGGCTCCATGTTCTCACTGTCCCAATTCCCTGCACCTTGTGCTTGTGGCTCAATGGCCATTTCCTGCACTAGAGCACGAACTCAGTGAGGGCAGAGCCTTGAGCTGTCCTGGCTCACGCACTCCTGACCCACACTGGTCTGAAGTAACGAGCTGTTGGCTGCACAGTGGCTGACAGGATAAGCAGGTGTTGGGAACCAGAGGGTGGGTCCACATGGAGGGTGGCACTGTCCTGGGGTCTGGCTCTTTGGGTGCCGGCTGCCCTCCCACCCCTGCCTGGCTCACCTTCTTGTACTTGTACAAGAGCAGCAGCAGCAGTAACAACAGCAAGGCCATGATGGACACACAGGCGACCAGCACTGGCGTGAAGAGGGCCTCCTCGGATTGCTGCACAGATGAGCCTGGAAGGGGTGGAGCAGAGGAGTGAGCAGCAGAAGGGCCTCCTTCCCCACTGGGCTACCTGGAACACAGTGGGTGCTCAATAAATGCTGGTTGACCGAACCGAGTGTCCTCTCACCAGAAGCCCCCAGAGCCTCAGAGAGCCTTCCTGCAGACTCTCCATCTGCAGGAGCAGGACGGATAGCCCACTGTGCCCCAAACCCTGTCTGGAGCTGTAGCCTCCTGCAGCTGCGGCAGCTCCTGGGGTTACACAGTTGTGCCCCTGCCAGTGCGAGGTGCCGCCTGCAGCAGCCTGACCCAGTGCCCAGCCAGGGTTTCACCCCTCGCCCCAGTGATGGGGGTTCACCAGGCAGTGCCCTTTGGAATCACACAGCCCTTCTGAGAGCCTGAAAGTGGGGACCACAGGCCCTGGGTCTCGTCTTCCCAGACCAGCAGCCCTAGTTCTCTTGAGTTTGAGGGACGTAATCTCTTTCCCTTTTGCCCAGATTAACGGTGCCAGGTCTAAGGCCAAATATCATCTTTGCTCCTTAGGAGGTGTGTGATGAGGAACCTGTGACTTCTCCCTCAGCCTCAGGGCCAAAACGATCCCCTATGTGGGAAGGAAAACAGCACTGACCACCCTGATGGGCGAGTTCACTGAGATAATGCGGCCCAGGGCCAGTGTTGAAGAAAATGCGGGCTGTGTTTTACTAGAGGGCCACCGGCTACTAGGCCAGACAGGGCGGCCGCAGGCAGCTCAGTGCTGGGCCAAGGTAGCAGCTGGGCTACCTAAGAGCGACCTCTGAGTCAGGCAGAGGTACCTGTTGTGTCTTCTTTGGGCCCGAAAGTCTGGCCGGGCCTGGCCCACAGTGGACACCAAGGCCCACTTGTTAGGGGGAGCCTGAGGTTCAGTGGTCTCTGCAGCCATGGGACTGGGAATCAGAATGCAAGCACACGGAGCCCTGTGCAGCACAGACAAGGTCATCCCCTTTAGACTGCCTGGGCCTGACGTCAGCCTCGGGGTGATGTCTCTGATGGTTTTAAAGGCCTTGTCTGGGAGAGGTGGAGAAAGCTGTGCAGGCTGGGCTCACTCATTTGTCACTGCCTCTCACCCAGCCAAGCCATGGAGGCACCACTACACTGCACACAGCAGGCACGTGCATGCTTGGGAGGTCAAGGGCAGGGGTGGGAGGAGAGGGGCCGGACTAGGCCACACATGATTCAGGTTGCTTTCTCTCTGCACCTCACGCCTGCTTCTCCAGACTTCCAGCCCACAGCCCTAGACCTCCTGTGCCTCTGCTTCAGGAGATCTTGGGTTGGGAGGGACCTGGAGTGGTAGAGTCTGCTTATGGGTGAACTCTGGCTCCCTAAGGCAGTGCTGTTCCTGGTCCCCCAACCCTTCATGCCCTAGAGGGGGCTCACTTGTGCTGATGGGCCAGGAGGCCTGGGAGTTGTTCCCCACACTGTTGTGGGCCCTGCACGCGTACATCTTGTTGTGTTCCAAGGTCTCAGGGGCCATCAGGCTCTGTACAGTCACCTTGTGGAAGGGCTCCTGGCTCAGGACCTTGGAGTATGAGCTCTCCATGACCTGTCCTTGGGCCTCATCACACCTGGAAGACCAAAGCATGACTTGGAGTTTGGGGGCACCTTTTCCCAGCCCGCGGGCCTAGCGAGGAAGGCAAGCGAACCCATTTACCTTTCACTGTGGCCCTGGCACTGCAGCCAGGTCACGTTGGGTTGGGGGAACCCAGAGGCATTACAAAGTAGGGCCTTAGAACCATTGATGGAGATCCACGTGATTCTGACCTCTGGGGGGTCTGAGAAAGAAAGGAGGAGTGAAGGAGGGATGGATCAGCCCCCAGTTCCCGGAACTCAGCAGCCCTTCACAAGCCTGCTTTCCACCAGGCCCCCCCAACTCTCCCAGCAGCCCAAAGACCCTATATCCCCACATCACTCACATTGAAGGGTGAGCTCAAAGGTGAGGGCCTTCCAGCCTCCGGCATTTTGGGCCAGGAAGGAGTAGCGGCCGGCTTCAGAGGGCTTCAGTCGAGGCAGGGAGAGGGTGGAGGTGTATCTGCGTGAGAGGAGCTGGCCATCAGGATGCGCCCCATTCCTGATCAACCCCACCAGGACAGCAGGGCTCAGACAACAGTCCTGAAGGCCTGTGCTTTATTTTTGACAAAGCTTCCAAGCACACAGACCCACGCTGAGCCAGGCACAGGCCAGGAACATTGGGAACCCCCCCTCCTTAAATGGTTCTCTTGTCTATAAAGTGGCCCTGTCCTGAGGTTCAGTAGAGGCGAGGTCTGTAAAGTGGGGGCACCGGGAGCACCTGCTTTCACATGGTCACTGAGCCCTGCTGAAAACACCAGGCTCAGGCCTGTTGCCAATGCCAAAGGGCCAACCCTACCCATAGGGACTGTGAGTGGGGTGAGAGTTAGGTATGGCCATGGGGCTACCAGACACTAGGGTTCAAGTCCTCGTGCTGCTGTTTTTAGCTGTGTGACTTTAGACATGAACTTAGCCTCTCAGAGCCTTCTCTTCCCTTTTGGGGAAGGCGACCTTGACTGTATTGCCTTCACAGACTCGGCCTGCGGAATAAAGGGTATGTGTTCAGAGTGTCCGACGTTAAGCCTGACTCTTGGTGCTCATGGAATGGATACCTGTTGTGACGGAAAAGACCTGGAAAGCAAGTGAGAACAAGCACACTTATTGGCTGATTCCAGGTAATTTTTTGTTTCACTCCTTTTTTAAGCTCTATTTTATAAAGTGTGCATAATGAGCATGTATAGTTTAGGCAATAAATACATTTTGAAGAAATAAATGATAACAGATGGCCAAGTCTCACTTGGACATGTTTTGGCCACTCGGGGCTAAGCCTGTGGAACTCACAGGGCCTCTGAGGCAGCCAGCTTTCTGTCTACATCTCCTTTCCACACCTGCCCGTTCTGAGGAGACTAACACCTGCCATGCAAATGGAAAGAATTTAACCTTTTCAAACGACTCAGTCACAATTAGGAGGCACCTGTCACAAGGGCTCAGGGGGTGGCTCTTGGTTTCCAGGCTCGTCTGCCCTCTGCTGAGTGGCCCCAGACAGCTGTGTCCGAGGGGATCGCTACTGCTCCTTTCCACACTGTTGCTACTGTATGTGGACCAGAAGGAAGGAGAAAGGACTTGGGAGGAGGGAGAGGAAGACAAGGGAACATCCTTGTCAACTCAAACAAACAAGCAAGAGTCCAGGAGTCGAGGAGGCTCTGGGCTTCAGCAGAAAGAGAACAGAATCTCGGGAATTGGAAGATGTTGAAGGGATTATTTGGCCCAGGGAAATACTGGAAATTTGGCCCTGGAAATACTGTCTGGAGGTTGTGTTGAGAAGGACTCTGGCTGCATCTAGACTTCAGGAAACATTCAAAATATACTGGGGCCATGTGTCCGGACTGTGTGTGTTGGGGGGAGTTACAGCATTCGCTGTCCTCCATCGAGGTGTGCTCTCTCGCTCAGATACAGCAGAATGAAGAAACTACACTTTAATTCCTGATCAGTATGCCTTTTAGGGAGGAACTGTCTTGTTTAGAAAACTACCTAGTTAGACCACTTGGGATGGGAAATTGAGATTCTGAGGACACAGTCTGTAAAATGGGAAAAAGAGATTTCTCAAGCATCGTGCTTATGAGATAAGCAAGATTCTGAACAACTCCCAGAAATGGAAGAATTCTTGAGGCGGTCACCAGATTTCCCAAGGATGTCAGACCAAGGGGTATGCCAATTTGATCTAAATCTCAGAGATGAGTGATATTGAGGTTTGACATTGTCAAGGAAAGTGAGACCAGAAAGAGGATGGACTTGTTCAAGGTCACCAAGCAGGTTGGAGCCATGACCCAAGGGTCCTGACTACTGGCTCAAGCATTCCCCACCTGGTTACTTGGCCACGCAGACGGGAGCTCATGGCTGGTACCTGTATGTGTCCTGCCTGATATCAAAATTGAGTTTAGGCCGGTGGTCAGAGAAGGGTCCCAGGTAGGTCCAGTTAAAAGCTTGCAGGGCCGGGTAGGCCTCCACCTGGACTATGAGGTCAAGCTTCTCACCCACAGTTACTTCCTGGACGAGGTTCTGCTCAGAGGTCAAGTACAGGTAGGCACTCTCTGGAAAGCAGAACACACAGGGACCTGGCATTAGAGGGAAGATGTCCCAGTTTGTTTGTTCAATCAGTCATCCACTTATCCATCCAGTTACTGCACTGAGCACCCTCCCCACAGTGCCCTCTGACATCTCTTCCTCACCCCCAACCCCCAAGCCTGGACCTCCAAACTCTACTCTTCACCGAGTCCCTGGGAGAACCTGGGCAAATTCCTGTGCTCTTTGGTGCTGCTACCTCTTTATTTGTATAATGAGAGATCAAATAAATCTTGTTTTTTTTTCACATGCCCCATCTTCCTTCTGGTAATAGTTTAGTTAATGTGGCTACCATAGCAAACCTAAAGTGGCCATGACATCCAGGCCAGCCAATCAGGGTGGATCAGTGACTGGCTTGGGAAAGGCATGTGAGTCCATGAGTCCATGACAATCATTTCCGGTGTTTTTTTGATGGAACTCTGGGAAAAGAGATGCTCTCATTCTATGGGAGTGCTGTGTGGGGTCCCACCAGGGGAACGCCTGCCTGAGGGCAAGATACACAAAATAATGTAGAGCTGAGAGAATCTGTTGGGAAGCAACAGATTCTTGTCCACATTGTCTGAATTCCTAGATCCATCTGCGCCTGAAACTCAACCCATGAGATTTTCAGGTATAAGGTCAATAAAAACACTCTTGATGAGGCCAGTTTGAGTTGGTGTCTGTTACCTGTATCTGAAAAGATCCTGGCCAGTTCCTTCTAGTTAAATCTCACATGAATTAAAATCAAGCTGCTCTGGTTGCATTTCAGACAAGGCAGTTGTGGTAAGAACCCCCATTCACTCAGCTTCTCCATGCCCCTTGTGAAAGCCCCTAAAAGGCCTTCTTAAGATCCCCAAAGCTTTGCAAAAAGCCCTGGACTGGATGACCTCTAAGGGTTCTTCTCCTCACTCAACTCTATGAACCCTTAAATTCGTGCTTCTTCCCTATGAGGTGCCTGCTCAAAAACCCCCTGTGGATCCCCATCACCAACACTGTTCAGTTGGGCATTCAAGACTCTCTTCAGTTAAGTCTCCCAATAGCCATCTTGACAACTCCCCTCTCCTGACAGGCACACACTTGATGCTCCACTGTCTGGGTCTCCTAAAGTTGCTTGAATATGTTACAGTCATTCCAACCCTGGAGGTTTGCTCCAGCCATTTCTTCCAACAGGAACACCGGCTTTTATTTAGGTCTGCCTCATGCTCATTAAAGGCACAGCCCCTCTAAGAAGCCTCCAGCCCCCAGGGACTCTGCCCGCTCTGCACTCCGCACATTCGTGAGGCCCACATCTACACTATTTCCTGCATCGGGGTCTTCCCAACTAATCCAGAGTTTTTAGGGCACGGAAGCTCTTGTCTTCACTGTCTCCTTACCATCCGTCTGGCCCTGAATCCATCCACCCGTCGCTGAATCCATCCACCCATCCAAACTCCAGTTATTCCCACCACCTCCATTACTGCCACCCCAATAGAGCGACCATCACCTCCAGCTCAGGCTATTACTGTAGCCTACCTGGTCCCCCTGCTTCTCTCCTTGTCTCTCTGCAGAGCCCTCGACAAAGCACCAGCATCATGTTAAATCTCATTACTCCAAGTCAGATCACATCACTCCTTTGCCCTGACACTCCAGTGACACCCCATCTTTCTCAAGAGGAAAAGCCCACGCCCTCACATTGGCCCACAGGGCACTGTGGAATCTGCCACCCTCCTCTCCATCTCTCTGCACGCTCTTCCTCTGGCCTCCACCCTACCACACTGACACATGCTCCTCTCATGTGGTGAGCCCGATGCCGCCCTGGGGACTTGACTCTGCCCGGTGCGCCCTTCCCCAGCGTCTGCAAACTCTCTCCTTCCCCAACATCACGTGCTTAATGGCCAGCTCCCTGGTCAGAAGGTCCTTGCTGACCACCCTATTTTATTTTATTATTTTATTTTTTGACCACCCTATTTTATACTGCAAACCCTTAGAGTTGATTTGTGTTTTATATTCCTCATTGCTTGTCTTCTCTCAACTCAAGCACAGTTTCACATGGGCAGTGGGTTTCGTATCATTTCATCTGCAGCCGTCCTCAGCATCTGGAACAGCATCTGCCCAGAGGTGTGAAGGGTCACATTTATCGAGAGACTCCCAGTAAACATAGGAGCAACCCTTGTAGCTGGGAGATGGTTCTAGGGGCTCCTCTCCTCCTTGCCCCCAAGCACCCAGCACAGGAGGGCACCCACATCACCGCATATACGCAGAGGTGCTCAGGGTTCTCTCCCTCCTCCCCTGTTTCCTGTGACATTGAACATACGGGGCATGCCAGACTGACTGACTCACAGCCTGTCCCTGCTCTGAAGAAACTCCTGCCTGCTGCTGGATGCCCAGCCCAGAGACCGCCACTGCCTCCCACCGGAGCCTGTGGCCAGACAGCTAGAGTTCCTCTGGGCGCCTCTCCTTCACTCCAGCAGCCACGGAGTCTTGTCCATCGTTCCTCCTAGATTGTTTTGCAGCATGGTCCAGCACTCTTGGCCACCTCCAGCCTGGACCATGCTGTCCTCCAGCCCCCACCTCCCCAGGGCACATGCACTGCCTCAGCCTTCTAGGATGGCGTCTGGCCCACTCTGAGACAGTGTTTACCGTGTGCTGGGTGCTGCTCTAAGTACTTTTTACTCAGCACTCACTTAATACTCACAGGAAACCTATGAAGCAGTAACTGTTACTATCTCCATTTCACATATGGGGAAACTGAGGCACAGAGAGGTTAAGCAACTCACCCTAAGCGTTGCTAGAGGCAGGTTGGAACATGGCCCAGGAGCTTGGACCCCCGAGCGCCACGTGGGACCTCCTCTGTGCAGTCCGATGCCGTCACCTTTCTCTTTAAAACTCTCCATGACCCCGAGTGGGGAACAAGGCCAGCTCCCTTCCCGCTCCAAGGCCTCTTTGTCATCTGAACTCTGCTCCCGTCTCTCTCTGATGGTCGCCCCTCCTCCACATTCCCGAGGTCGGCAACTTCCTTCACGGTGTCACCGTCTTTGGGATGTGGCTATGCTGCCCCCTCTTCTAGAGATGCTGTTCTGCTTCCTTTCCCACACTTTAGCCTGGCTAGCCCACCTCCACTCTGCCTGTCCCAGTTTATAGGCCACTTTGTGCCTGCCTGGGTTGAGGGACCCTTCAGTGTCACTGGATGATCATGGCTGTTTCACGTGTCTGTGCGATGTAAGCGCCCCAGGCATGCAGGAAAGGCAGGGGTCAACCAGGTCCAGCAGGGAACTCCTGGACACTGATGCCAGAAGAACAAAATAGGACTGCGTGGAAATGCAGCAACACACTGTGGGGAGGGTCTGGGAAGGCTCCCAGAGTTGTGGCCCCAGCCAGGTCCAGGATGAGGGGGTTTGAGAGGGGTTCTTCTTAACAGTGTCTCCTTTCTGCCATTAGCACCCTCCTTCACATACCTCCTCCCCCCAGAAGCCCCCACCTCCCTGATGCTCACCTACCACCCGGAAGGCCATGGAGATGGAGCTGATGCCCTGGGGATTGGAGGCCACGCAGGAGTAGTTGCCAGCATTTTGGAAGTCTACGTGATCGAGGTTGAGGGTCAGGTTTTTTTGGTAACGTTTTTCAACAAAGTCGGTTTTTTGATTAATTGTGAGCTGTAGCCAAAGGGAATAGAAAAGATACACATGGATTGCTTACACATTAGAAAGATTGGGGTTCATTTCCTCAGTTTTTAAGAATTACTATGTGCCTTTCCTTGGACAAGGGGCTGAACTCTGAGCCTCAGTTTCTCCCTCTATAAAATGGGACTACCACTGAGCCCTGCTCCTGGGGTGATAGTGAAGAGCTTGTGTGGGTTTACATGTGGGTGGTGTGGGGTGTGCCTGGCTCAGTGGGATGGCAAGGGTTCTTGGAAAGGCCACTTCCTAGGAACCCTCCCCTCCCCCCAAAGTCTTTCTGAAGCAGCCCTTATATCCCTGGAATTCCAGGGTGGCCTAGGAACCCCTTGCTAAGTCCAAAGTGAGCTGGCATCCGGCTCTTGCCTGCAAGCTGGGGCACAGGGGGCCAGGGTGCTGCCGCCCCATCCAGGAGGCAGCTACATGAGCATCAGTCCTGGGTCTGGGTAAGCTACTGGTCGGCCCAGGTCTTGGGTGAGTCCGCTCTCCTCTCTGGGCCTGGGCGGTGCCCCAGAAAACCAGCTGGGGTGGGCTAGAGGTGCGGGCCCTGATTTTAGGGGCTGGGGCAGACATCACCCGCTGTCCTTCCAGGAACTGACCTTGGTGCCTCCCTGCTGGAGGAAGATCTCGAAATTAATATCAACGTTGCTGGCTGAGCACACGATCTGGGCAGACTCTCCTTGAATCCGAATGAGTTCTGCAGGCTCCATTGTCAATTTTGGAGGCTCTGAGATGACTGAAACCAGAGGAAGGGACCCGTGAATACCCGGGCCAAGCTGTCACCTGTTCTCTGCCACAGGCCACCCCAGCAGTCTCTCATCCCCAGCCTTGGAGGCAGCACTTGACGCCCCAACAGGGCCCACAGCAAGTGCTATCTCCTAAATAGGCCTGGGAAAGTCTGTTTCCTTTCATCATCACCACTGCTCTGTGGTCCCCCCACCATTCAAATTCTCTTCTCTCCTCCAGACTGCTACAGCCTCCTGGACGCCTCCCTGGGCCCTCACACCCCCGGCCCCTCTATAAACGAGACCCCTGCAAACAGCCGAGTAAGTGCTTAAGGATGTACTTGGACAATGCCTCTCCGCTGTGCAGCTGGAAAAACCGCCACAGTCCTTCCCACAGCCCCAGGCCGAGTCACACTGGTCTCCCCCCACCCCACAACCTTTGCACCTTCCCTTCCCTCCTGGAATGCTTACATTCCTCATCTCTGAATGGGCAGCTATTCTCATCCTTCAGCTCAAGAGACCAAGAGATCTCTAGTTCAAAAATTCCCCAAAGAGGGCTTGTGTGACCAATTTAGCTGAATGAGCCTCCCATCCTCCCCCACCCCCACCCCCAGCTTTCTATGGCTTGGTTTCTTGTTCATCACACTTGGCGCATTATTTACTCTCTCTCCCATCTGTCTCCCTCAGTAGGATGGCCTATCCGTCAAGGCTGTATCCCTAGCAGCTCCCTCGGCCTGCCACATAGTAGGCATTGAATTAATATTCATGGTGGTTGCTGTTGCTGAGAGATGACCTAATCTAGTCTCCCAGGGTCCAGACACACTGAGGACTCATGCAAGGCCACCAAAGGGGTCACGGCAGAACTGGGGCTCAAGCCTCCTGGCTGCCAGACAACCCAGGGCTCTGCAAGATGATGTTGGGGGAGACGGCCCCCATGGCCTCCTCTGCCCACACAGCTGGGGTCAGTCCTTGACTTCCTGTATGCTCAGGCTTTGGGCCTGTGAGGCCACTCTGACCCTGGCCCTCTTGATAGGGACCTGACCTGTCTTCAGCCCAAGTGCTGAGTTTTCCTGCCTACTCACACCTGTCCTTCCAGAAACCAGACCCCTGGTCACCAGCTGGCAGGGCCTGGAGGTAAGGAGAGAGGCTTCACACAGCTAGTTCCTGCACCCCCTCTTCCCCATCCCATGCACCCACCAGCTCCCTGTCCCATGTGCCTGCCACCCTTCCTTCACATGCCCAGTGACCAGCACCAGCTCCAGGCTGCTGCTAAGTGGGAAATCCTCATCTGAGGGTGTGGAGCGCTCTGGCCCTCCTGTTCCTGCAGTGCTGGGACCTTGACTTTGCGTTATTTCCTCTATGACAGTAGCTCTTTGAGGGTCTCCTCATTGTTCACATTTCAACACCAGTAAAATCCCCTTCCCTACCCTCTCCATCGCCTTGTTTAATATCTTCACAGAGTCCTCTGCTCTGACGTGACCTTGGCCATTGAGGTATTGACTGGCATGTGGTCTGACTCCCTGCCAACATACCTCGCAATTGCCCCAGGAGGTGCCCGTTGATGAACATGGTGCAATTGGAAGAAAGAAGTGAAAGGAGGAGACAACCCATTCCCTCCCTCCAGAGCCAGGCCTGGCCATGCTTTCTGCCCCTGGCCCCTGCTGTGCCTGGTCCTCCTACCCCACGTACCTTTCTGTACTCTGAGCGAGATGCCAAGCGATGACATCCACGTGTTGCCTACCCAAATGCTGCATTCGTAGTCCTTGCTATCAGTGTACTTGGCCTTGTGGATGGTGAAGCCATCCCAGGGTGAGAAGGAGTAGTTGGTTTGGCTATTGACCGCTCGCTGGCGTGTCCGGAACAGCTTGACGTTGCCTGCCAGCGCTGGGTTGGTGAGCAGGCAGGGCAGCAGCGCGTCCTGACCTTCCCACACAGTCACCTCCTCTGCCAGCAGCCTCCAGGGATGAAGAGGGTCTGGAGGAGAGGGTGACACAGCGTCATATCTGCACCAGACTATGCGGCCCCTGGACACTGGTGATAGGGAGACTTGGAGATGCTGTTTTACCAGAGGTCACACAATGCTGGCAAGGTTCAGAGTGGGGATCCTGGGGTCTGGTTCAGCCCCCCTACTTAATGCTGTGTGACTTTTGTGTAAGCCCCCTGGGAGTTGGTCATGCCATAGAGGATGCCTCACAGGGTTCTTATGAGGACTACCTGAAATCAGGCCTGGCCCCAGGTCCTTGTGCACAGCAGGTACCCAGGAAATGGGAAGCCCCGTCCTGATGGGACTTGCCAGGCCAGGCCTCTTGGCAGTGGTCTCAGAGTCCTCACCTTTGACGTAGAGGTGGATCTCGGTGCTGCCCCCAAACTGGTCTCCAGTCTCTGTGCAGCGATAGGTCCCCGTGTTTTGGAAGGTGGCATTGGTGGTGGTCATAGTGCTGCTGACGGAGGCATGGTCCAGGGTCCAGCTGGGGGAGATGGGGCCTTCCCACTTCACTCTGCTGTTGCCCACACATTGCAGGGTCACTGCTGTGCCTGGCTCCACGACCAACTCAGGGCCGCTGGGCTCTATCACCGGGGCCCCTCGAGCTAGTGGAAAGGGTGGCAATCAGAAGTGAGGCCTGAAAGGCCTCTGAGTCACCCCTGCCTCTCAGGAGGGTATGCTGGGTTCAGCTGTGACCTGCGGGGTCATCTTGAACAAGTGCTGCCCCACTCTTTGGTCATTTGCTCAGCTCCTTACCCCATACCTGAGTGTGCAACACGCCCCCTTGAGAAAGGGGACCGGGAGCTTTCTTGATCTTCCACTCCCACATATTCCACCGGGGCTCCCCTAGCCTCCTGCTGCAGTCTCCCTGGCTGGGATTGCATCTTCTTGCCAGGAGCAGACTCCTTGGCCCCTGTACAAAGAAGGCTGCACTGCTTCCCCCGAGCCCGGGGCCTCGCACAAAACAGGGGGCTTGAATGGCGAAGGAAGAAGCAAATGAAGGGACTGTATGACAAAGTCCCCAGATTTCATTGTGGGGAAAAAGAGAGGGGTATTGGGTGTTCACCCAGCTGAGTTAGAAGGTTCCAGGAGTCTTCTGCTGTGCCCACTCCCACACTATAGCACAGCGGGTGGTTCAGAGGCTGCGTCACAGTTTCCCCACGATAAAATAGGGGCAAAAGTTGTGTCCAATTATTGGAATTTAGGGTGGTTTAAATATATGGAAAGCCTTGTTTATAGTTGCTTATTGATTTTGATTTTTACTTTATTATAATTAGTCTTTTTCCTGGTCCCTTATTTAGGTTTTCTAGATTCCTGCTATGAGTGAAACCATCCGGTATTTTTCTTTTTCTTTCTCGCTTATTTCGCTGAGCATGATCCCTTCCAGCACCATCCATGTTGCTGCAAATTGCATGAGTTTATCTTTTTGAATGCTGAGTAATATTCCATTATGATATACGTATCACATCTTCTTGATCCAGTCATCTATTTTTGGGCATTTGGGTTGTTTCCATAGCTTGGCTATAGTAAATAGTGCTGCTACAAACATAGGGGTGCAGGTGCCCTTTTGAAGTAATGATTCTGTGTCAAATCAAAATCAACAAGCAACTATAAACCAGAGACACACTATAGGGGGGGTGGGTGGGGAGGAGGGATTAGGGTCAAAATAAGCAGGGGGTATGGGAATTGTATTGGGAATATAACCAAGATGAAAATGCATACATTGTGCAAAAATGAAAAATGATGTAAAAAATATATAAAATAAAATAATTATATATAATAAAAATATAAAAAAGACATAGAACGCCTTTAGGACGTCACCTGTCACCAAATAAATACTCACTTAGGGTTAATCGTTGCCTTTTCTATCTCGACTACCCTCTATAGATCACCCGGGCACTACTGTTTACTGGAGAGCCAATCTCTTTTAAGGAATATTTTCTTGAAGGAGAAAAGAGAACTTGAAAACCATATCAGTCCCTCCGGGAAGAAGGCCGGTTGCCTCTGCAGTGTCAGCATTTTTCCAGGGCCGAAAATAGGGACGAAGGAGGGAAGTGAGAGCTGATTCAGTGCTTTGGAGGGACTGCCAGTCCCCCCCACCCACCCCCAGCCTGTGTGGGCGGAAACACATTGCTGGCGACAGTCCAGCCCCCGGTTTCCTCTCAGCCTGCAGCCCTCTCCCAAGGATGTTCTCACTTCTGCTTCCTGGCCTTCCTGGCCACTGTCCCCTGTCCAGGGGATAGATCCCCAAGAGAGGGGTGCCCTGGGCATCAGAACACCCTGGGCTGTGGGGTCTGGCTCTGCCACTGACTCCTTCACTGCCCTGGGGGGTGCAGTCAGTGGGCCCCATCTATTCCCAGCCTTGGGGGCACCCTGGCCCCCAGGACATGGGGTGAATTCAGGGCTTCTCCGTTGTCCTTCAGAAAAGCTCCTTAAATGGGTGCTTCCACCTCCCTCCCTTCCCAGGCCCCTTCATGGGTAGAAGCTCTGTCATGTGCTTTCAGGATGGCTTCGTTGACGTCTAATTTTGTACCCATCAGAGATGGGCCACTGCTCTACCTGTGCAGAGAGATGGAGTGCTAAGCACCCCCAGAGCCCACATCTGGAGGTGCAGCTCTCCTGGACCCTGTGACCCCTAGGAATAGGTGCAGACTGCTGGCAAATCCCGGCAGAAGGGGCAATGCACTGTTACTGCTGCCACCAGCAGGACCCTAGTGGGGTTATTGCAGGAGGGCGTTGGCTGTAGCATGGGCCTGTCTGGGTCTGCAGCTTGGTTCTCCAAAACCAGCTGGGTTGTTTGCTTAACCCCTCTGACCTTCAGGCTACTCTTCCATGCAGTGGGGCCATCTGGCCCCACCTCAGGTCCTGGGGGTGCTCAGTGAGATGATGCCTGGGCTCGGGGACCTCTCCTGCCCTCGGCTACCAGGCGACATTTCTAATCGCCCTCCTCCTCCTAAGACTCAACAATTCATCATCTTTAATGTCACTGTCTGCGATGGTTGCCTGCTAAGGTCTTGGATTCTGTGATTTCATGCTATGTTCTGCTTTTGCACCCACTCAATCTTACAGGCGCCTCTCTCCGCCCCTCTGTTGCTTTGTCCCCCTAACCCCAGCTTTGGTCTCCTGGAAATGCGGTCAGAGAGGAAGATCTGTCCTGCTTTGTTCTGTCCTGTTGTCCAGATATTCACGTAGGACATGGCTATTACCCTCAACTTCCGCACCCAACTTCCCACTGCGGGCTTGGCTGGCAGGAAGGGACAGCCGCTCAGACCCCCTCCTCTCCCGGGGCAGAGCGAGAAGGCTGACACTGACCAAGGCCCCACTCTGTCTGCCCATCTTCACCCTCTCATGTCAGCTCCAAATGGCCCCTATGCTGCATACCTCGCCACCCCTCACACTTGGCTCATGGCCCCCCACATTGATAGCCTGGGATGCGTCCCAACCTCCATCCCCTTCCCCAGCACACACACACTGCATAAGGCTTGACACACAGACTCCTTCAGCCCAGGTCTCTCCTGGTCTCTGGAGTACTCCAATATGCCCCCACTCTCTTACAGTGGCCCCCACACCCCTACTCAATCACTCTGGTCTACTGGGCAAAAGTTAGACTTCTAGTCTGCCACCCTATCTCTCCTCTCCTCTGCACTGGATGCTGAACAACCCTCTTCTATCCCAACGATGTCCCGCTGGCAGGTTTCAGGTGTGCAGATGGGACAAGGCAGTGAAATAAAATGCACGGAACTTTCTGGGGTGGGAAGAATAGTATATTTTAATTGGGGTGGTGGGTACACCAGTGCATACATTTGTCAAGGCTCCTCAAATGCACACTTAAGAATCTGTGCTGGGGCCTCCCTGGTGGCACGAGGGGTTAAGACCCAGCGCTGTGAAGCTGTCCGCAGCCACTATAGCACGAATTCGATCTCTGGCCAGGGAGGTGACCCACATGGCGCAGCAGACCTCTCGTGCCTCGTCCGCTGCTCCCCTCAGCAGTGTGTTTCAATAGATCCACCTGTTCTGCTTCCCACTCTGTCTCTGGTGAATCCTCTCACCCCCCACACCTCTGGCCTATACCCCAGTTCTTGTATGCATAAATAAATCTTTTTTTAAAAAAAGCTGTGCTTTCTACTGCATATACATCACATCCAATAAAAAAGATCAAGTCCAATGAGATTGACTAGACTAAAAGAACTTCGATGGGCTTCCTCTTCAGAAATTAGACCTACCTGCCCCTGGGGTCCAGGAGTCCCAGGACTGGGGAGAAGCCAGAGCAGAGGCTGCCTTTCTATCCCATTCCCACCCCTGTCCTCCCCCAAGTTGTCCCCCACGTTAGCACTAGATAAAACTTAATAGTTGCAGTTGGCCAACTATCGCTACAAGCAACGCAGCAGCCCTTCACTTCGATTTAAGATCCCTCCTAGCTGGAAGCACTGCATCACTGCCACTGCTGGGGCATGGGATAGGGTGGGGTGTGCCACTCAGCTCCCCTTCCTGAGACCCAGAAGCCTGTGTCTCTGAAAACTCTGGTTAGCAAAACCCTCATTTCTTCCCCACAGACCCTGTATACTCCCCTTCTAACTGTACCTCTCCCGTGCCTGGATCAGAGATTAACCTCTTTTTTCTGACACCCCCCCTCCCCTCCAGGTCTCCCAGCATCCAGCCACTGCCACATTTGGCCTTCCCAATCTGTGAATCACAGTCTGGCACAGCCACCGGGCTCACTGCAGCCTCACACTCAGTGTCCATCTTACCAGCAACCTTGGTGTCTCCTGGGAGCTTGTTAGAAATGCAGAATCTCAGGTGTACCTGAGAGCCACTGAGTCGGAATCTGCATTATAACAGGACCCTCAGGTGGTCAGAGCACAGAGCATTGCTTTTGTCTAGTCCATCACTGCCTCCAACACCTGCCAGTGAGTAGATGCGCCCTGAGAGCAGCGGGACCTGTTGAGCACTCAAGGTGAGCAACACCTGACTGGGCCAGGTGCCCAGTCTGCAGCCCTTACTGGGCTGCCCCCATCCCGTCCAGACCCTCTTCTCCCTGCACTGCTTCTCCAATGCAACCCACAAACCTGCAGTCCAGGACTTGGGGCTGACAGCTGGGGCAGAAGCCCAGCAAGGGACGAGGGTTACAGTCTTCCTTCCCGTCAGGGCAGGGGCCCGTGCTGTCATGTTTTCCCCATCGAAGCCCCCGGTTCTGTTCTTACCATGCTGAGCTGCGGCCACTAGCAGGATTAGCAGTACTCCTGGGCCCATGGCCTCAGAGGAGGCGCAGGTTGATGCAGCGCTGGAGGGTAGCAGGGCGCTGGGCTCCCAGCTGGTTAGGGACCAAGACCGCTGGACATACGTCCCTCTCTGCTACACAGGCTGTTTTGACTTGTCTTCCTCTTCTTCCTCCTCCTTGGGCAGATCCTCTTCTTCCCCTTTTAGCTAGGCAAGGCAACCACAGAGTTTGGAAATCTTTAGAAGAAAACAAAGCCATGACCCTCAGGGGGAGGGGCTGGACACTGGGCAGGGCCTGAGTCTCTGAGGTCTCTGAGCTGGGGGAGCTGGCTAAGTTTTGAGACCTTCTGAAGCCACCTCAAAGGACCTCTGGCAGAAGAGACGTGCCCAAGGTCAGACAATCCATCAGTGGCACAAATGGGACTTCTGGAGTGGCCAGGTGTCCCTGGCTAAGCCAAGAGAGATGTTAGGTTGGCCTGGGAGAGCCTGATGATAGTAGCAAGAAGTTTCCATTGACAGGACACTCAAGCCCTTTATATTTGCTGTCTCCCATAACAGCTTTATGTGATTATACTGGTATTATCCCCATTTCTCAGATGGGAAAACTGAGGTTCAGAAAGACCAAACACCTAAACTTGATCATGATGACATGGTTACCAATGGTGGAGGTTGGGCTTGGGTCCAGGCAGCCTGGTATAGAGCTGCCTTTTGTGGATTCATTAAGTTACTTTTTATTTATTTTTACAAAGAGACTAATTGTTCTGCCATATTTCTTAAGAAAAATAATATTTCCCAACAGCTTTTTTTCTGTATACAATTACTGTTATGTCTTTTAGTTGAGTCTCTTAATATTTACCTTCTTATTTCTAAAGAACATTGTTGTAAAGTTACTTCTTGAGATGAAAAAAATCCCAATATAACATTGAATTAGGGATGTGATGATTCTTTCCATGGACTTGGGTATATGAAATACATACTTGTTTTCAGGAAATTATTTTGAACCTTTACTAATTATGAATACCAACCAAAACTGACTCAAGAAGAAATAGAAAAACTGAATATGCCTCTAACAGGCAAAGACATTGAATTAGTAATCAAGAACCTCCAACAAAGGAAAGATAGGACCAGATGGCATCACTGATAATCTCTCCCAAATATTTCAAGAATTAACCCCAGTCCTTCTCAAACTCATTTAAAAAAAAAAATAGAGACAAGGGAACACTTCTCAACTCATTCCATGATGACAGCATTACCTTGACACTAATTTCAGACAAGGGCATCAAGAGAAAAGAAAACAACCCTATGAAAACAGATGCAAAAATATTCAACAAAAACAATAGCAAACCAAATCCTTCAGCATATTAAAATAATGATACACCACGACCAAGAGGGGTTAATTCCAGAAATGTAAAAATGGTTCAACACAGGAAAATTAATTTATTATGTCACATTAATAGAATTTTTTTAAATCCCACAAAATCATCTCAATCATGCAGTAAAAGCCTTTGACAAAACCTAACATGCTTCATGATAAAGCACCCAACAAAGGAGGAATGAAAAACAATGGCCTGAATGTAACTAAGGGCATAGATGAAAAGTCCACAACTGACTCAATGGTAAAAGAATGGCGCCCTTCTCCCTTAGATCAGAAACAAGACAAGACTCTCACCATTTTCTGTTCAACATTGTGCTAAAAGTTTTAGTCAGAGCAATCATGAAGAAAAATAAATTAAAAAGGAAAAATTAAAACTACCTTTATTCAGAGAGGACACGATCCTATATGTAGCAAAAAACCTAACAAATACACACACACACACATACCCAATAGAGCTAATATACTAATTCAGCAAAGTTGCAGGATACAAAACTCAATGGTGTTTCTACACAATAGCAACAATGACTTGGGGGTGGACTCTGGGTGTCTCGGTGGTGGGGCAATGTGGTAACAACACCTGAGAGGGGAGAGCTTGTATGTCTAATGCACAAGCTATAATGCAGCACAATGTTACCTCAATACAAAAAATAAATATAAAAAAATAACAAGTCAAAAAGAAATTTGAAAAAGTAATTTGCAATAGTAGCATCAAAATGAGTAAAGTACTTGGGAATAAATTTAACTAAGGAGATGCAAGCCATATATACTGTAAACACTACTGAAAGAAACTAAGAATATTAAATAAATGGAAAGACATCTCACATCTAATAGTCACAGATTAGAGGAATTAATATTGTAAAATGTAATAATTCCCAAAGTGATCTATAGATTCAATCAGTCCCATCAAAATTTCAATTACCTTTTTTTTTTTTGTAGAAGTGAAAAAACTGATTCTCAAATTCATTTTGAAGTTTGAAGAAACCACAAATAGACAAAACAATCTTTAAAAAGATTGAGTGAGGGGGCGGAGCAACATGGCGGCGAGGAGACGCTGCGAGTAAGATCTCCCATTAAAAAAAGTTAATAGGGAGGAAAAGTGGCAGGTCCCAGTGAGAACTGGGACACGGAAGATAAACGGACAACTCCAGCAAACTACCCGAAGAAGAAAGTGGCCATAAAAGAGGACTAGAAGGAAGGAAAGCGCAGAACCCTGCTCCCCTCCCCCACCCACAGAGTGGGCACTCTCCGACCCGCAGAGAGGAGGAAAACAACAAACCAAAACGACCAACAAGAACAAACGACGCAGCAAGCGGGACTGTGAGTGGAAAGGAACTATTGCAGCCACCACACCCCGTGAATGGGAGCTGTGGAGAACCCTGCAGGATTCGTGCGGCGGTGAGCTCCAGGCACCATTAGAGAACAGCAGAGACCGCGGGAGACCCGCACACAGCCCAGGCCGGCCAGTAAGCTTGCGCGGAAAAGCAGCGCGCTGGAAAAGCAAACGCGGATCGGGATCGCGGCTGCCCAGGTCCCTGCGCCTGAGACCGAGGCTTGCGGGGAGACGTGCGGGGTCCCTCACTGAGGTGAAAGTCCCTCACTGAGTAATCAGAAACCAGGCGCCCGGACACGGGAGCGGGGTGCAAAAGGTGCCATTCCCGTGCCACTGAACTGGGCTACAGCCTGCGTCCTGGACCTGAGGGCTTTGGAACTGAGACCCGGGGCACGAAATTCGGGGCGTGGGTTCTCCACGATGGTGGGGCACAAGGCAGACACAGCACCCCAAAGCCGTTGAGGTTTACCCTACCATTCTCGCTCTGTTCCCTGTCTCATGGTGGGGGGCATCGAAAAGCAGCCCCCCAAGGACAATAGGAGAGATCTCTGGCACCACCTAGCGACCAGAAAAAAAAGTCACTAACACCCCATAGAACAGGGAAATTTCTTAAGAAAAGACTTCTTGAAAAGGGCAGAAGGCTTCTGGAGGACCCAGTGGCCAGCTGGGAAGTTAGCCCATGCCAGGCCCCTCCCAACCAGCAATCTGAGCCCACAGATGGAGCAGGCACCCACGTCCGGGGCAGACTGGGCGCGCAGAAGAGTATGCCTGAGACCGGATGCACAGGGACTGCATCCTGCTTCGCAATTTTAGATCAGGGACATTTCTTCAATAAAGACTGCCTAAAACCAGCAGAAAGCTCCCCCAGAAGCCAGAGATGGCTCCTGGAGGAGCCAGAGGGGAGCGGAGAAGTTCACCCAAGATGCCTGCCAGTCCGAGCAACACAGTGTCCCAATGCATACGACAAATTAGAAAACAGACAGTAGGGAGTTGAAGAAACCACACGCAACCTAACAACTCCTCAGGAAAGAAGCACACCACAAAAAGAAAACCACCCCCCAGATTGCAACAACAGTAACTTGGAAGAACTTCTGAGCCTTCCAGAAAGAGAATTTAAAATTGCCATGATTTAAAAAGTGACAGAAGTCATAAAGGAAAACAATGATCAGAAGAAGGAAATTAAGTCCCTAAAGAGGGAAAACAATGGTCAGAAGAATGAAATTGAGTCCCTAAAGAGGGAAGTAAAAGAAATGCAGGAGATCAAAGAATTAATGGAGGAACTAAAGAACTCTGGGAAAAGCAATGAAAGCAGAATAGATGAAATGGAAGAACGAATAAGTACTCTTGAAGACACAGAAATAAAAAGAACCAAAACAGAAAAGGAAAGAGAAGTACGAAGGAAAAAGAACAAAGAAAGACTTCGGGAACTATCTGACTCCATGAGGAAAGGAAATATAAGAGTTATAGGAATTCCAGAAGGAGAGGAGAGAGATGTAGGAACAGAGAAAATATTCCAGGAGATAATTGAAGAGAACTTCCCAAATGCGAAGAAGGAGCTGAAAATTGATATACAAGAAGCAAGAAGAACACCAAACTTCCACGACGAAAGGAAAAATACAGCAAGACACATAATAGTAAAGCTCCCAAGAATCCAGGACAAGGAAAAAATAATGAAGCTGACAAGAGGGAAGAAACAGATAACATTCAAAGGAAAACCAATCAGGCTGACATCAGACTTCTCTGAAGAAACACTACGGGCAAGGAGAGAGTGGAGGGACATAGTCAACAGACTCCAAGAAAACAGATGCCAACCAAGAATACTCTATCCCGCAAAGCTCTCCTTCCTCTATGAAGAAAGAATAAGGACCTTCCCAGACAAAGAGAAACTCCGGAATTTCATTACGAATAAACCCCGACTCCAAAAAATACTACAAGGAATCCTAAAGCCAGAACCTCAGAGGGACGAATAACAATGAAAGAAGACCAAAAAAAAAAAAAGTTATTAAAAGAATAAATAAATAAAATCAAAGGAAAGACAAACACAATGGCAAATACAGATGCTAACATATCAATATTAACTCTAAATGTAAATGGACTAAACTCTTCAATAAAAAGACACAGAGTTGCAGCCTGGATTAAGAAACAAAACCCAACCTTTTGCTGTCTCCAGGAAACACATTTAGCTACAAAAGATAAAAATAGGCTCAAAGTTAAAGGATGGAAAACAATCCTACAAGCGAATGGACCAAAAAAGAAAGCAGGAACAGCTATATTATATCAGATAAAACAGACTTCAAACTCAAAAAAATAGAAAGAGACCCAATGGTCACTACATTATGATCAAGGGGACAATACTTCAAGAAGAAATAACACTCATTAACATATACTCACCAAACGAAGGAGCACCAAAATATATCAGACAACTGTTGTCCTCTCTGAAAACAGACATCAGAGAAAACACATACGTAGTGGGAGACTTCAACACACCACTATCAACAATGG